GTTTTCGCAGTCGAGTCCGGCTCTTCATCCGCCTCGTCCGTCCAATAGGGTTTTCAAGAGATTGGAGTCTCCGGTTTGTTTGTCTTCGAGTGCTTTAAGCTCTGTTTTGATGACCTTAATCTCGGATCGAAGGTCCCGAATTGTGGTCATATGTTTCTTGGTCTTCTTCTTCCTATCTAGGATAGCGAGTAAGGTCATACGTGCTAGTACTAGTTGAAGGCAAGATAGAAGGTTTTGGTTTGTCATGAGGGTTTTCTTCTACGGACTTTAAGAGTCCGTCTAGATATTCCTTTTGTAATCGAGGATCATCAATCCTCTTGACAATGTCTAAAATGAGGTCTTGGTCTTTGGTTAAAACACCGGCATGTTTGGTTTTGTTATCCGGTTCACTATCGAACCGGGTTTTGAACTCGGAGGACGTAACAAGTTCATCTACTCGAAAAGTCTCTTCACTATATATATATATATATATATATATATATATATATAACACTTAAAAAACATATTTTGTTTAGAATATATCGAAGAGGGAAAATAAGAAAAGAGTGTGTGAATTAAAATTGTGTATACACTACTACAATTTCATAAATTTAAAAATAAATTACCAAAAGATTGATATTACAAACAAAAAAGTAAAGTTGATTGACCGTACAATTAGGGATTATTTGTTAATTAATTTAATAGATGGGTTGACGGTAGTCAAGACAATGATTTATACTTTTTTGAATAAAAAAAAAAAAAGGAAAAAGAGAGAGAACAAGCCAAAAATAATATCATTATTACCTTGACCACTATGAATCTTTTTATTAATTTGTTTTGCACTCGGTTTGATTTGGTCACACACACACACACGGGAACGTCATAGAACCAGGCCTTGTTTCGAGACTATTGGGCTGCAACTTTGGTGATCCTTTTTCCGAGGAGTAAATTATAAACCAGTCCCTCTAGTTTTTCAAAAAAAATATTAAATAGTCTTTTTAGTTTTAATAATTAAATAATTAGTTTATATATTTTTGAATCTATTTATAACTTAATCTTTTTCATTTTTTCTTTATTTTTAATTAATTAAAAATAAAAAACTAAAAAACTAAAAAGATTGATGAAAAAAGAAAATATTTGTTAGAACAAAATAATATTAAATTAACCATGATCAACTTTATTAAAAAATTAATTAATTAATTTTTTAAAAAACAAAATTTTTAATCCACTTATAAAAACTAAAAGGACTAATTTATAATTTACTTTTTTTCTTATTAGCTAATCATATCTATAGTTTTAGGTAATTATAATCAAAATAAAAACTACATTCGTAGATGGTTTATGAATTTGGCATAACAATAATCAATTTATTGGTTATCCATTGGGTTAAGTATTAACTGTTCATTTATTTTTGAAGAAATGGATTAATTGTATATTTCATTTCTGTATTTTTCTAACGCGATTTTTTTATTTTATATAGTTTTTTAATATAAGTATTTCTGATAGGATTCCAGTCATTTTTTCATAAACAAATATTAAGTGGATTGGCACGTAAAATAATAGTGACATGAGTTTTTTAAATAACTAAAAAATTAAAATTTCCTAGCCCTTTAAAAAAGTCTTTTATCTATTCATTTTAGTTTTATTTTATTAATTAACCTATTACTTATTATAAAAAAAAGAAAAAAGAATTCTATTAAAATAATCATATTAAAAAACAGCTAAACTAAGATGATTAAAATAAATAACAAGAGTAGAGTTACGAAGTTACAAAATATGCCATTAATCCGTAAAAACAATTTAGAACAAATAGATTTAACAATCCGAAACAATCACACTGTTAATAGCTTCAACATGCAAGAAAACAAAGCGGAGCGGTCCACGACAAAAGCCACGCGGACAGACTGTATCTTCTACAAGGGGCTACGTATAGACGACAAAGCAGCAACGACAAGAGAACCTTCCTTAAAAAAACGCACCATTGTAAGAGATGGAAAATGGAACAAAGAAATGTGGTTTTCAAGCGACGAAACGTCTGACCAGAACAGCAGCATCAGTCACAGTCCGATGTACTTAGGAATTGCTGTAGGAATGAAGAATTGTCTGCGCATAACTTTTTGCCATTGAGCCTTCAGCACTTGAAGTTGGCCTTGAGAGGCTAGAAGTCTTTCATGAAAGACATTTAGCCAAGACGCAATAAGATTTTATTAAGCATCAAACAGTGATGATGATCAGTATTTGCTCCTTGATTCTCATGCTCCGATTTTAAATTTACCAGGCATAGTAAATCTGTCAATAAGAAAGGTCCCTTGACATGGTATATTTCTACAAGTTTTAAGTCTAAAAGCTTTTATTTTTTAATGATATGATGTTTTGATATAGCATTAGAGCTTCGATAATTGAACAATTGTGAATTCAAATTTTATTATTTTAATTAATTAAATATAAGATAATTTAAGTCTAAATTTTAAATCTAAAGAGCTTTTATTTGAAGAAATTTATAGAGAATATTATAAATCACATATTGAAATCTCACCAAAAAAATTTACCTCATCTAACGATTTAAATTTTTTTAGTGAGACGATATTTTGACACTCGGATCTTCAAGGTCTAATCACTCGTCATTAAAAAGAGAAGCTCTTCTTAAGAGAAATCTACAAGGAAGTGATAAATTTTCTTCCCTCGAAAAAACATTTGGCATTGCTTTTAGCAGGCTTCAATGTCGAGACCTATCTCCTGCTCAGAAAAAAGAGAGACCACGTCTTCATTACATCAGAAAACACGAAGGAGCATGGAACTTTTATGACATAATGATACCTTTGCTGAGGATAAGGTCCGCATTACAATTTCGTAAATTTTTATTAAAAAAATTATTAGGAAATTGAAATGAAAAGGTAGAAAATTAAGGGGATGTTTATTTTGTGTAAAATATTTTACGGATGGAAATAATTTTTTTTCCATAAAAAATTTTACATAAAAAAATTCGATCAATGGCTTGATCTATGATTATATAATAAGCTAATTTTCAATCTACTTGAATTAATTTTATATTTAAATATATATTAAGTATCTAATCTATTATTTTTGACAAGATTTTTAAACAAAATTACCAAAATTTTCACGTAATTTATACATGATTATTTTTTATTTTCAAAATATTCTTATAAATAAGATAAATAGAAAATTTTAATTTACAAATCACGTGATAAATTCTAATAGTTTAGTTTAAAAATCTTTTCAAAAGAATAACTTAAAACTTAAAGTGCATTCAATTAGAGATATCAAAATAGATTAGAGAGTTATCTTATTATATAAGAATATATTGAACCATTAATTTTTTTTTTTAATACGATGTGAAAAATATGACAGTATTATAGTGAATTAACGTGAAAGATGAATCTTCTTATGATTTGGTTTGGGCTCTGTCTGGTTTTGCCTTGGTCTGAGACTATATCGGGCTGTAACTTGGGCAACCTTTCTGCAATGTTCGAATTGAATTTCAGCTACTTTCATGGACACTTCATAGGCTAATTTGAACCATATGTTAAAAGGAGGCCTGTTTCTCAATTCCCAGCGGGCTTGAACTTTCACGTGGATCTCTCTCTCTCTCTACCACATTCTTAAAATGAATTCATCTTGCGTGGAGGAATATGCCTGAAAATTCGTAAATTAAAATATTTGAAACAATAGAAGGACATCTGAACCTTCAATTCTTTTATTAACATATGCTTTTTTAATCGAGTTTTAAGCCATTCACATAAAAAATTATAATTTATAAAAAAGTTATAATAATTTATAAGAAATTATTGACCGATAAAATAAACGACAAACTCTTTTATAAGTTACGAATTAAATGAAATTTGAAAAAAACATAAGTAGCCGATATATATAACTTCCAATGATAATTTAGAAATGATGATTTTTCACCTATAATTTAATGAGAAAAGAAGATATTTTTAGAATAAAATAATACTAAATTAACCATGATCGGTATTGATTAAGAAATTAATGAATTATTTTTGAAAAAAAAAACTATTTAATTTGTTTTTGATCAAATATAGATGTAATTAAGAATAAAGAAACATGATAGTTAAAAAATTTAATAAAAATACATGATTAAAATATTTGAAACAACGAGAGGAATATTTTGAACTTTCAATTCTTTTATTAACATATGCTTCTCGAATTGAGTTTTAAGCCATTCACATAAAAAAATTATAATAGTTTATAAGAAATTATTGACCGATACAACAAATGACGAAATCTTTTACAAGTTACGAATTAAATTAAATTTAAAAAAACATAAATAGCCGATATATATAACTTTCAATAATAATTTAAAAATGATGGTTTTCACCTATAATTTAATGAGAAAAGAAGATATTTTTAGAATAAAATAATACTATATTAACCATAATCAGTATTGATTAAGAAATTAATGAATTATTTTTGAAAAAAAAAAACTATTTTAATTCGTTTTTGTAAAATTAAAAGAGCTAATTTATAATTTACTAGCATCGAAGTAAACAAATTACAACTATCAGACTACATAAGTTTTTGGCTGTATATGTATAGAATAGTACGAGTAAAATATAAATTAGTCCCTCTATTTTTTATAAACAAATCAATTAGTTCTTTTTTAAAAATTAAATATTTAGTATCTTAATAAGTATTAACCATATTTAATTTAATATTATTTTATTTAAAAAATGTTATTGTTTCTCTTCAATCCTTTCATATTTTTACTTATTTTTTATTTTCTATTTATTAAAACGAAAATCAAAATAAATTGAAAAAGAATGAAAAAAAATTAAGTTACAAGAAAATTGAAAAATTTAGAGATTAACAATTATTTTTAAAAAGAGGATTAATTAATTCGTTTCTCAAAACTAGAACGACTAATTTATAATTTGCTCAGCTAATACAACAGCAGAAACAAGCCAAAAAAGCCACCAAAAGAATCTCTGGATATTTTCATATTTCAGCAACAATTTCAAGAAGACACGCAAACACTGTCAGACATGGAAAATGGAGCAAAGAAATGGGGTTTTCAAGCAAAGAAAGGCCAGAACCCAACAGCAGCAGCAGCAGCAATCTCAGTCCGAGGAGTTCTCAACCGCTTAGCAGAGAATCTAAACAAAGAAGACAAAAGACAAGTTATACCTTTAGCTCATGGTGACCCATCTGTCTTCCCTTGCTTCAGGACAACTCCTGTGGCTGATGAGGCTATTGTTGATGCTGTAAGATCGGCTAAGTACAATCATTATGCTCCAACTGTTGGTCTCCTTCCAGCTAGAAGGTACGGAAAACTTCCCTTTGTCTTGAAAGATTTTATACTGTCCCTGTCAAACTAGACCAGGACAGCTTGATTGGTAAAGATTTGAGATTTGCACCTGAAAGGATTGTCTTTCTTCAATACAATCTGTTAACTATAAGAAAAAAAGAAAAAATGGGCATTAAGAATACAAAAATACCAAACAAATACTCAAGGTGTAAGCTGAAGAATGATAAAATCAGATGCAGTTTGCCAGGGAAAGCTGTAGTATCTAGGCACTTACAATTTGTCATATATGCAGTCTCAATTTGGAGCTTGATGGGATTGCCTACTTTGTTTTTGTATGTTCTGGCATTTTCTATATTGTTAATTCAACTACAAGATCAGAATTTAGTTTATTTCTTGAAACATTTTGCAATTTGTGCAGATTTTTGGGAAAATGATATGAAGAATGCTTGAATAATGTCTCTAATTTGTCTAATTGAATGTGAGTTTGAAATCTTACAGGGCTGTTGCGGATTACCTTAATCGGGACCTTCCATACAAGTTATCAGCAGATGATGTCTTTCTTACACTTGGTTGTGTACAGGCAATTGAAATTGTAATAGCAGCCCTTGCTCGACCCAGTGCCAACATCTTGCTTCCAAGACCATGTTTCCCGCACTATGACGCTCGTTCTGCATATAGTTGTCTTGAGGTTCGCTATTTCGATCTTCTCCCAGAAAAGGGATGGGAAGCTGATCTTGAAGCTGTTGAAGCTTTGGCAGATGAGAATACGGTTGCAATGGTTATTATAAACCCTGGCAATCCTACTGGAAGTGTTTACAGCTACCAACATTTGGAAAAGGTGGCTTAAACTACATTTGTTCCTTTTTTTATTTTCGTTAATATCCCTGTTTCTGGACTAATGAAAGGATACATGGTTGGAGCATGTCTTTATGTTAGCCTCTTTATGGGGCTAGAAATGTGGTTATGTTTCTGATGTTGTTTTAAGTTCTAGTTGTTATTTATTTGTTGAATTAGGTTGCTGAGACAGCGAGAAAGCTTGGGATTATGGTGATTTCTGACGAAGTATATGACCATCTGACATTTGGGAGCGCTCCATTTGTGCCAATGGGAGTCTTTGCATCCACTGTGCCTGTCCTTACGCTTGGATCTATATCCAAGAGATGGATTGTTCCAGGCTGGCGAATGGGTTGGCTGGTCACAAATGATCCCAATGGCATCCTTCAGGATTCTGGGGTTGGTTCGCTAGATGCTTTGACATAGTTTATGGTTCAAAGCCTTCTGTTTCTTCTCAATTAGAGCACCTATGCCTTATTCTGGACTGGCTTTAACTTTTTTATTTTTGCTTCCTAGGTTGTTGACTCAATCAAGAACTGCCTCAATATATCTTCTGATCCTCCAACTTTCATTCAGGTTTGTGATTCATGATGTTTTTCCTGAAGACCATACTTTTGAGTTTCAGCTTACAATCTCTGATACAATAAATCGTTGATATGTATCATCAGGCTGCTCTTCCACAACTCATTGAAAATACAAAGGGGGATTTCTTTTCAAAAATCATTAACATACTAAGAGAGGCTGCAGCCATATGTTATGGAAAGATTCAGGACATCCCTTGCATCACTTGCCCAAGTAAACCAGAGGGTTCCATGTTTGTAATGGTGAGTCATGAGTGCATCCCATGTTCAACACATTTCTTTCTCTTTAAATAATGAAGAAGACAGTTATCAAGTAAAAAACAAATCCCATTTTTCAGGTGAAATTGAATTTGTCTCTGTTGGAAGGCATTGAGGATGATTTGGACTTCTGTCTTAAGCTGGCTAAAGAGGAATCAGTCATGGTACTCCCAGGTAATCAATGCCAAGGACACAAGTTTCTTTTGTGGGGTGGATTATATTGATGGAAAATGTAAACTTTAAATGCATTCAGTGTTACTGTTGTCGGGGACATCACCTAACGGTTTAAGCTTTTGGATTTAGTGGCTTTTCGATTGATTCAATCATGGGCACTTATCCTGACAACATTATATTATATCTTGTAGGAATTACTGTAGGAATGAAGAATTGGCTTCGCATAACTTTTGCCATTGAGCCATCAGCACTTGAAGTTGGTCTCGAGAGGCTGAAAGTCTTTAATGAAAGGCATGCCAAGAAGCAATAAGATTTTATCTAAGCATCAAGAAGCGATGAGGATCAATAGTTGCTCGTTGATTCTCATGCTCCAATGTTAGATTACTAGCCATTCAGTCAATAAGAAGAGGTTGTGGAGATTTACAACTTCTCGTTGGATCTCCAAGTAATTGCTTGTCATCAATAAACTTTTCTGATAAACTCTACAGGGAAGTATTTTCTTCCATCAAAAAACTCTAGACATTGCTTTTGCTGGCAGGCTTCTCATATTGAGCAATAATATACTTACTTCAAAATGGAAATTTTGGTAAACGATTTTTGTTCTTCTTTATACATATGTATATATTTTGAGATTGTTTTTCCTTTATAGTTGATCTGATGGTATTTAGATTATTCTGGCCAAACTAATGTTTTGTCAAATATTGGACCAAAATCCACCAGGTCCATCCATGGTCCACATATGAAATTGTTTGGATGTATAGATGATGCAAGGAGAAGAAGATTCAGTAAGCATACATGTATGCTAAAAGAAACATAAGGTTGTTCCTTGACTTTATAGAATACCAAAACAATTTTGCTTTGGCAAAGACTCTGATTTCCAAGTTTCTGCCCAGAAAATCTTCAAATTTGCACTATTTCAACTTTCCAATGGTATTCCTTCTCTCATCACAACAGAACATTTCTGTTGAAAGAAATCAGTATTTCTTTTTTCTACAAAAGCTTCTAAAAACAACTATCGACATTGAGTGGACAATGTCTTGAAGTCAAAATTTTGACTCTTTCTATCCAATGCAATGCACAAATACAATTCACCACGTGTCAGTTGAACTAAAATACCATGGTTATCAAAACATTATATATTACATTAGTAATAAAATAAAATAATTAGTTTTTTTTATAAAAAAATTAATTAATTTGTTTCTTAAAATTAAAGGGGCTAATTTATTATTTACTCCACAATTGATGTTCTTGCAAAAATAAAAAATAAAAAAACCCTTTATTTTATTACATTTTATATGTACATAAATATAATAATATTTTGTTTTAGATTTAACAATAAGAACGTATTTTGACTAACTTTTATGTATTTTAAGATTAATTCTTTACTAATAGTTAATCTCTCATAGAACATAGTTAAGTGATACTTTTCAATACACGACTTCGGGTATTTTAAGAATAAATTTTTAAAAATACTGATCATAGGAATTAAATCCTAAACCTAATCTATAAGTTGATACCTATTTACTAGTGGATTACCACTTTGTAATTGGCTATATAAATTAATTAATAAAAAAGAAAATGAAGCTACTGCAAGCATTAACATTAATTAATAAAAAGGAAAATGAAAAATGAATGGTAGTCCCCACCTCAAGGATCCAAAGCATCCAGCAAACCAGACATGCGTTGGCCATATAAATTTTCCTCTACGACAGCAGCAGCAGCAACCCCTTGTCCTCTTAAAAAACAGCCCAAAAAACATCACAACAACGTAGGAAGAGATGGAAAATGGATCAAAGAAATGGGGTTTTCAAGCAACCAAGAGCCTCAGCACCTCTTCAGCAATCACGGTCCGTAGAGTTCTTAACCTCTTACTGGACAATCTCAATAATGAAGACACAAGACAAGTTATACCATTAGCCCATCTCCTTGTTTTCGTACAACTTCTGTAGCTGATGAGGCTGTTGGTGATGCTGTAAGATCTGCTAAGTATAGCCATTGGTACTCCAGGATGAAAGCTTAAAAAGTCTTTCTGAACAAGACTATTTTTCTATGCAAACGCAAAAGAACCATCTCTGCATTTTGCTCTTATAGAAGAGAGCCATTATGTGCATTGTTAGACACACAGACTGAGGAAAAATATTATGCTAAAGCTATTATTTCGATCGATTGATGTCCTTATCCTCATGCATAAAATATATAAAATCCCTTGAATGATATGGCATTTGATTCTCACATACAATAAATGGATGCTAAACTATATTAATTGTAAAACAAGCAGAACACTTTTTATAGCAACTGAAAAAAAAAAGTGATTAAAATCTGCAGCTTGGATAAGAAGATCCGTGATCAATTCTTTTTCTTTCGAATGTCTTCATCTCATGTTTAAACCTCAGTTGTCTTGTGACACCATATCTTTGAGCGAAACAAAGCTCGGTTTGTGAACGAACCATCTATTTTCGTATTCTATAGCTGGATCATAACCAATTGCCCCTTCGACTATTGAAGTCTTGATTCTTATAGGCTCGTTTTCAAATGGATTCTCAGGACTGTCCAGCATTGTAAACGTTTCCTTTTCAGTATCATACAAATACAAGCCCAGCCATCCCAATACCACAATATCCCCATTCTTTAAGGAGACAAAGGGTTCCAAGCTATGTAATCTTTCTTTAATGACAAGTATTATAGTCCAAGATTCAGGAACACCATATTCTTTCATCTGCCATACCTCCAGGAAATTTCTACTCTTCCAGACACAGAGGGTGTCTTTGTAAGTGCATGTACCTACTCTATACCGATTTTCAAACCCTTCTTGAAGAGGTGGAGGCCCTGCCATTTGTCTAAATTGCTCAGTATCGAAATCGAAAACACAAAATTCAACACTACGCAATTCTACTCTTTTGATAAGCCAATGAAGAGATCCATTAGCAAATACTACGCTTTTAACACGTAACTCCCGATTTTCTTCTGTAAAATAATCATATCGCGGGAGGGCCACCTCAATACTTCTCCAGTAGCTACTGCCAATTGTGCATACTTCAGCTTGAAAATCTAGTCCGTCAGGGAAAATTCTAACAGCCTTGAATTGGTTAGTCTTGGGACTAAACCCTAATCCGCATATATACGAGTATAAACACCGTCCCGTATTTAATGGAGGAAGCTGCATGGATTCACCTGTAACGGGGTTTGCTATGCTCATAAAAGCACTCCTAGGAAAGATATGACGTGAAGGAAGTACGAGTAGACAAACCAAGCCATTGCATGAGTTGATGAGCCGGGATCGGAACGAGTCTGAACTATTTGGGACAATATTGCAGTTTGCAGACTTCCCTTCAAATTCAAGCCAATGGATGTTTCTCTTGTACTCTTCTCTGCTTCCATGCCTGTTGGATTTACAGATCTCTTGCACAAAAAGTACCGTGTCAGTGAGTTGTTGTTGAAGTTTGGTGAAGTTAGGGTTTCCAAGAACAAGTTTCCATGATTTGCAGACGAATCTGCATTGGATAAGAGTTGTGATGGGGAGTTTCCAGAAGATCTCTTCTAAGATGTTGTTTGGGAGGTTTGATATGTAGCAACTCATTGTTTTGATAGATTTCTCTGTGACTGCTGCTAATCTATTTATAGAAGATTGAAAAAAAAAAAAAAAACCCTAAAAAAATTGATTTTAACTTCAAATACAAGTCTAGTTGCCTACGGTTCAAGCAATTAATTAAACAAGACTATCTGGCTTTCTGGTCCTTCTTATTTCTTGAACACAAAATTGGTCCTTGACATTCTTGATGGGAAAAGCTCTTTTGGGTGTAAGCAATCTTTTAGAAAAATCTACAGATTATATATATACACGCACACACACAGGAACTTACAAGTAATAAGATGGTATAACGGAACCAACAAATATTGATACATGTTATAGTTCTCATCAGACTTCAATTAATGCAACCTAGTTTTAGTTTGTTTTCTCTGTAAGACTTCAATTCCTAAAAATTAAATTTAAGAAAATATTAAGCAATCGATGTGTATATTTGTTTTTCTTTTTCTCCATGTTTTTTCCTCATAATCTATAAGCCTTGCATAGCCTCAATTTCCCAATAATGTGCATTTCGTATTTCTATATCTTTTTGATGGATTTCATTGAACAGTGAGCTATCCTAAACCCTAATTTCTAAAATGCTTAGAAAGTAATGATCATAATCTCAAGTCTGTAATCTCAAGTCTGTAGGATAGGATACTCTTAATCAGTGATTAAGAAGATAACCGACGGATTCAAAGAAAAGTTGGATGAAGAAGGATTTGGTTTTGTGTATAAAAGAAACCTTCGTAATCACAGTTTTGCAACAGTAAATAGTGACGGAGTATATTTTTTATAGACATGGTAGCATCCACCATAAGAAATTTGCTAAATAGTGACGGAGTTTAAACTATCATTAAATGTTGATTAAATAATATCAGATTAGCTTTTATTATATTAGCGATGAAACAACGATAGATTTGCGATGGATCAATTTTTGCTTCTAGATATACTTTTAACGATGAATTAGAGACGGATTAGTTACGGAAAATAACTTCGGGTCATTAATTCTGTTGTTAAAAAAATCTTTTTTAGCAATAATCAATTCCTTGCTAAAAGGTCACTATTTAGCGACAGAAAGTTTTCTATTGCTAAATATTAAAATTTTAGGTAGAAAGACACATCAAATATTATTATTTAACAACAGATCAATGACAGGATCGTTTCCATCGTTGATATGAGTTCCCATCGCTGATTTGAATTTCTTTAAAATCCAAACAAAACCTTCTCCCTCATTCTCCTCCATTTCTCTTCCTCCCTTAGGCTGCTGCCCCTCCTCCAACCCCTCAAATCCTCCACAAAACTCCCCTCATCCACTCCACATTATATATTACATTAGTAAAAAAATTAAGTAATTATTTTTTTTTTGATAAAAAACTAATCATTTTGTTTCTTAAAACTAAAAGAGCTAATTAATAATGCACTCCACAAACAATGGATGTTCTTGAAAAAAAAAAACCCTTATTTTATTACATTTTATATTTACATAAATATAATAGTAAATAATAAAAAAGAAAATGAAAAATGAATGGTAGGCTCCGCCTCAAGAATCCAAAGAATCCAACAAACCGGACATGCGTTGGCCACATAAATTTTCCTTTACGTACGACAACAGCAGCAGAAACCCCTTGTCCACTTAAAAAACAGCCCGAAAAGCCTTACAACAACACAGGAAGAGATGGAAAATGGATCAAAGAAATGGGGTTTTCAAGCAAACAAGAGCCTCAGCACCTCATCAGCAATCACAGTCCGTGGAGTTCTTAACCTCTTACTGGACAAACTCAATAAAGAAGACAGAAGACAAGTTATACCATTAGCCCATGGTGACCCTTCTGCTTTTCCTTGTTTTCGTACAACTCCTGTGGCTGATGAGGCTGTTGCAGATGCTGTAAGATCTGCTAAGTACAACCATTATGCCCCAACTGTTGGTCTTCTTCCTGCTAGAAGGTAACTCGACCCCCTTGAGAGATTCTTGTGGGTTCAGTTTCTTTTTTCCCTTTTACTCTCTAAACATCATCATCATTTATTTTGTGGGAAGCCTTTGAGGTAATGGTCCAAAAACCATCCATTTATGGCTGTGATATGTTCATAGGAATATGATTAACCCTGCTGCGTAACACAGTCCTGTTTTTGCTACATTTCCTTTTTTTTTCTTGTGTAGATTCTGATTTTTTGCATTATTTCTGTACTGTACATCTTTTGTTACAGTAATTCAGTATTTGTGAGTCTCATCAGATTGGTACAATATAGATTATAGCACTTTTGTCCAAATCTTGCTTTTGCTAGCAGAACTATTTTTTTTTTGGAATTATATCTTGTTTTGGAGAAGGACATTAATGGGGGATTGATTATCATATATCTGTCAAAATTATCTGTGCCTTATTATTTTATTGAGGTGAATGGTGATGATTGCTTCTAGGCTTTGAATACTTGTTCATTGTTGTACTTTAGTTCTTTCTTTAGCTCTATATTATATTATTTTATATATTAGTTTTGTGGCCAATAGAGACATGAAGGTTAGAAGGGATTGAACGGGCTTCTGCTTCGGAAAGGGAAAATGATAGAAAAGACAGAAAAAAAGAGAATCTTTCTTTAATTAATTCTCTAATGTTGGCCTACCTACTATCTTTTTGGGAGTTTTACAGAGCAGGCAAAGCTGTTTTATTCTGCCAATCAAATTGCAAGACTTGACAGCCTCAACTATTTGATATGCTTTGCATACCATAGGCAACACCATACATAGAGGAAAAAAAGGGTGGGACCATCTAAGGATTTCATAGTCACAGAAACTAGAGGGCCCCATATTTGGGACCCACTGACCAGGTTAGAAACGTTTAAGATCGTCGTTGATAATGCTTGCAAGAAGAAGGCTCGCAAAGTTTTTATCAGGGTTTTCCTTCGAAAGTATGACAATATCTGGTGCAGTTTATCAAGGTCACTTATAGCTAAGGAGAACTGACTAGTTGGAACATATAATATTAGGCCATCAGAGGACTTGCATAGTGGATCCTACATAACTTAACATTTTTTATGGCCAATAAAGAAACCCTGACATATTTTTCCTATTTTTTATGTTTCCTTCAATATTTTAATTGCTTCAAGAATCCTGACAAGCAAATTTGGTCTAACTTCAATGGAATTGCAGTGTCCAATGTGGAGCTTTGATGGCATTTCCTATATTTATTTCTGTATGTTTTGACTTTTTCCATATCATCGATCCATGTTTCGTGGATTCATTTTTGTCGTCTTTTAGATAAATACAGACTCAGGTAAGGTATTGCTAACATATAGTACACAAAGAAAAATAAAGTATCGAGGATAGATTTTAAACACGGCATAAAGATAACAAGAAATAAATTATTTAAAGAGGGAGTAGACACAAAAACACTTGATAAAAGATATTTTATTTATTAGAAACTTAACTTACTTCACTCTACGTAACATCAAATTACTTATAACTATATATAGATATACTCATATATATATATAACTAGACATTCCTTGATTATTATATACAGAATACTAAATGTTATATTAATGACACATCACACATAACTAGGTTCATGAATGTAATGATTACATTCATACTTATTTATTCATACTTAACCATAATTAAGTTTACTTTCTAACATCCCCTTGTAAACTTATTTATCCACTCGGTCATGACTTTTCAAAAATTACTTGGTCCACATCCAAAAGGAAAATCTCGAATAGCAAAAACTCTTCTTGGAACTCTAAAATTTACTCCATTAGTGCTCGATTCTCCAGATTCCATTTCTTTTAGTTTCTTCTTCAGTTCTTGCATTTCTTGGACAACATTATCATAACCTTTCCTCAAATCCTCATATACATCCCGGATCCGGCTCAAATCAAACTTTGTTTTATATAATTCTCTTTCATTAACATCCTTTATGATAATGTCATAGACACACTTCCAATGTCTTATCACACACAAAGTTGTTTCATTTTCGGCATCTTTTTTGGTATATGCCTTAAATCCATATTGTGTATGTTTTCTTAATTTTTCTTCAAACTCAACTTTAGCAATAAATTCTGGAGAATGATGTTACCCAAACTTTTCACACGAATAACTTGCTAAAGGCAAATTCAAATTTTCAAGTAATTCCTTCAAAAACATTTTGAATGGTGTTGAAACAACAACAAACACAATACACTCTATTTCTTCTTACGAGGTTCTCTTCTTGACCTCACTTTTGCTTTTAAAATAACTCTTCACCAGCTTCTTTACTTTTTTTATGGAATCTAACTCTTAACTCACACCAACTCAACATGTTCTCTTTTCAACAAACCTGGAGAAAAACTTCTTCAATTGTGTACTTCTACCGCTTGTGCCTAATTTAACCTTTTCTTAGTCTTACTAACAATCAACCAATGCTCCGCTACCACTTGTTGGTGATAGGAACCCAACTCGAGCTTTGATACTAATTTGTTGGGGATAGATTTCAGACACCACATAAAGATAACAAGAAGGAAATTACTTGGAGAGGGAGGAGACACAAGAACACTTGATAAAATATACTTTGTTTATTAGAAACTTAACTCACTCAACTCTACATAACATCAAATTACTTATAACTATATATAGGGATACTCATACACATATAACTAGACATTCCTTAATTATTACACACGTAATACTAAACATTATATTAATCACGCATCACACATAACTAGGTTCATGAATGTAATAACTATATTCATTCTTATTTATTCATACTTAGCCATAATTAATTTTACTTTCCAACAAAAAGAACTACTAGGCTTTTGTTCCAACTTCCAAGATTCAGCTGTATTACAAGCTTAAATTTTTAACTACAATATTGGAATGCTATTTGTATGTTTTGATTAATGTGTTATTTGTACATTGTAATGTAACTAATTTATCAAAATTTAAACTTCTTTTTTTGAAACATTTTGGAATTTTGTATCTGATTCTATTGAAAGCTCTTGTGCACGTTAAGCATATGTCGAACATTGCTTCATGTCGAACATTACCAGAAAATTGCTTAAAGGTATTGAACTTTTGTGTTTGGTAAACAAGATGATTCCATGTTCTTGATTATATTCTCTTCGGAGTTCCTAATTTACAGAAGAGATTAGAAATGATGCCATTAATTCAAACATAATAGCGTGTTTAGTTCAATCAAGTGGATGTGAAAGCAAAGAGTTACTGAAATCCTATGAAATTAGACTCCATGAAGGACATTTCATAATGGTCTGATTGAATGTGATTTTGTAATCCGACAGGAGTGTTGCAGATTACCTTAATCGTGATCTACCATACAAGTTATCACCGGATGATGTCTTTCTTACAATTGGTTGCACACAAGCAATTGAAATCACATTAACTGTACTTGCTCGACCTGGTGCCAACATTTTGCTTCCAAGACCTGGATTTCCATACTACGAAGCTCGCGCTACACATAGTCATCTTGAAGTTCGCCATTTTGATCTTTTCCCTGAAAAGGGTTGGGAAGTTGATCTTGAAGCTGTTGAAGCTCTGGCAGATGAGAATACAGTAGCCATGGTCGTCATAAACCCTGGCAATCCTTGTGGAAGTGTCTACAGCTTTCAACATTTACAGAAGGTGGGTTCAACTAACTTTCTGTTTGCCTTTTGCTTTATATTTCCCCCATTTGAACCGAAGCAAGGATATTAACAGCTGCTGTTTTTTCTATGTAACCATCGAAAAAACTTATCGGTTCGCAAGCTATGTTGCTGGTTGCTGCATTTTAGTCTCTTCATGTCCTTGCATGATATTGTCCGGTTACATGAAAATGTGGGGCTCAATTGTATTAGTTGGAGTATGTGCTCATATTAGCCACATTTTGTGTTTTTTTTTTTTTTTATATTAAATTCCTTCCTTCTCTTTTCGGTTAGAAAATGAAGTTATATTTTACATGTCTTTGTTTGTTTTAATAGATATTTATTTGTTAAATATTAGATTGCAGAGACAGCTAGAAAGCTTGGAATTATGGTGATTGCTGATGAAGTCTATGGCCACCTGACATTTGGGAGTACTCCATTTGTGCCAATGGGAGTCTTTGGATCAATTGTGCCTGTCCTTACACTAGGGTCCATTTCGAAGAGATGGATTGTTCCTGGCTGGCGGATTGGTTGGCTTGTCACAAGTGATCCTCACGGCATCCTTCAAGATTCTGGGGTTGATCCTCTCTCTCTCTCTCTCTCTCTCTCTCCTCTCCCGCCCTCTCTCAGAGCATACATATGAATTGGCATTTTTTCTTATGTAGGAATTGGCTGGTCATGATGGTTCGAAAACTTTTGTTCTTCTTAATCAGAGAAACTATGAGACATTCTGGTATTACAGCCATCAGTTTAACAATTTTGTTTGCTGTTCGTAGGTTGTTGAGTCAATCAAGGCTTGCCTCGACATTTCTTCTGATCCTGCAACATTCACTCAGGTTTTTGATTCATGATGCTTTTCCTAAACAGCATGTTCATAGTCTGAGTTGTTCTGTCAAGAATTGCTATAATAATATTGATCCTGGCTTATGAGTATAAACCTGGAGTCATTGGATAAATTAATTCTTTTCAATTTTTGATGGAGACATTTGCTCTCAGCTTGCTTATTATCCATGCCTGTTTGCTTTGAAATATGACAAACCTTTGCTATGTTTTAGGGTGCAATTCCTCAAATCATTGAGAATACGCCAAAGGATTTCTTTTCAAAAATTAATAACATACTTAGAGAAGCTGCAGACATATGCTATGAAAAAATTCAGGACATCCCTTGCATTACTTTACCGCATAAACCTGAGGGTTCTATGTTTGTAATGGTGAGTGTGTAATATTGTATGAGACATTTTTTTTCCTTTACAAATGAAGAACATAATCACCAAGTAAAAGTACTTTTCCAGGTAAAATTGAATTTGTCTTTATTGGAAGGCATTGATGATGATATGGAATTTTGTCAAAAGCTGGTCCAAGAGGAATCGGTGATGATACTCCCAGGTAAGGCATTTTAATGGCACACAGGTCCTTGTCCTGAGTGGGCTAAATTAATGGTCTCAAATTCTTAGAACTTCTCTGGCTGCCAGCTTCTCATTTCATATGCTAAATGAGAGGAAAATAGATCATTCACGACTCAAACTATTAGAGAAAGTTTCAAACTAGCTAAGTGGAAGAACGTGTCGTTTTTAGTAAGATGTGTTTGGGATTATCTGTTTTTAAAGACCTAGGAAGAAAAGGAATTTAGGTTTCTCGGGCAAATTTAAGCTCAAAATGATTACAAACAAACTTTTAATATTAAAATTTCACACAAACTGATGTGTTAAATGATTGGTCTCTGAGTCTGCCACGAAAAATGTAACTGTTTGTAACATTGTATGATATATATATATATATATTTTTTAAGGATTTGTTTGTTTCTATGGCATTACTCTAATAGACATGCACTTCATCTCTAGATGTGCTTATTCAAGATTGACTGGATTCAACTATTGAAGCTTGTACTGAACATTATTTCTTGCAGGAATTACTGTGGGAATGAAAAATTACCTTCGCATAACTTTTGCCATTGAGCCTTCAGCTCTTGAAGTTGGCCTGGAAAGGCTAAAAGCCTTTTATGAAAGGCACGCCAAGAAGCAATAAGATTTTATCCGAGCGTCAATCAGTGAGGATCAATAGTTGCAAGTTGATCCTCATGCTCCCATCTTATATTTATTTACTAGTCAGTCAAGAAATAAAGATGCCGCATCTCTGTAATCAAGAAACAAGTTAAGGGCCTGTCGAGATCAGCAACTTTGCGTTGGATCTCCAAGGTGCAATGCCAGTTCTTCCTGTAGTTCTTTAGACCTCAAAACTGAAGGGTTCTTGTATCTCAAGGTGATAATCAAGATATAAGAAGGGGTTGTGATGAAGATCTGCAACTTCGTGTTGGATCTCCAGGTGTAATTGATTGTTTCCTGGAAGTTCTTTAAAACTTAAAACTGAAGTGTTACTAGATGCCGAAAATCCTGGTATTAATTGTTGTTCAATCAGATTCATGGTTAGTGAAATTTACTAAACATTAAAAGGAGCTTCAAGTCCTATTGTTCAAAGAGTGAAATTTATGAACAGCAGAATACACCTTTAGTTGTTTAAGAATCCTTGTCGATCTATAATATATGCATAGCATTTCACTTTCAGATTTATAGAAAGTCCGTCCAGTAATTAGCTAAAAAATGATCAAAATGGTGGGTTGGTGAATGTGTTAGATTATAGGTTCAGCACTCATGCCCAACAGGAACAAGATATTATGTCCAAAATATCACGTGGTAAAGGTATTTTCAAATCTGTTCTCCTTTTCCTTCTTGGTCCGCAAGTTTATCCCACGTCCAAAAGTCTCAGATTTGAACTTTCTCAGAAATCTCCCTTAATATGAAGCGAAGTAGAACTTCCCTACCATATTTTTTAAATAAGAAAACTACGATGCTAATTTTAAAGGAATAATTTTGAAAATGTCATTTCTTGTCAAATTAAGAAAACAAGAAAAAAGTTTTTTTTTTTTTAAATAAAAATATAAACACATGCAGTGATAGGTGTAAAGAATAAGACGAGGGCAAAGTTCACTACTGATAGGATGAATAGAGTCACTAGATGGTGCTCTCAAAGCAGAGTTTTTGTTTTTACCTTTTCAATTTCAATTTATCTAGTTGAACCTTGGTCATTTTATACTGTGGAAATCTACTCTTTTCGTATCCTTGATAGCCAGGAATAATAGAAAAATATACCCGTGTGTCTTTTTCCATTTTGGTGCTATTTGCAAGCTGCATCTTCTGGGAAAAACACTTTTAGTCTGTACAAGTTTTGTCTATATATGTTCTTTGCATTTGCACTTATGTTACACACAACAAAGCAATGGAGGGGCAATCAACAAAATGGACGTTTAGAGGGAATGAGCTGTTGGATGAAACAGCAGCTGTTAGTGTCAGAGCTTATCTGAATATGCTGTATGATCATGTTAACAAAGATGATCAAAGGCCTATTATTCCCCTTGCCCACGGTGACCCCTCGGCATTTGCGTGCTTCCGAACCAGCCCTGAAGCTGTAGATGCTATTGTTCATGCTGTTCAATCAAATGAGTTCAATTCATATGCTCCCGCTATTGGAATCCTTCCAGCAAGGAGGTACTTGCTTCAGGTTCTTTTCTAATGCTTATTATATCTTAGATATTAGTATTGCTGAACCAAACTGATATTTCTACTTCCATTTCATGAAAGGGCCGTGGCAGAATATCTTTCTGCTGATCTTCCATACAATTTATCAGCAGATGACATTTATCTTACAGTTGGTTGTACACAAGCAATAGAAGTCATATTATCTGTTCTTGCTCGTCCTGGTGCCAATATTCTGCTTTCTAGACCAGGATATCCAATATATGAATCACGGGCGGTTTTTAACAAGCTTGAAGTACGCCATTTTGATCTTATACCAGAAAAAGGTTGGGAGGTTGATCTTGAATCAGTTGAAGCCCTTGCAGATGAGAACACTGCTGCCATGGTTATTATTAGCCCTGGCAATCCCTGTGGAAATGTCTTCTCTTACCAACATTTGAAGAAGGTGCAGGTCTATTCTAAATATTTCTTGGCCACTGGTAAAATGTTCTAGCACTAAACTTAAATGTTTTTGTTTCATTATTAGGTTGCAGAGACTGCAAGAAAACTTGGGATACTTGTGATTGCTGATGAAGTTTATGGCCATCTAGCATTTGGAAGTAATCCATATGTACCCATGGGGGAGCTTGGATCCATCGCGCCTGTTATTTCTCTTGGTTCTATATCGAAAAGATGGATTGTTCCGGGTTGGCGATTTGGTTGGGTTGCAACTTGCGATCCTAATGGCATCCTTAAGAAATATGGGGTCGGTTTTTCATCTTTTTCTATCCATGCTTGTAATTTTTGCAAGAAGTAAACTGGAACCCCATTCTAACTTCTTATAGATGCAAGTTGTTCTTGTTCATCCTGAATCAACTTGCCTAATTAGGCCTTCATATTCTTACCAGATAGCGGATAGCATTAAGAACTATTTCAACATCGCAAGTAACCCTGCAACCTTTATTCAGGTACCCTTTGGTTGCATTTGTCTGCCCTTTCTCATTCAGTTCTTGTTCACTCCTGGAGGATGATTTGCAACATTTTTTCTATTGTTAGGCAAAAAAAAAAAAAAAAAAAGGTGTTGTTGTTGATTTCAATAACTTCAGCCTGCTTATGTGTTATTTATCAGGCAGCAATTCCTAGAATCCTTGAGAAAACAAAAGAAGATTTCTTCTCGAGAACTATTAACATAATGAGAGAAGCCGCAGACATATGTTATGAACAAATTAAGGAGATCCCTTTGGTTACTTGCCCACATAAACCTGATGGATCCATGTTTGCTATGGTAAGAACAAAGAAATCCTGAACTCGATTCTGCCCCAAAAGAAAATCAAGCACGGTAATGAGATTCCTGATGACTAATATATGTTACAGGTAAAACTAAATCTCTCCTTGCTTGAAGACATCAGCGATGATATGGACTTCTGTGTCCAGCTGGCAAGAGAGGAATCTGTGATTGTTCTGCCAGGTAAAGCATAAACAATGCAGAATCATCTGTTAGATATCAATAAAGCTGGGCTTGTGCTTTGATAATTTTTTCTCCAGTGTCTAATATGATGCACGAGCACAGAAAATTGAGGCAGGCTTTGTATCTCAAGTTGGCAGAAATAATGTTGAAAGCTAATATATTTGGTGCAGGAGTAGCTGTTGGACTGAAAAACTGGCTCCGGATAACATTTGCCATCGAGCCAGAGTCTCTTCAACAAGGCCTCGACAGGATGAAAGCATTTTGTCAAAGGCACAGCAGGAAGTGATAAGAATTAAGAAATACCAAGTCTAAGATCAAGTGATGGTGCCGAGTTTCGACAGCTTCTGCATCTTGCATTAATAAAATTCCCATCTTTGTCCATGAAGACCGAAGAAGGGATAGAGAAGTTCAAGTTGTAGGTGCTATCAAGTTCCTTAAACCCTACATTATCTTATGTACTATGAAAAGTGTCTTAGTCGACAACACAAAAGTTGTCACATCTAGTAAAGTTAATAAAATCCCATCTGCCTATCAAGATAGCAGAAGAAGGGGTGGAGGAGATTAACAACTTCTCATTTGATCCAAATTCTCATGCTGTTACTGAAGTTCCTTAAATGTCAAAAATCAAAGTGTTATTAGATGTTTGAATACCTTGTACTAAATGGGTCATTTGAAATATACTCTATCATCATTGGCCAAATGATAACACATGAAAATATGCCTTTTCACTGTCACCAAAAAATTTCTGGCAAAAGTAGGGCCAGCAGAAGAAGTTAAGACAAAACGGATATGACGCCAAACTATCATCAGAGCAATTATTGTCTCCATCCAAACATGACATGTCAGATGTGACCAAGCAAACCTGCAACATGTGCTATTTTTTGTGCTTCTCTCTCTTGTAACTTCACTTCTGAAAGACAAGAAAAACAAGAAATGGAGAGTAAATTAAAGAAACTTGGTTTTGAAGGCAGCAAAAAGCTCAAAAAAGCACCGCCAAGTTACAGCATTAAAGGTGTTGTCAGCTTTCTGAATGAAATTGCGAATGCAAATGGTCACAGGCTTGCCATTTCACTTGGCATGGGTGACCCCTCTTGTTTCAAGTGCTTTAGGACTGCTACTATAGCTGAAGATGCCGTAGTTGAAGCTCTCCGTTCAGCTAAATTCAATTTTTATGCTCCCATTGGTGGTATTCCTCCTGCAAGAAAGTAGATGCTAGCAAAATATCATTCTTTAATTTGTTTTATTGATTTTTAGATAATTTGATGTTTGATTAATCTTAATTTCTAATCATTAGTGTTTGATTATAAATTATATCACAAATAATTAGAAATCCATAAACCATTTAGGTGGATGTTGCTTTGATATGATTAATTGGATTGAAATCAATGTAATTCATTAACTAAATTCCATGACATTTTAAAAAAAAATTTAAGCTGGTAATCTGTTTTTGGCCAAAAGGGCTATTGCAGAATACCTCTCCAATGATCTTCCTTAACAGTTATCACTTATCACCGGATGATGTCTATATGCCTGTTGGTTGTAAACATTCCATGGAAGTGATGGTGAAAGCCCTAGCTAGATCACAGCTAATATTCTGTTTCCAAGAACTGGTTATAGAACTTATGAAACTTCTGCAAATTCTCATCACTTAGAATTCAGGCTTTTTGATCTTCTTCCCGAAAGAGGCTGGGAGGTTGATCTAGATGCCATTGAAGCTATTGCAGATGAGAACACCATTGCTATAGTTATTATCAATCCTGGCAATCCTTGTGGAAGTGTTTACTCATATGAACGTTTGATTAAGGTAACTGATTTATACCCGCGGGGTACTGTCTTTTATGCTTGGCTATTGTTTTCATGTGCTTTCTTGATCTTGTTATGTATTAGATTGCAGAAACTGCAAGAAAGCTTGGGATTATTGTGGTTTCTGATGAATTATATGGTCATGTTGTTTTTGGGAGCAAACCATTTGTTCCCATGGGTGTGTTTGGATCAACTGTGCCTGTTATTACTCTTGGATCTATATCGAAAAGATGGATGGTTCCCGGTTGGCGGCTTGGGTGGCTAGTGATAAGTGATCCTACTGGTTTGCTTAAAAAATGTGGGGTAAAGTCATTAGGCTTATAACCTTCATTGAATCATTTAATATGTGCTATTCTGATTCCATATCCAATTGCTGCAGAAGATGAACATAGCTTGTAGAAATTGTTGCTTATATATCCTGTTACCGTAATCGTTACTTGTGTGCTTTAATTTCAGATTTCTGATTCCATCATAAATGTTCTCAATCCCACCCCTTTCTCTCCAACCTTCATTCAGGTTTGTAATTTCTGAACTGCTACATTCATAAGAGAAATATGGGAAAGTGAAATCATAATTTGAGGATCTTTTAACTATAATACGAAACTTTAGAAAGAAGAGGAGCAAAGTTCTTATGAATCACAGTCAAGTATACATTGATGTTTAGTATCATGGACCGAGAAACTCCTTTTGCATACATTTTAAGCTGAATTCTGATGGTTTGCTTCATACATGTTTGTAACTCTTGATGTTGCCCTGGTACCAGGCTGCTGTTCCTAAAATCCTAGAGAAAACAACAGAGGATTTCTATACAAAAACTATTGACATCCTTAGAGAAGCTTCAGACTTTTGTTACGATAAACTGAAGGAGATACCGTGCATTACTTGCTCCCAAAAGGCAGAAGGAGCCATGTTTGTTATGGTAAAGACAAAAACTAAGATCTTCATCTGATCTAACCTTACTTGTTAGACAAAAACATGATCACAATTTGCTCTTGCAAGTGAAGCTTAACTTTTCGCTTCTTGAAGATACTGAGGATGACATGGAATTCTGTCTCAAGCTAGCTAAAGAGGAATCTCTTCTCATTTTACCAGGTGAGCACCAAGTTAGAATTATCTACTTCCTTTCTGTTCCTTCGTTTTGTAATTTTCGATGACCTTCTGATTAACCACTAGAGGGGTGCTAGAAGATTTACCATATAGAGATTCACTAATGAAATATGTTTCTTTCAGGGGTAACTGTGGGGGATGAAGAATTGGCTCCCTTAACAGAAACATGCTAGGAAACCATCCCTTAACAGGATCAACTGCTGTTGATCAGCAAATTCACGTTGAATAGTAGACCTTGTTCAGGTTATTAGGAAATTGAAATGAACATGTATGAAACATTACCTGTAACTAAGCCGTCAGGCATGTGACTTCATAGGAAACTATTTAAAATTTTTCTGAATCAGGAACATCAATTTCTTAATTAAACTATTCATCATTAATTTACAATTTGAATACCCTCAGGCCTTTGTCTTAGATCATTATCGGACATGTAAGCTTATTTGTTACTTTCACCAAGGATTTGTTATACTAAAAGGGCAAGAAGCCAAAATGTTGGTTGCTTTGTCTCCATCCGAACACGAAAGACGATCAAGATATTGTTTAAAACTGGTTTCAGAATCATCTGCTAGATGTTAATATAATCAGGCATGCACTTAAAGCTTTTAGATTCGATGATTCTCCAATGTCCATACGTAATATGAAAAGTGTCTCAGAGGACAACAAAAGTTGTCACATCTTATCAAGTAATACAATCCCATCTGTCTATCAAGATGGCAGAAGAAGGGATAGTGGACATCAACATCTTGTCTAATCCAATTTCTCAAGGTCCTACCATGTTCCCTAAATTCTACACTGCCATAAGTACTATGGAAAGTGTCTTAGAGGACAACAAAAGTTGTCACATCTAGTCGAGTAATAAAATCCCACCTGCCTGTCAAGGCAGCAGAAGAAAGGAAGCTAGAGGAGATCAGCATCTTTTCATTGTATCACCTGAAGTTCTTTATTCATTTTCCTGATGTTTTTTTTTTTTTTAATCAAAAGGCAGGCAGAGCCCTCAAATAGCTACAGATGGGCCATTGCAGGAAAATCTATCCTGCTAAACAATCGACGCATTTATCATCCTTCCCATGTATGTGATGAAATCAAACCTTCGAAGGATGCTCAAGCGGCCAAAGAATAGAATGAACTAGTTGGGCATGAGGAGATTTTTTTTTTTTAAACTCACACACCCACCTAATAAAACTAGTTTGTTAAGATTTGAACTTGTGATCTCTTATTGTAAGAGACCACTATCACTGGGCTACAATGAAGAGATATTAAAGGACCATTCGTGATTATAAGGTCAATCGCCAATTTAAAATTCATCTCAAGCTCAAATCTTTTAAAACCTTATATTTATCATCCTTCATTCCGAGCAACTTATATTTATCTTCCATCATTTAAACATCCAGCCAAGTTCTCAAATGGGTTTTGAAAAGTAACGTATTCTATCATCCTTGGCCAATGGTTACACATGCAAGCATGCGTTTTCACTTTCATCAAGAATTTCTGGTAAAAGTAAGTCCAAAAGAAGTCATGATGAAAAGGATATATAAGAGGCCAAAATATCAGCAGACCTATAATTGTCTCCATCTGAGCATGAAACATGACCAAGCACACTTCTTGTATCCAGTATATGATACTATTTCAAGCTTAGTTTTAAATAACGACTATTATGTTATATAACGGTCATTATGTAACAGTTTCAAAGCATCTTATTATCATTATTTTAGTATTATAGTAAGTTATGATCTGTGATACTGATCATTTTTTTCAACCATACACGATTTAAAACTATAATTTCAAGTGCTTCTTTCTCTTTCAACTTCATTTCAGCAAGACAAGAAAACCAAGAAATGGAGAGCAAACTAAAGAAATTGGGATTTCAAGGCAGCGAAAAGCTCAAAACAGCACCACTAAAGCACAGCATTAAAAGTGTTGTCAAATTTCTGAAAGAAAATATCAGTGAAGATGATCACAGGCCAGCCATTTCCCTTGGCTTGGGTGACCCCTCTTGTTTCAATTGCTTTAGGACTACTACTGTAGCTGAAGATGCCATAGTTGAAGCTGTCCGTTCTGCTAAATTCAATTCTTATGCTCCTACTGGTGGTATTTTTATTGCAAGAAGGTATAAAAAAGCAACATCCACCTAATTCATTATCTAAATTCCATGACATTTTTAACAAAATTTTAAGCTGGGAATCTTTTTTTGGTTAAAAGGGCTATTGCAGAATACCTCTCCAATGATCTTCCTTACCAGTTATCGCCAGATGATGTCTATGTGACTGTTGGTTGCAAACATGCCATGGAAGTGATGGTAAAAGTCCTAGCTAGATCAGAAGCCAACATCCTGCTTCCAAGTCCTGGTTATAGAATTTATGAAACTTTTGCAAATTCTCATCACCTGGAGTTTAGGCATTTCGATCTTCTTCCCGAAAAAGGATGGGAGGTTGATCTAGATGCTGTTGAAGCTATTGCAGATGAGAACACCATTGCTATGGTTATTATCAATCCTGGAAATCCTTGTGGAAGTGTTTACTCATCTGAACATTTGAAGAAGGTAAACTGATTTATACCTGCAGGTACTGTCTTTTATGCTTGGTTCTTGTTTTCATGTCCTTTCTTGATCTTGCTATATCGTAGATTGCAGAGACTGCAAGAAAGCTTGGGATTCTCGTGATTGCTGATGAAGTATATGGCCATATTGTTTTTGGGAGCAAACCCTTTGTGCCCATGAGTTTTTTTGGATCAACTGCGCCTGTCATTACTCTTGGATCCATATCGAAAAGATGGATGGTTCCTGGTTGGCGACTTGGTTGGCTAGTGACAAGCGATCCAACTGGTTTGCTTAAAAAATGTGGGGTAAAGTCGTTAAGCTTAAAACCTTCATCGAATCATTTCATGTTTGCTGTCATTATTCTGATGCAAATTATATAGATGATGAAGATAGCTTGTAGAAGTTATTGCTCTATGTATAGTGTTGTCATAACCATAGTTCCAAATAACTGTATTTAATGAATTCGAACATATCCGTTTCTGTTATACGGTATTATAGAGAATTAACAACTTTTAATTAAACAATAACAATTACGACATTATATATAATGAAAACAACATCCATTATTTGGAGAACAACAATTATTTTATTATTGTTAAAAAAAAGGTATTATTCACTTTTTAGAGATAAATATTTTATAATTTGTATCTTGAAGATGTTATTATTATATTTCATTAGTAAAAATATTAAAAATAAATGAATTAAAATAAATTTATTAACGATTGTTAATAATTTTAACTAGGGCCGGCAATCGTAATCGCCACCGTTTTTAAAACTATGACCGCAACTATTAGTTGTTTTCTTTTCAGATTGCTGATTCCATTACAAATGTTCTCAATCCTTCCCCTATCTCTCCGACCTTCGTTCAGGTTTGTCATCTCTAAACTGGTACTACTTTGATGAAAATAATTGAAAATTGATATGTTAACCTGACGATCTTTCAACTGTGTAAATTTTTATGTTGCTTTGGTATCAGGCTGCTGTTCCTAAAATCCTGGAGAAAACAACAGAGGATTTCTTTTCGAAAACCATTGACCTTCTGAGATCAGCTTCAGACTTTTGTTACGATAAACTGAAGGAGATACCATGCATTACTTGCCCACAAAAGGCAGAAGGAGCCATGTTTGTTATGGTGAAGACAGAAACTAACAGCTTCCATTTGATCTAATCTAGGTTTGTCAGTTAAGGACATGATCACAATTTGCTGTTGCAGGTGAAGCTTAAAGTTTCACTTCTTGATGATGTTGAGGATGACACGGAGTTCTGTCTCAAGCTAGCTAAAGAGGAATCTCTCGTCATTTTGCCTGGTGAGCACCAAATGAGAAATGAGTGAAAATCACTTCATGTCCTTGTATTATCAATTTTTGATCATTCTAATCCTTCTACCTAATTCTGGCGCAAACTAATCCTTGTATTGAAAATTTTTGGACATACTAGTCCTTCCATCTAATTTCATTACCCAATTAATTTAATGGTGTTAGTTGACTTACGTCTATCCAATTAAATGATGACATGTATTAACTCATGTCTAAAAATGTAATTTCCTAATGAAAAAACTTTTATTTTTTTAAATAATCAATCTTTTTCTAAAAAATGAAAAATAAATAACCAGAAAAGAAACAATAATTAAAATTTTTAAATAATCAGTACTTTTGTCTTTTCTTTTTGTTTATTTGCATTTTTAAATAATAATTAATTAATTTTTTTTTTCAATTTTTAGAAAAAATATTTTCCATTTGGAATTATATTTTCGAGCACGATTAACACATGTTGACATCTAATTGGATAGACATAAGTCAATTGGTGCCGTTAAATTCGTTGGGAATTAAGGAATTTGGTTTGCACAAGATAGTTTAAGAGCAAGACGTGATTTTTGCCCAAGTAGAAATACATACTCCCTGTCTATTCCTTCTGCTAGTAATTTCAATGACGACCTTGTGATTAACTACTGAGTGCTGCTTGAAGATTTACCATGGAGAGATTCAGTAATGAAATACATTTTTTTGCAGGGTTAACTGTGGGACTGAAGAATTGGCTCCGCATAACATTTGCAGTTGAGCACTCATCTCTTGAAGATGGCCTTGGAAGGTTAAAGGCCTTCTGCCAGAGACATGCCAAGGAACCCTAGCTTAGCAGGATCAACTGCTGGGGATCAGCATATTATGCTGGACATTAGAAGTTAGAACTTGTTTATGTTGTTGTTTAATAAATTGAAGTAAACATGTCTGAAATATTATCTGCAACTAAGGCATGTGACTTCATGGGAAACTATTTTAAGTTCTGAATCAGGACCATCAATTTCTTGGTTAAATTATCCATCTCCCATCATTTGTTTTGCATTTGCATTTGCCTCTGTCTTATGTCATTATTGGACTTGCAAACTTGTCTGTTGCTTTCACCAATGACTTGTAATGAAAGGGCAAGAAGCCAAAATGTTGGCCCCAAGACTTTTCTCTCCATTTGAACATGAAAGATAACATTGTTCAATTTGGTTTCTTTGCCTTGGAATAAACTTCATTTGACGAGAAGAAGAGAATAATATCATGGGCACTGATGTGATCAAACCGGCACCACCAACCAGCATTGATGATGTTGTCTACTTTCTAACGGAAAATATGAATGAGGGTGATCATAGGCCTGCAATTTCTTTTGGTTTTGGCGATCCCTCTGGTTTCGACTGCTTCAGGACTACTCCTATAGCTGAAGATGCCATGGTTGAAGCTGTCCGTTCTGCTAAATTCAATTCTTATGCCTCTACTGGTGGTATTCTTCCTGCAAGGAGGTAGGTGCTGGCCAGATCATGACTTTCTTAGGGCATGCTTTTTTATTGTGATATATCCCTTCATAACTTTTGTTTTCTACTGGCAAAAGGGCTGTTGCGGACTATCTCTCTCGTGATCTTCCTTACCGGTTATCGCCAGATGATGTCTTTCTCACCCTTGGTTGCAACCAAGCTGCTGAAATTACAGTTAAAATCCTAGCGCGGCCCGGAGCCAATATTCTGCTTCCAAGACCTGGTTATCCAGATATTGAAGCTTATGCAGCTTTTAACAACCTAGAAATTAGGCAGTTTGATCTTCTTCCGGAGAAAGGCTGGGAGGTTGATCTAGATTCTATCGAAGCTATCGCAGATACGAACACCATTGCTATGGTTAATCAATCCTGGCAATCCTTCTGGAAGTGTTTATACATACAACCATTTGAATAAGGTAAACTAATCATTATTAACAATCTGTGATCTAAATCCTGAATAGTGACTATCGTTTATGCTTGGTATCATTTTCATGCATTTTATTGATCTTGTTACATGGTAGATTGCAGAGACTGCAGGAAAGCTTGGGATTGTTGTGATTGCTGATGAATTTTATGGCCATCTTGTTTATGGGAGTAATCCATTTGTGCCCATGAGTTTGTTTGCCTCAATTGTTCCTGTTTTTACTCTTGGATCTGTATCGAAAAGATGGATGATTACAGGTTGGGGACTTGGTTGGCTAGTGACTTGTGATCCAAGTGGATTGCTTCGAAAAGATGAGGTAAAGGCATAATCAAAGCTGATAACACACATTACATCACTTAATACTTTCCTTCTAATTTCATACCTTACAGAAATTACTGCTTGTCATATGATGTCAAGACCAATCTTCACCTGTTCATTCTCAGATTGCTGATTCCATTAACAAAACTCCTCGTTTACTCACCTTTCCCTCCAACCTTAATTCAGGTTTGTAATTCTAAACATTCATGAACATTATGGGACAAGTTTGTCTGTAGATCTTTATCTTACTCACATGTTAAACTGAATTCTGAGAACATGAAATTTTTTGTCCCATTATCTGCTCCAATACATAGCAGTAACTTTTGACGTTGTCTCGGCATCAGGGTGCTAATTGTTGTCAAAGGCTTGGCCACGAATTTTCTTTCTGCAGAAGCTGTAGGTCCTCAAAGGTAAAAGGTGAAATTGTCACCTTTTACCTTTGAGGACCTACATCAAAGATGACTTTCATTACCTATATCAGTTGCCAAAGCCTTCTTATTCTGTGATATATGCTCAGGATATCCTTCACCCACCATTGAAGCAATTCCCAAGGTCTAGGAGGGCTGGCATCCATTCAAGATTAGAGTGGTTCTCCTCAGGTCTCATTTTATTTATTAACACAGCATTAGGAGTCAAAAAGGTGATAAAAATCTCTGTCAAATAAGAACAACATGGGCTCGCTGATCCAAAAAAAAAAGGCATAAACTTGCATATTTTATACAAAGATTCTTATGTGCACACTAAAATATTAGCCAGCGTGATTAACATGTCGAAGCATAAATTATTAGAGGAGCTCAAAGCTCTATGAGCAGGCAGGGTGTTCGAGACTTAAGCATGATGAGTAATGGTTTGAGGTTGTTGTAAGTTATCTTTCTTGGAGAATGGATGCTATGCACCTATAATTTAATACCTCCACCATGAAGTGATATTCCATGCGATGGAATAAAATATTGCCATTTTCTCTTTCTGTGTTCCCTGTTGTGGCCATTTGAAACTGGAATCAAGTCTAAGTCAACTTAACCTCAGTGCCCTTCAGATTATATGTTCTGTTTCTTTCACTTCTAACCTTTGTTTTCTAAGGAATAACAACATCAAGACATGGAGAACAAATTGAAGAAATGGGGTTTCCAAGATAGCCAGGATATCGAAACTACTCGACCAATCAGCACAGGTGGTATGACGACAAAGCTAAAAGAAAATCTTAAAAAAGATGATCCAAGGCCTACCATTTCTCTTGGTTTGGGTGATCCCTCTTGTTTTCAGTGCTTCAAGACTTGTCCAGTAGCTGAAGATGCAATTGTGGATGCTGTTCGTTCTGCTAGATTCAATTCTTATGCTTCTTTTGGGGGTATTTTTCCAGCTAGGAGGTAGGTGTTGGCAAGTCAGAATCATGATCTTTCTAGTGCATATTAGATGTTTCAATTTCTTATTAATTCAAGATACATTTGATGGTTTTCATATCTTATACTTCATTGGAAATGCCTCTATTCATTCAAGAGGCAGCCTTCTTAATACTTCTAACTAGATTGAGATAATGTGCGCCTAATTATTTGGAGAAATCTCTTGAAGTTTATTAGTTCTGAAGCTTGTATTTTTCTTGTTAAAGGGCTGTTGCAGAATACCTCTCTCGTGATCTTCGTCACCGGTTATCACCCGATGATGTCTATCTCACCCTTGGTTGCAGACAAGCTGTGGAAATCATAATAAAAGTCCTAGCTCGGCCTGGTGCCAATATTCTGTTTCCAAGACCAGGCTATCCAAATTATGAAGCTTATGCAGCTCTTAACAACTTTGAATTTAGGCATTATGATCTTCTCCCTGAAAGAGGTTGGGAAGTTGATCTAGGTGGAATTGAAGCTCTTGCGGATGAGAACACCATCGCAATGGTTATAATCAATCCTGGAAATCCTTGTGGAAATGTATATAAATACGAACACCTGAATAAGGTAAACCGACAATTTATAGACCAAAATCCTGAAAATGTAGTTTTGATATGCTTTGCTGATCTGGTTAATATTGCAGATTGCAGAAACTGCAAGAAGGCTTGGGATTCTTGTGATTGCTGATGAAGTATATGGCCATCTTGTTTTCGGCAGCAATCCATTTGTGCCTATGAACGTGTTTGCTTCAACTGTGCCTGTTATTACTCTTGGAGCTATATCGAAAAGATGGATGGTTCCCGGTTGGCGACTTGGTTGGCTAGTGACAAGTGATCCCAGTGGATGGCTTCGAAAATATGCGGTAAAGGCACAGATAAAACTGATAGCCATTGACATATTTAGAGGATGAAGATACCTTGTTTCAAATAATTACTTGATACATTTTGTCAGACTAATGACTAATTTTCACTTGTTTCTTCTCAGATTGCCGAGGCTATTCAAAACATTATCAATTTTTCTCATACACCTGTGACTTTCATTCAGGTTTACAATCTCTAAACTACTTCTTCCTGAACATATTTGGAAATTGAGAAATTAAGTTGCAGCTTGCAGATGTCTTACAAAACTTTATCCCCTCTAGTAACTGGGACTAATCTGTTGGCATTCTATTATCAGGGTGCTATTCCTCAAATCCTAGAGAAAACTACTGATGATTTCTTCTCAAACACTAATGGCATTCTTAGAGAGAATTTGGACTTCTGTTATGACAAACTGAAGGAGATTCCATGCATGACATGCCCACAAAAGGCGGAAGGAGGCATGTTTATTATGGTAAAGACACAGAAACTAGAAGCTTAGTTTCTTCAGAGCTGTCAAGTTTAGCTGAAGACAAGCATGAATCACCATTTTCCCTTGCAGGTTAAGCTTAACTTGCCAATGCTTGAAGATATTGAAGATGACATGGAGTTCTGTCTCAAGCTAGCTAAAGAGGAATCTCTCATCGTTTTGCCTGGTAAGCAAGCAAACTAATTATACACCAATGATTTTTGCTTGAAAGATATCGCATAGAGACACTGATGAACAAAATTCTTGCAGGGATTACTGTTGGATTGAAGAATTGGACCCGCATAACTTTTGGAGTTGAACACTCATTTCTTGAAGATGGCCTTGGAAGGTTAAAGGCCTTCTGCCACAGACATGCCAAGAAACACTAGTTTTACAGGATCATCATCAGCAAATTCATGTTGAACATTAAACCATGCTTATTATGTTAAGAAAAGAAAATAAACGTGTCGAACATTAGACCTTGCTACGTGTAAGTTAAGCCCCCTTAATGTTTTGAAAAATTCATAATAATCCTTGATATTTAAGGATTTTGAATTTGCCCCATTTTTCTAGACATTTACTCCCCATAGTTTTTGAAACTATCCCATCACTCCATAGCATATATAAATTAAAAAGTAATTTATTTGTAATAATTGTACTTGAGATTATCGTTTACACATGCTATTTTATGTTTTACAATTCAAGTTTAATATAATATTTTTATTTAAATCCAATATTACATAATAAAGTAATTTTATTTATGTAATAATACGAAATAATATTTTTATTTTTGCTTGCCTTTATTATGAACCCCAACTCCCCCATGCTACCAAGTACTAACTACTATTGACGAACTGGAAATTCGCTATCCAACTTAATTGTTTATTAGTTTGTATTCGTCATAACCTACTTGTTTATTTTAATTACATGGCTTGAATTTTGTCTAAGATCTCAAACATTAAAATAAAATAAATAAAAATTTGCTTCACCTGTTATCATTTTAAATTTAATTCTAAAAAAAGTATATAAAAATATGTTTTTTCTAAATATATCAATAAAGTTTAGATCTGAAACCATAACCTATTTAGAATCCGATCAAAAACTGGTTACGTTTCGGTTTCGGTATAAAAAATTGATTGGAAAATACTTTAACGGTTATTCTATAACGTGACTTGAAGCCCACAGGGCTTCTCATCAAATAAACAATTCTGATAAATTTAGCCCAGAGTCAAACTTTCAACAAATGCAATCCAACTATGACAAAGCCGCAAACGACACAAAGGAATAGATAGGCCCAAACTTTCTTACCGTTGTGCATCGTCTGGTCTCATTGACCCCACAATTCCTACCCCAAAAAAAATAAAAAAGAAGGGAAACCTTTTGTCTCTCCAACGGCTACTTCCATTTCATCAAAACCTTCAAAACCCTCTCCAAATCTCCACATTTGACAACAAGCTTTGCTTCGTCTCTCTCAAATCTCTTTAAAATCCCACAAAGAATCTGCCATTAAAGCACTGAAAAATGGATACAACACCCCCTTCTCATAGATCAAACCCCAACTCTCAAGCAAAATCGGCCTCTCGTTTGTCAAGAATCACATACTCTATCGAACCTGAAGCACAGACTCCACAACTATCTCTAGACCCTATCACTTCATCGCCGAAGAAAACTCCATCAACCCCTTCAGGTCTCCCTCTTCAAGAACTTCTCCTTCTCTCACCATCTCCTTCAAGAAAATCAAGAACCCGTCTCGCTGACCGGTATGAGATGCCAGAGGAGGGTGTTTTAGAGCAAAATGGGTCTAGAAGGAGGGGCAAAAGTAGAGGATCTCAGAATGGTTCTTTAGGTTGTGCTTCACCGAGGAGTAGTAGAAGGTTAAGGAGGAGGTTGGAGGTGGAGAGTAGGGAAGAGAGGGATTTGATTGGTTTGGTAGATGAGGTTGGCAAAGTGAGGAAAAGAAGACACAGCGGCCGGTCTAAGAAGGAGAAAGAGAAGCTCTCTTTAGTCCCTTCATTGACTTCTTCAAGTTCTACGCCAAGTATGTATAAACGTGTTCTCCTTTTCATTTCTTCTTGTTTAGTCCTTTAAATGTGGGGTTTTTTAAAAATTGATTTGTGCTTTTTTAATGGTGATTTGTGGATTTTAGAAGTTGATGAAGGTGATGGGAGCAATTTGGATAGGATTGGAATGGTTGTTTATGATCTGATAATGTGGAAGGATGTGGCAAAATCAAGCCTTTGGTTCGGTCTTGGATGTCTATGTTTCCTGTCTTCTTGCTTTGCTAAAGGGATTAACTTTAGGTGTGTATTTCTTGTTTCTGCCCTTTCTTTTTCGAATTTTCATTTTGGGGTTTCGTTAAGGTAGCTAAATCTCTTCACTTTTATGTTTTTAAGCATTTTCTCCGCCATTTCACAACTCGGGCTTCTGTTTCTGGGTGCATCTTTCTGCTCACATTCGATATGCCAAAGGTACCTGCATGTCTCCAATGTTTCTGTTTTAGTTATGTTCCAGTTCATCAAAATCATATGTTCTGAGTTTCAGAAATTTGATCATGTAATGACAGAAACAATGTTGAAAAGAGACGAAAATTTAAGCTGACGGAAGAGGACATTTTGAGAGTGGGTAGATTGATACTGCCACCTGCAAATCTTGCAATTGCAAAGACAAGAGAGCTTTTCTCAGGAGAGCCATCCATGACCCTCAAAGTAATTATCAAATTTCATTGCCTAGTACTCTTGAAAACGTTTCACATTTGCTCAAGCAGGCATCTTAAAGAGCCTTTTATTTCCTGGTTACAGGTAATTCCATTCTTGCTTGTTGGTGCTGAGTATGGTCATCTTGTAACTCTGAGGAGGCTTTTTGCAATTGGTACGTCAACTAGAATACTCATATGTTCACCAAATCTCCTTGTGATCAATGTTTTGATGATAGTTTAGTTCTTAATTTCCAATATTGGCTGCTTCTTTGTGAATTTGGGCAGGGTTTTTTAGTAGCTTCACCATACCAAAACTATATGCTTCCTATTCTAGTCAGATAAACCAGAAAGGTAAACAAAAGCTCTCCATGTAATTGGAATGCTGTTAGTTTGTCGAACGATTCATGTGTTGATTGGAAGTGAAAGTTTTTGGGGGTATTGCAGTTGAGCAAATGAAAAGCAGAATGTTGGAAGCATGGGGAGCTTGTTCTCACAAAAAGATTGTAGCAGCATCAGCTGTGACAGCCTTCTGGAATCTGTCAAGTGTCAAAACCCGGATTTTTACTGGTAATTGTCCAGAATTGCTCAGTTTTGAATATTATGCAGAAACTCAATAGGGCATTTACATACAAGAAGAATCAAACCTCTGTCTTGTTTTCTGCCTATGGCCCAGTTTCTTGCAAAAAACTAAGTCTTTACATACACGAAGAGTCAAACCTCTGTCTTCTTTTCTGCCTATGCCTAGTTTTGTTGCAAATGCCAAGTCTTTACATACAAGAAGAATCAAACCTTTGTCTTCTTTTCTGCCAATGCCTATGTTCTTGCAAATGCCTAGTCTTTACATGCAAGAAGAATCAAACCTTTGTCTTCTTTTCTGCCAATGCCTAGTTTCTTGCAAATGCCAAGCCTCTTTGCATGCAAGAAGAATCAAACCTTTTTCTTCTTTTCTGCCAATGCCTAGTTTCTTGCAAATGCCGAGTCTTTCCATCTGAATATCTTGACTGTAATAACTATTTTCAACTCTAGATTTTCTTATGTTAGATGTAAATTTTTTTGCAGCTTTTATATCTTTGGTAATATTACGATGCTGCCGGCAACATCTACTGCCAACACAGGTTGAAGGAGGAGAGCAAGAGCAACAACGGGCATTAGTGGTGGCAGAAGAAGTGACCTCAAAGAACCAGTAGCTTTTTTTCATCTTTGCCATTTCTAACAACAATAAATTTGCACTTCAAGCAGACATATAAGGCTGTGTTGTTGTACTCCATAAAACTAACTCCATCTTAGTATGTACAAATAAAATGATATTGTATTTCTTCTTTGCCCTAATTGTTCTTGTTTTCTTCTAATCTTTTGATCTTCTTCCTATCTACCCCATAAATGAAATAAAGAATTCTCATGGCCTCACAGCCATAGGAATTGTCAAGTTATGTACATTTTCCATAAACTTGGCAGTCACAAAAATGTTTTCAATAGGAGCAACTAAAACAGATTATCTAGAAAGAAAACAATTATAATTATAAATTAGCCAAAAACAAGAGACAGCAAATTTGAATAGGATAATAAGTGGTTTGTTCTCTATGAATCCAAAAAGATCTAGAAAAAGAATTCTAATGAAGACAATCCAGATGACGTGGACAGTACATTGAAACCTCCTCCTCCTTTTTTTTTATAAAATATATATATATTTATTGGTCGTGGGTTGTTATTGGATCAATTTTTATATAAATAAAAATTAAATTTATTATGTTTTAGACTAAATTAGTTCTAGATTATGTCTAATTTTTAATTTATTATATGAATCGTATTTTTTAAATCTATAAAATATATAGTTTATTTTTGTATAGAAGAAAAAGGGTTTTAGGATAATAATCGAATTCGTAATTTGATGAATCAAAATAGTTTATTTTCTGTGAAAAAAGATTTTTTAAAAAATAATAATTGAACTCGTAATTTAATTACCGTTTCACGTATGATCTTCAATGAAGATATGGTCATGAGAAAGCAGTCTTGAATATGAAAATGATTTGGTAGCTCACAAACGACACGTCGTTTATGTCAAACTCGAAAAAGCTATGTCCTTCACACATAAGGAAGGACAATTAACTTTAACTCAACAGCAACCAATAAAAACACCACACGTGCATCAACCGCAATAAACTTCTCCTAGAAGTCGAAACCCAAATCAAAAGCCCTAATCCCCTTTTCTTTCCCTTCTCCCTTCGATTTATAAACAACCACAGCTGCTAGGGTTTGTATATAACAAGGAAAAGGCCTCTCTTTCTTTCTCCCTGCCAAATCAATAGATCTTCAATCAATAGAAATGGCGACAGCAGCAGCAGCAGCAGCAGAGAAGAGAAAGCCAGTGTTCATCAATGTAGAAGAACTAAAACCAGGCACTAATGGTCACAATCTCACAGTCAAAATCCTTGACTCTAAACCAGTCCCTGTCCCTAAGCCACGTCGTGCTCCTATGTCTCTCTCTCAACGACCTCAACGTCCTCCTCGTATTAATGAATGTCTCGTTGGTGATGAAACTGGCTGTATTGTTTTCACTGCTAGAAATGAACAAGGTAAAAGATTCGTCCAGCTCTATAGAGAAAGACTGTTATATTTTTTTTTCTGTTTATTAGGGTTTTTGATGGTTTTGATTGAAATTGTTTCTGGGTCTTGGGTTTTGAGACCCAATAAAGGTAGCTAGTTGGTTGGATTTGTGTGTTGGATATTTTTTAGGGTTTTGAGAGTTAATTCTTTGGATTTCTTATTTGGATCTTTTGGCTCTCATGAGGTTTGGTTAATTTGATGGTGTGGTGTTAAGGTTATTTCTTGTTGGTTGTTGTGGTTGCTACTCCTTTATGTTTTGTTGACTTGAGAGGGAACAGAGTTTGTTTGTGTTGTTTTCGTGGAATGGAAGGAAAGTAAAGTTTCAGCATAGTTGAGTATTTGGGCTTCTATGTCAAGGTAGTCTGTGAAGTTATTGTGTGTGTTTTTAGGATGCTTCTTCAGATTGTAAAATGGCCATTTCGAAAGTGTTATGCTTTTTTTTGTCTACTTGTACGCAGTTGAAGTATCACGTGAAAGTTACACAGTCCCACTTGATTATTAAGGTTAATGCATTGTGTTATCGGGAGTAGTTACAAACATCACATGAGCATAGATATATGTTTATTTGTACGTGTTGAACATTTCATAAGGCATTGCATTTCTCTTTAGTTTCTGAAAATAAACCCATATTTATTGAAGCAATGTTTTTTATATCTATATTAGTGCGCAAGTGTGGCTTTTTTGGAATTGCACTATTGATTTCCAGAAGGCATTGCAATTGATGGGTTTGAATTAAACAAATGCTTGAAGATAAGAATTCAAAGTTCATTTTAATTATTTATCCTTGATTAGTTTATATTAATTTGGTAGGTAAGCTAATTTTCTGTGCTAGTATCAATTGATTTTTTAAACCAGAGTGCTGCATTCAGGTGCCTGGGAAAGTAGCCTTGTCTTGCTTTCCTTAGTTTGTGTAGTTGCATGACATAAAATTTTGATGATTTGGTTAGCGATCCCGTTGTTGGTAACTAATTTATGTGGGTCAATAAAATTTACTTTGTTCTCTTCTGGATGTTTTATTCGTCTTTTGGAGGTGTTATGGGTATTTCTGGCTAGTGATGGGTGGTCTTGCTTACGTGTACCTGTTGGAGAAGATATCTGTGTTTTCTTTTTTATGTGCTCATTCATCTCCTGGAGTTGAGGGTATGGGGAAAACACATCCTGCCCCTAACACTCCATGCTGGAATACACGGGGTGGGTCTGCCTTGCTATCTGTCATGCATTGACTATAGCCTTCCTTGATTTAGGTGCTAATAAATGCTCTTAGCTTGCACATTTTAGTGATTATAAAGGTCTTGTTAATACATTTTCATATCATGTTCTAACAGTAATTTTAATCTTATCTAGTTGATATAATGAAACCTGGTGCCACTGTCATCCTGCGCAATGCAAAGATTGACATGTTCAAGGGATCTATGAGGCTTGCAGTAGACAAGTGGGGGCGTGTTGAAGTTGCTGAACCTGCTAACTTTGTAGTCAAGGAGAATAACAATCTTTCTCTGGTCGAGTATGAATTGGTTACTGTTCGAGCATGATTACCGTCTCTTATGCAAGTGAATATTTCTAATCTAGTAAAGACTTGATTCTTGTTCCCTGGTTGTGAACCATATGAGACCAAGATGCTGCTTTGAATATGGTATAAAGTTTTGATGAAAAGTTGTAAGTTTTAGCAATGTTTTATTATTAATTGCAACAATTATGAGATTGGGAACGGAATGCTAGTTGAATGTGATTACCCAATCCGTCTTTTGCCTTTCATTTTATTTTCCTTCTGTTTTTCTTTTTATCTGTTGAAATGCTCCCCTTCTCCCCTTTGGGCAATAAGGCACAGATCATGTATGGTTGCATTTGCGTAGCACAGCCCCTGCAAACTCGACTGTGCTCGTTTATTTGGTGGCCAAACCCTTCCTTTAAAAACAAACTTTAATTCTCGAAGAGGAGCAGCTAAAATGCATTATGTAAACGAGAAGGGGAAGTGCTTAAGCAAATACAGATCAGTTTATTAAATGTTGATTTTCTGCGATTTGAAGCGTGGACAAGTTGATTGTACGTATCTATCTTCAGCTTATTAGTAAAAAATCACACTTCAGCAAGGTCAGGATCAAAAGACGAACCGAGTGGTTTAGAATTTACAAACCAAACATTTTAAGAATAAAATATTTAAACTTATTCATTTATAAATAGTTTGAAACAATCTATTGGAGATCAGAAAGAAGGAAAAATAAAAAAAAATACTGGCATGTCTCAAGAGAGCAAATCCTCGAAATGTTTTAGTAGTTCAACACTGAATTTCCAGTTTGGAAGGGCTATGCAACATACAACACACTCAGGCAGACAAAGCCACTGTCAATTTCCGCACACACAACTTTGAGTGATCCACGGTGCCAAGGAAAGAATTACAGCCCTGAAAATAAGAATTCAGGCTAAAATAAAAAACAAAACACTGCTACTTCAGGAACATGAGCAATGGAGAAAAAAACAAGGAAAGATCTACTGGGTCCTCCAGGCCAGAATGGGCGACAGATTACAACCCTAGACAAACAAAAGATGAAGTCAGAAATAAAAGAGCCGAAACCCCTCATGAACTTAAATGTCCTCAATCTATTAACAAGTAAACCAATCCTAAGGCAGCACAAGGCAGAATCTAGCTGACACGAAACGATTAATGTCCTCGACTTGCACTGGGGAAAAAGGCTACAACCAGCAGAAAAAAATGCAACACACATTTTGCGTTTAGAACTGACTGCCTCCCCAGTTTAGCATGCCTATTTATGAACTGAAGATGAAGCTTGCCTAAGGGTTTGATATGAGCTAAAAATATCTCATGCAACAATATCCTAATCAGCCTGAATAGAGTGAGACAAGGATTTGCAGGATTGGATAAAACCAGCACAAGACCAACAAGGGGTGGTTGCACTTTCCCCTTACTTTGATTTATGAGAAATTAAGGAACAACTCATAATTGTCACAAATGTAATAAAATAAAAGCTTACAATAACAAATGGCAATAGATAAGCATCAATATACACAGAAATGCAAATATTTGAAACACCTTCACTTTGTTTCATGTCCATCAAAGGTGAATAAAGCAGCTATGGCTACATGACACTAATGAAAAAGGTGCAGTCCCATGTTTCTTACATACAAATACTTATAGTTTTGGCTTTAGAGAAAACACGAAAGTAATGGGGGAAAAAAAATTCCAGGTCAACTTTCCAATAGGCAGCTCATTCAACACTTTTAATATAGCAGGCATCATTGTCTTACATGCAAGAACTTTTGAACAAAACTTCTCGCGAACCCATTGCACATTCATCATACATCATCATTGCAAGCTGATTAAATACAAGAAATTAGTAGGGTGCATAAAATCACCTTTTTAACACCAACAGTACAAAAGCTTCAGAAAGGAAACAAAGTGAAACTGTAACTAAATAAGTAATACATCTTTTAAATTGATGTGCTGAGAGCTACATCTTATGCATAAAAACATCAGACAAACAAGTATTTATTATGGTTGTAGAAGGATGAGAGTCTACTAATTCATCTAGGTTTTAGAAGCTCAGAATATCCAACCGGTCTCTTCAGCAGCTCAATCAAAACTTCTAAAAGTAGAATTTTGTAATAAAACTTGCTTGGATCTTCAGACAATTCATCACACATCATCATTGCAAGCTGATTGAATAACAATAATCAGTATGCTCCCTTAATGGTAGGTTGATCCTTTTCTTAAATAAATTTAATCAAATAATGCTTAGAGCCAACTATTTAAACTTCAACTAACAAGTACATTTACAACTACATATATGCCATCAAAACTAAAATTATCAAATGGATTCTTTATAGGCAATAGTTATAAGAAACATGGACAATATATGCTCTGGAAACAACAATGATTTACATCTATCACCTAGCCACTGACCCCCAGTCCTAACTCAACCACCCCACCTGATATTGATAATACAACTTCACAAGTTATAATTCTCTCTAAGAAATTCTCAATAATAGCTCCCTAAAAGAAAATATTCAAAGGGCTTTTTATTAAAAAAAAAAAAAAAAAGAAATATGATTTTACTCCTGTTCTATCTAACATGCAACATATGGGCCACCATAGTAGCTGTCAAGCCATTCATTTGTTAATTTGTCCAACAAAACCAATTCAAAGTTGTCAAGACATCCATACATCCACCGTATTTGCCCCTATTGGATGAATCTAGGTCAAGCTACCATCACGCGCCTGCACCATGTGGGTGTTACATCATTCATAGATTCATGGAAATTCTTAATTTGCATAAATGATCAGTATTTTGGCTCTGAAGTTCACTCAATATCTTACAAAGACACTGGTTTATTCGACAGGAAAGATTATAACTCAAACATATACAGAAATATGGACTCTTTAACAAATAGGAAAAATGGCACTGATGCAACAGAAAACTCTTTCAGAATAACGTCAAACAAAGACAATTCAATCTGATTTATTTAGGAATCCTCACAACAGAATCCTTGTATAAAATTGTTTTGTTTTACATCATGTTTCATCATTAGTTCTGATAAGATAACTGTTCTGCTAATCTAGAGATGATGCCAACCCTACTAGCGTAATAGCTTCAAAATAAAAACAAATCCAAGTCATTCCATCTTTGCTTCTCGATCTTCATCTAGTCTTGACTCGTCCTACAACATGAAAAGAGAGGAGTTTGCACCTCTTTATCAAAACAAAGCACAAATACGAGTGGCTTATTTTCTTCTTATTGTTCCTTTTAAGGTGATAATTTCTTGTTATTGTTCTTTTTGATGTGATAATGCAAGATTGAGAGGGCTTGGCAAATAAAATTATGCGATTTATCTTAACCACATGGCCTAATATTCACTAATACCCTAATCCAGTATTGACTAACTTACCAGAAACTTAAAAGGAAGAAAAGAACATCAAGGGGGATTACAAACGTTGTTAGATACCTAATTCAAGAATAAAACCCACTGGTTAGACACCTACACCAAAACTACCTCTCGATGAACAAAAGAAAACAGAATAACCACACATTACAGATACATAAAAGTTACCATTACCCCATTTGTTATTAATTTTATTCCTTTATACCACAATTCCAACCTTCAACAAAAGTTTCTCAAAAGATCAACACAAAATTACCCAAAAAAAAGAAAAAAGAAAAAAAAAACAGAGCATAATGATCAACTAAAACAATCCAAACTCATGCATTCTTACCAACATAACACCCAATCTCAATCAAGGAAACAATCAATTATAAAACAGAAACATTTAAACCAAAAAGATTAAATCTTTTCTATACCTTCAGGAAGCCAGCCACAACTGCGGCGAGAAATGGAGAGCATTGAAGTCATCAAAGCAGAAGCAGTCACTGTATGGTAAGGCATCATTGATTCAACAGCAAAGCTCATTTCCACTGGACTCCTCCTTCATTAACCAAAACAACAAAAAGCAAAACACCCCATAACACTTTCAATCAATCAAAACAAAACAACCCATTAAAGCTTTAATCTTTCTGAATCAAATTAAATACACACACGCACACAGGAGGGATAATGGTGACCTGAAAATGGGTTTGTTGGCAGTGGAGTTGAGGCTAAAGGGGGAGGCTTTAGGTTTGGATTTGGACTGGGAAGCAAGGCGGGCCGCCGCATTGCGGGCGGCAGATGACCGGAAAATGGATCTGGCGGCGGCAAATGAGGCCATATTTTTTTGTGATTTTACAGAATAGAGAAAGATGGGAAATTTGATAAGGTGAGAGAGTGTTGGTAGGGGTTTGAGAATAGGAAAGCTTAAACCCTATAGGAGTTTAGGAATGTTTGGATGTAGATTTTAGTGTGTGCTATTTCCATTTTTTTTTCTTTTCAGATGTTACAAATTTATATTCAATTAGTTTTCTTACAAAAAAAAAAAAAAAAAATTACGGCGGCTAAAGTTTTTTAATTTTTTTCATTCTAATTTATATCTCAATTTTTTTTTTGTCTGCTATTAAGTTTTTTTTATCTCGTTATTAAGTTTTTTTTCATCTCGTAGATTGTAGGTTATATTATACTCATATGAAAAGATATTTATCATCATTTTAATGATTTATGTATTTGAGAATATTTTTTTATAATTTATGTGAAAATATTTTTTAAGATAAATATTATTTTTTAGTAGATCTCATACCTTTCACAAGCACCTACTATTGTCCAAAATTAGTTAATAAAGCCAAAAAATTTAATTACTAATAAAATATTAAAATGCAAATCAAAATTAAAAATTTATTTTCTATCTATCAAAAATTCAGTATATTTTATAAATAAATAATTATTTATTTATTTATCTATCAATACAATGGCAAAGAGGTACCCAACCATACCCGGCCTGCAAAACCGGCGGTTCAAATTCTACCTTCAATGGAAACCCCGTAACCAAACACAAAGAAAACCATTCCGGAATTCAGAATCACTAATTGCCAAACACACCCCAAAAAAGTTAAAGGAAAAATCCTCCCCAACAAAAACCCCTAGAATCAAAATTTTAATTTCCAATTTTCACGATTTCAATTCCACAACACAGAAACAATGGCTTCTCTCTTCAAGGTAAATTCACAGTAACACAAAAAAAATTTCAATCTTTGAATTTTATTTCTTACGAATAATCACCCGTTTTCTTTTTTCTATTTAATTTCAGGATCTAACGAAGTTGTCAGCTTATAGAGACAGGAGGTTTCCTGGTAATCAAGAAGAGTTTGAACAAGCACTTCTAGCCTCAACAACTGTCTACATTGGTAACATGTCTTTTTATACTACTGAAGAGCAAGTTTATGAGCTGTTCACTCGAGCTGGAGAGATTAAGAAGATAATCATGGGTTTGGACAAGAACACTAAAACCCCATGTGGGTTTTGTTTTGTCTTGTAAGTTTTTGGTTTGTTTCTGGTTCAAAGTTTCAATCTTAAGTACTGTGTTTATGGGTTGAGAAGATATTATGGGTTTAGTCTGGACGAGCGAAAAACAATGTAGGTTTTGTTTTGTCTTTTAAGTTTCTGGTTTGTTTCTTGCACAAAGTTTCGATTTTTAAGTATAATGAAACTAAGAAGTTAATCACGGGTTTAGACTGGAAGATTAAACCCTATGGAGAACTATGTTTGTTAAAGAAATTATGGAGATAATTGTTGTTATAGAAAAGTTTGAATCTTGAAGAACTATGATCGAAACCCGTGGATTTTGAAGAACTATGTTTGTTATAATTGTTGTTAGCGAGATTTTAGTTTTGTAAATTGGAAAGTTTGAATCTTGAAGAACTATGTTTGTTAAAGAAATTATGGAGATAATTGTTGTTATAGAAAAGAGCAGGAAAACCCCTTGTGGATTTTGCTTGGTGTTGTAGGTATCTCTTGTTTCCTTCACTAGAAATTTGAATTTTGAAGTAATGTGTTTGTTGAGGAAATTAGGAAGATGAGAATGACCCCATGTGGCTTTTGTTTTATTTTGTTTCCCCTATGAGGAAGTTTTGAGTTTTGAAGAGTTGTTTTTGCTTGGAAAACTTGTCTCCTTGTTCCTTTTATGTGGTTTTTATGATAAATGGTTTTTGGTTTAAAACTTATGTGAGTAGTTATAGGTCAGGAGTATCGATTTAACTCATTATTATGCATTTTTGTATTATTAGATATTACTCTAGAGAAGACACTGAGGATGCAGTGAAGTTTATAAGTGGGACCATTCTTGATGATCGTCCAATTCGTGTGGATTTTGATTGGGGTTTTCAAGAAGGAAGGCAATGGGGTCGTGGTCGAAGTGGTGGACAGGTGAGCTTGCTGCATTGGCCATCAATTTGTAAAAAGTTTATCTTTCTTTTGGCATTAATCTTTTTTTGGTTTGAACTTGTTTTTACAGGTGCGAGATGAATATCGGACAGACTATGATCCTGATATCCTTTATCTTTTTGTGTGTGTGTGTGTGTGGATTATGGATCAAATGGGTGCATAATTTAAGGGTTTGTGTTCTAGAAGGGACGACTACTGCCAACATGCAGATCAACTTAGGTTTCTTTTATCCTAATTTATCATTATTGAAACAATAAGGCACCTTTTAGTTTCCTTAACTTGTGATACGCAGAGGTGGTTATGGAAAATTAGTTCAGCGAGAGTTGGAAGCACAAAGACAGCTTGTCGATTATGGTGCTGGTTCATTGGGTTCTTTCCCTCCGGTCATGCCGCCAACTCATTGTAAGCTGTTGAGAGTTACTTTATTTAAACATCTTTTTCTTAAATTACATCTGTAATTCTAATTTTTTTTTCCTTTTGTTTTCCTTGAATGATTCCAGTGTTTGTTTATATGCTTTGAGCTTTCTATTGAAGTAGAAGGCTAGAGTTTGAAAGTTTATTATTAGCAATTCATTGAACAAGCTCAGTGTGGGGTAGCCCAGCCCAGCTGAAGCAAGAGCTAGAAGTACAGCTTAATTCCAACCTTGTATACATATGTCATGATCTATTGTGAATGATTAAAGAATTAGTCCAGAGTTTACACCATGCATCTTAAGTAAAAACCCTTTGTTGCCTGCCAAAACGTGAACAATTCTGGGCTGGAATATCCATCATGATCAACTCACCATTTTTCATATGGTTGCTCATTGATGGATTCTGTGGCTGCTTTTCTTTTATCTTTTTATTGAATAGTTCATGCATACATTTTGTAACATTACGTTGTCATATCAGTACCATTGCATTAGACCCAAAATTTTTATTTGACCTCCCTCACTATGTGTAGAAATTTATTTTTCAACATCCTTTAACATTTTATCCCTTCAGATAACAGACGTGGTGGAGGGCACAACCAAGGTGGTTCCCATCGTCAGGGTAGAGGTATTTTTTTCCTTTTTATTGAGTTGTTGATTGCTTGGAGTTGGGGTATCATTTTCTTCTAACATTCTTTTTATTTTGTATGATTTTTTATTTTATTCAAGAGTGTGGCCCTGGCCTATATTTGATCCTTCTTGGTGTTTGTCATAATATTCTTTGCCTGATTGTCTTTCTGGAGAAGCAGATTACCACCATCGAAAGCGGTACAGAGAGGATGACCGACATCCACGTGAGTCTTCAAAGAGAACCACAGATCATGAATCCAGGAGGAACTCTGATCCCGACTCACGACCGGTAATCTTTAAATGCTTAGTGGTCTTATATTCCTATGAGCATTCTTCTCAATTGTCAACATGTTTTCAATAGTATGCCAGCCTTACATGTCATTAGGGGTTTATGCTTTTTTTTTTTTTTGTTAATCGGAAAATGAGGGAGGTCTATTTCCAGCCTGCTTTTTATCTGATTTTGACTCTCTGATGGCATTGGTGATTATAGAGAACCCAAAATTCTCACATGCTCTCTGCTTTCTTATGTTCTTGAAACTATCTCTTTTCTGTTGCATAATCCATTGTTGCTTTAATGTGACAGGAGAAGAATCCACGTTTTCGTGAAAGCGCCAACTCTGATGATGAAGAGGAAGATGATAAGCAACAACGACCTTAATCAGTTCTTGCTGTATTTTGTACAATGAAGTTTATGGTGATAATAGCATTTTGCACTAATGACTGCTTTTCAAGGACCAAATTGTTAATTCTTGCAGCATACAACTGTCTCACTCTTAGTTCCTGCAACAAAGTTGCTCAAACCCCACTGAGTTAAAGCTTTATAGTTTATATACAATGCGCTTCTTTCTGTTTCCTTTTTAATTGCCGCCGTGTTTCCTGAACAATAATTCAACGAAGGCTTCCCTTAATTCATCCAAAGCTTTGGATCACGAATGGCCTAGCATGGTCACCTATTTTGGCTGAGGCTGGTGTCTCGTAAGAAATGAATCATTCTATCCATCTCCCTCGGCGACTTCCTTCACCCATTCAATTACTTTGGGAGGATGAGGAGGGGGTATAACAGTAACTGAAGAATGCTATATACTTGAGAAAGATTTGTCATGATCAAAAACTTGAATACGATGTGACAATTATCATTAGTCTATATCAGAACAATAGCTAAAGAACAGCTCATGTGATGACCCTCGTTAACCTCAAATAGTTTCTCCCTTTCAACTACATTACAGAATGGACAAAATTTGGGATTACATAACCAGAAACTTAAGGTGCTAGCTTCAAGTCAAGGAGCAAGCTCGAAAGCTAGAAGATCCAATTCTAGATACTCTAGCAAGCATGCATAACTCACTCAACTTCTTTAATGATTCTTCTTTTGCGCATTGGTTCAGTTACAATGCTTCCGGGAGCACTGTGAGCTTTCCTCCTTTCATCTTTCCTCCTTTCAGCTTCAACCATTACGCGTCTAAGGGCACCAGCCTTGAATATAGGTTTCGGCAAATGCCTATGCCTGGAGTCATAACAAGGAAAAATGAGCAACCAACACTAGTTAATGCTTGTTAGTACCAATTAGCATATCCTGTGGACAGTCTTACAGCCAAATCCAGTATATTCAAGAGCTAAAATTCTCTCACCTAATGATGCGCTTGACCTCAGGAAGGTGCTTGTAGCGCTTCTTTAGAGCTTCGTTATATTCATGCTTTTTCTGTTCCCTTGGCAGTAGCTGAAGAATATAACGTGGATGGGTTGTGAATTAGTTATGCAATAATGTTACATGACTTTTATGCAAGAATGTAGCTGATGAGGAAATGAAATCGTAGAACTAAATATTAATCTTTGTGCTTCGACAATACAATCACCAAACTTTTTTAAAGGTTCAGTGCACCACATATCTTTCGTTGCTTACAACTCCCAATTGTTCAAATGTGCAATATAGACATCATGTTGGGCACCCACACAAAGTGCAATATAGACATCATGTTGGGCAATGCTGAAAATTCAGAAGCACCGCAGAAAGCATATAGGAATTAACTTCAAATGTGCGGACAAACAAGAAACTTACAACTCCCAATTGTTCAGATGCTTTAGCTTTCCATAACCTCAGATTTGTGTCATCGCTTCCTGAAATAACATAGCTTGCATCACAGCTGAACTTGACAGAGAATACCCTACATAATTCAGTCAGAAAACAGACACATATTAGTGGGAGTTGAATCTTCATTTAAACACCTCAAAAAAGTGCTTGTTTTAGCATAAAGACCTTATTTCTGAAGCGAAAAGATACAAGATAGAACAACAGACCAACAAAAATGGCATGAACAATCAAAAAGGCACAAGACCACAAACATTAATGGAAACTATCAATCCAATTGAACCTTTGCATTCTCTTCGTGTGATAGACTTCCCGGCTGTGACCTCCATTATACAGGAAAATTCTAACCTGCATAGGAAGTTCGATCAAACAAAAAGTCCATCATCCCTCACTAAACTAACTAAATACAGCAGGTTTGCTTAAATGCAACTCACTGTTCTATCATAAGATCCAGTCACAAATTCCCGACCCGTTGGCGAGAAATCAATATCCATCCTGGGAATGAATAATTGGTGTTAACAAATATCATCTACTTGGCAATAACTAAAATTGACAGAACACCTAAGAAATGTAAGGGTCACTAATTTCAAAATTCAAACACCAGCCATCTTACACTGCAGAAACATGATCTTTGTGTACACACTTGGCTTCCTCCAATTTTCTCGCATCATAGCTATAGCAGTTGCAATCCTCATTTGCCTGCAGCATTATGCAACATAACCAGTAAATCTTCACAGAATGTAACATATCCACTCTATGCAGTTGATCACCTTATCAATCAGGTTTCTGAGGTCTTAAATCAAATTAGTATCAGATTGCAATTTGTTAAAAATCAAAGTTCATTCTCCTACAATCCAGCCAATGATTCTCAAAAATACTCTCAAATTAAAAATACAAATTTTAACGAATGCATCAGCTCATGCACTTACAGCTGTGAAGTTCATAGGCTCCATTGGGTTCCAGGAAATAGAATTAGTTTTTGTCTGCAGCAAGAAAAAAGAAAGCACGTTAGCAAACAAAGCACAGTACCATGAAAAAACAAATTAACAATGGAACACTGGGTAATAAAAATCAATAAAAAGAATCTACCAAAAATTTGCGAAATTGCCAACTTAAATAATGGCATTATAACACCCTCACCCTCCTTTTTTTCTGGATGAAATTTACAGTAGAAACATACCACAATTATAGTTTAATAGGCTTGAAATTATCTAGCAACCCCCACAAAGCCACGTCTTTGGCTTTTTTGAACCAAGTATATGCTATTTCACTAACCAAAACCGGGCCAATACTCTGTGAATTACAACTTGACTGAAATCTATGCTATCATAACTTTTCAGACCTGCCTAAGATTCGGTGTATCAAAAAGTGGCTGGAATGCACCTTTGTGAACAGTGAGGGCTTTTTTTTTTTTTTTTGGGGAAAAAATTCGATTATCAATTTTCAGTTCACTTTACTCAGGCAACAAAAAGGTTAACACAGCTCATCAAAAAATCTGAACAGGAGAGCTAAGCTCATAACCATGCATTTAACTTCAAGCTGATAAATAGTCAGACTTACTCTCATAATAAGTTTCCTTGCTGGAGATGACACACGTAAGTCGTACAATATTATGCTGCGATCACTGCAAAAAAGGAAAATACACTTCAACTAAGCATGTGTTTAGTTTAATGTCTTCGAGTGTGCAAGCAGTTTGTGTCCACATGCATAACTGAAAAACCCATACAAGGTAAATAGCTGGATAACGTCCACATAAAAAATGTACACTGTGCATCTTGTAAGTATAAAAGGATCTGTCACCCAGCCCTCAATGTCCTTAAACATATGTGGTCACTACCAAGAGAAGAAAATGAAAAGCCCAATAAAATATAAAGTGCATGCACAAACACACGAATATGGTATCAAGTCTTTGGCGCTAACAGCTCTGAGCCTGATCCAAAAAATAGAACTATTTGTGCAATATCTTCTTAAGAAAGCATAAATCCATTGGCTCTGATAAGATGTCAGGTTGTTATTGGTCAGAGGACAGGCTAAAAACATAATCATGCAAGGAAATAAGATACTTGGGAATCCTTAAGAAGCAAGTGTCCATTTATCTTGTATCATTCCATACTGCAAAATGCAATGTCCAATGCCAAATAGCTGAATATGCATAAAACGATTCTACTTTAAGCGCAAAAATATCTAACAAATCTATAATTTCTGTTTCCCAAACTTCATGAGGTGCATAAGGACCTACCTGTGGCTGAATTCAAAAAACTGAAACAACAGAGCTAACACAAATCTTGACAATCAAGGTTTAAATTAGGGAAGGGGAAAGATGAGCACAAGTTCAGGGTCAAACTTTGCTGAGCTAGTTTCCATCTTAAAATTCTTACTGTAGGTACTTTTAGGTCTTAAAGCTTGATCTAAGTATGTGTTAAAATTCCAGTATTCATACCCATGTACTTGCCAAGTTGTTCTGACCATTCCATATTAAATATACATACAAGACAGACAAAGAACGAAAAAACATGCACCAAGTATCCACATCGTCAAGCTCAAAATAATAGACCTAAAAGTTATAGCTATGCATGCATACCTTGCTGATGTAGCCAAGAGATTTGGTTCCCCTGGATTAAATCGGACAGAGATAACTGAATCTGTTCCCCACTTAAAAGTGTTCACTGGCTGAGACCTAATTATGGTGGGTGTATAAGAGAGCATAACTGAAATAATTTGTGCAAATTTAAAGAAGTAATGAAACAAGTTGAGATCAAAACCTATTATGATTCCAAATATCTACTTGAGCACCAGCTGTGGCAAAGAGATCACCATTCCATTGGTGGTCAACAGCCCTGAAACCAGCAAGGCAGAGTTCAAAATCAGAAGGATGTTCAAACTCTCACACCTACGTAAGATATAAATCAAAACATAATCTTACCAAAATGCATTTTCCCCTGTGTAAACTGCCCGTGGCTGAAAATACAAGTAGAAATTTTCTCAGGGTAGGCAGAAAGAGAAGAGAGAACTTAATCAATATACAAGAAATAACTATATCAAGAAAGCATTACCTCAGATGAACAGTTGGACAAGTTGTCTGATTCCATTATAGTAGCCACAGGAACATTCCAAAGCCTGACACTGAATCAGCAAGCTTGCTAATTAGTTAAACATGAACTAAATTATGGTTAAAATTAAAGATACGTCCAGATACTACAAAGCATTCAGCTTCAAAAACTTATTTTTCATCTTAACAAAATAAACTGTCTTACGTGCAATCAGTTCCACAAGATACAAGGGTACTCCCATCTGTAGAGGCAGTCAAACCTTTTACAGCACCCTGGTGACCAGGAAATTGACAAACTGTTCTCCTGTTGATTCAGATCTCATAAGTCAAACTTGCGCACACACAACATCAATGTATCAACATGTGATCCACTGAAAGTACATACCAAAAAAAAAAAAAAAAATGCAAGACCTGATCCATGAATTTTATTTATTTATTTATTTATTTGCCTTTAAGAATCAACCCAGGGATCTTTAAACATAATAATCATAGAAAAGATATCCTACTTTCATGATCAAACCATTGATAAGCACAACAAGTTCCCCTGAGGCCCTAACCTGCTCATTACACTCGTCTTAAAAAGCTAAACTGCTTAGTTATAACTTCCTCAGATCACTCGTATTACAAAAGAGTGACATTAATGTTAATAAATAGGAATGCATTGTTCTCTTTTTCCCCCTATTTTCAACCCAGACAAAGATCGATCAACATTCTTACATTGGCCTACAATACATACAGAAACAAGCAGGAAAAAAAATGCTATAACAGGCTCACTACAACCACCAGTTCTTTCCTCTTCCCATTGGGACATCAATATATGCATGTAATATCCAACATAGAGGAAACTAAACGCAGTTAATATAAGAAGCAAGAAATTCAAACTGAAAAATGCATCAAGAAATTACCTGTTAGCTATATCCCAAAGGCGAATATCTGCAAACATCATAAAAACAATGGAAAATCAGAAAACTTATAGAAAGCAAAGATTTTGAAATGCCAAAAGGAAAAAGAGAAAAAAAAAAGAAAAAAAGGAAAGAAATAACAGTAAGTACCAAATCTAAATGCTCAATTCAATCACATAACCAACTTAGAAATACTAAATGCTTCAAAATACCTCCATCCATAGAACCAGAAAATATCCCTTTTAAGTAATTCGGATTTTTCGCCATACACGAAACTGCATCAATATGCCCTTCCATTGCTCCAATAAATGGCCTTGCAAATATCTTTAATAACAAATAAGTACCCAATTAACCATTTAAACAAAGAAGAAGAAGAAGAAGAAGCTAAATTAACATAAATTCAATTCATTAAACAAATAAATAAATAATCAAAATTACCTTATCCAATTTGGCAGCATTAAGTGCTCTCTTATACTCCACTGCTTTCTCTTGTGTTCTTAAGTTTGGATCAAAATTGTGAAACACTCTCTAATCCAAATTAACACAAATATAAACAGAAAAATGAGCTTTATAGACAGCTAAATTAAAAAAGAAAAAAATGAAGAAAAGAGAGTAAAATTCCAGACAGAGAAATTAAAGGGTTACTTTCCAAGAGGTCAATTAATACAAAATTTGGCATTTTTAGTGCTTCCCTTCAAGTTCAATGAATCAATAAAAAATTGGGCATTTTATGTTCAATCGATTGATACAAAAGATTAGAAAATTTTAAGAGCTGGGCTTTGAAAATTTTAAGAAATTGATACAAAAATTGGGGAATTTTGGAGAGAGAAAGAACTTACTTGAAGATCTTGGCTACGTTCTCGAGTGAATTCATCAGTAGAACGTGAAATTACTTTCACTTTCATCGTGAAATTAGGATTTCAATTTTACTAAGTATTGATAGAGCAGGAAGAGTGAGGTCTGGTTCAGTTAGTCGTTAGAGAGAGAAAAAACCTTAGAGAGAGAATTTCAATTTTACGAAGTAATGATAGAAGAGGAAGAGCGAGGTCTGGTTCGGTTAGTCGTTAGAGAGAGAAAAAAACCCTAGAGAAAGAATTAGAGGGACAGTCTGGTTTTAGCTAAAACCCTAAAGAGAAAAAGAAGGATAAATTATAAATTAGTCACTCTAGTTTAGAGAAACGAATCTACTAGTACCCTATGTTTAAAATATAATTATTTAGTTCTTATTTTTTAAAAAAACTACTTATAACTTAATCCTTTTATACATTTTTAAATTGATTTTGATTTTTTTTTTTTTGAAAAAGGAAAAAAATAAATAAAATATAAAGGGTCGATGGCCCGGAAAGCTGAACGGGCCTACAAAAGAAACTATTGACAACCCAACTGAATACATGTTAAGCCCATGGATGCCCTTCTTCAATTCAATTATAAATATATTAATTTTCTCTAATATCTCAAACCTTAGATTATGCAGAATTTTTTTAGTAGTATCATGCATTTCAATTCATTAATATTATTATATAAATGGGAGAATTTACAAAAGCTTGGTTTCCATAGTTATACCTAAATATCTGAAGCTAATGAAAATAACACTAAATATCGTGAGAAATCCATTTCAAAAAAAAGAAAAGAAAAAAAAAGCGTAACTAATTTATTTATTACCTTCAGGCATTTGATTAAACGCCTAAAACGACGTTATATTGATTACATTCGAACCTTTTATGTATCTGATTTTACTGAATTTACAGGATATAATAAAGATATATATATTTTTTCTCATTACATAATACAAAAGATCTTAATAAAAAATGTTTATCATCTCGTGCCATTAACTGACCCACTTGTATAACTATTGGTTCAAATAGCCTCCAACTTTGGTAATATCTTGCAAGGTGAGTCAACTCACAAGAAACTTTTGATCTCAGAAAACCCACCATCTTGTTTCTGAGTTATGGTTAACCATTTCCCAGTATCAGGGGTTAAGGCCTCAAACTTGGACCGAGTCTCTTCAGCCAGAGAGTCCAACGTTTCCTCTAGTTTAGCAATTTCTTGTGCCTTGGATCCCAAAAGGAGAGAATCAATGGTGAATTTGCTAGAAGTTTATTCTGGAAATGTTGAGAGACATGACAGAGGAGGAACTTAGAGAAGAGAAGGGAGAGAGAGAATCCTCTCAGGCCCATCTATTCATTCATCAAATTTTCCTTGATAGTCGTACATTCTCTTTGATCTGTTACATATAGTGAACAAGGCTGCAATTTGGATTTACTATATCTATAAACTGGACAAAAGAAACATATAACAGGTTTACCTAGGAAACGTCTTCATCCTCCGTCCTCCAATTCACTATTTCAACGGTCGTCTGATTTGAATTACAATCTCCACTTTCCCAATTTGCAATCCAATGCTCAGGGAGAAGCTCATTGAACCCTAATGGCCTGTAACATCTTCCCTGTATTCTGGATTCTCTTTTAAAATGACAAAGCCTTCAAGAATGGGTGAAAGGGGAACGTACCTACATACGAAGTGGCAATTAGTTTATTGTCAAATAACAGAAAAAACGCTAATGGTAAATTTAGAGAGTAAAATCTCACTTCTCACTAGCCAGTTCAGCTCTTTCGCCAGCTGCCAGAAGAACAGGGGTTGTGTGGGTCTGGAAACCTGTAATAGTTTTGGGTCGTCCGGCTTGGCCAACAACATCAACAGCTTGCCCCACCCGAACAGGTACAGGTAGAGGTTTGAGATTCTCATCCACTGTCATCAACATTCTTGGCTGTGCCGCAAAGAAGAAAAATGAATAGGTTTCACGAGGTTAAAAGGAAAGCACATAAAATTGGTCAAAGCGTCCATACTAAAGACAAACCTGCATGGCCAAAACAAGGAAATAGAGAACATAGTGATATTTCCCCAAAATGTTGCCTTTTATTTCAAGACATGCATGAAGCATGATTACTAGGCCAGCAAGTGCAGTCCTGTAGGAGAAGAAAACACAGTATGATTAGAAAAATGAACAGACCTTATGCCCCCAAATGGCTTTTTGCATTTTTAATATCGCAAGAACTAGAAGATTTAGAGGGTAGCGAATTTTCTTGGGAAGAAATGACTTACGGTGATAGTAAGAAGCGATCAGAATGATATGGATTAAGAGTCAGTAGGCCCTTTCCCAGATGTACAAGACCTTGAGCAATTCGCACCTGCACAGACCAAATGCAAAGAATCAATTTTTTTTCTGAAATTCCATAACATAATTAAAGTGATTCAAAAGGACGTATTTTTAAGCAGCATTACACAGAACAGAAGGCTGGCATCTTTGTAGTAATAGCTTGAAAGATTGCGAAGCATGCTGGCTATTCGAGCATTGTTTGTTCCAGCACCTATCAAACCTAAGGCAACAACTGCAGTCTGCAGCATTTAAACAAACACAGGAACCTTTTTAGACAATATAAATCAGAGACCAACAAAATCCATGAAGCAAAGCTAGCTCTATCTTACCATTGCCACTTCTGAATCAGAGTCATGGCTAAGTCTGCTCAATGTGTCCATAACATTAACCTGGTCAGCAATAGGCAAGCAAAATAAATATCATCATTCATCAACACTTATTTTGCATCTCAAAAGCAATTTAGAGTAAGAATTTGAATTTGGATCAAAAGATCATTTCCCTTGATTGGAGGACGTATAGATTGAAAGCAAAATGAGCAACTAAAAGAAAAAACAATAAAGGAATTATTGATCATCTTGCTTTTAATATTTTTCTTTGAAACAGATCTGATTGCAGGAGTTTCTCCACATTTCAATTTGAAATGAGAGGATTTTAATTAGTTTTCCTCGTAAGTAAAGTAATACAAAAGTCTGTCAAAATCAATTTAGCTTTCTTATACAAAACAGGCATGCATCTAGATCACTTCAATTGGAATTATTACCTTAGGGTTTGAAATGCAAAGGAGTCCAAGGGCCAAAGGAACTGCCCTACGAATATTCTGCTCACCATACTGTAAAAGGTGTCCCAACGAGCGAATTGCCATTTCAAGGCCCAATTCCTCGGCCATCGCTACCATGGCAATTCCTAGCACGGCTGGTCCCTGGTGGGTTTCACCCTTCTCAAGGTGTTGTGCACAATGACCCAGAAGGTTTTGTACCTATGAGAAATGATTAAAAGAATCAGTGACGTAGAAAAAATTCCTCTAATAGAATACTTGAAACATAACAATAGCAATTGTGAACAAGCAATGAATTAGATAAAGTACCTTCAGAACATTTCCAGTCCCAGCATAGGCACACGAAAGAAGTATCATATCACAATATTTTCGTATTTTTTCATTAAAAGTTTTTGACACTTCTGCTGTGGCCTCCACACGTTCCTGCATAGCACAAAAACATCATAATGAAAATTACATCAGTCCAAATTTGTTGTGCATTACATTAGATACAATGAATGAACCACATACCAAATGTGGCAAGAATAACTTCATATAACACCACATGAAGTTGGGAAGTAATAAAATTTCCAGAAGGGCATTCATAAATAGAAAATTACCTGCTTCCCAAGATATAGAAGACCAAGGCCAAGTGGCAAAAAACGAGCAAGCGGATCTTGCAAGTCTGACTCACTTCTGTCCATTAAGGCAAATATAATTGCCCGTGCAACATCTTCATTGCAGGAACCCACATAAACTAAGCCCAATGAGATTGCAGTGAATGCTATGACCTCAAGGGGGTTTTTGAATCACTAAGTATCGGGGTCAGTTTATCGCGAATCTGTCAACCAGGTGAACAAGTGAGCTTTTACGTGAATCAACATACAAGAAATCATATGACAAAAACTCACTCCAGAGCCTCTAATTACAAATTACAAACTTAAAGTAGAGATTTGAACAAAACAATTCCTTTAATTGTAAGTAGCCAGAAAATAATGCAGTGAACAAATAATTTGATCAGTGAACTTATACCATAGCCAAATAACCAAACAGGCAGCCGTTGTCCATTGGAAATAAATTCCACAACAAACTCGGACAAAGCAAAAATTGTTTGGAAGCTAAAGAACATAATAACTAGGTTCTAACATGTTTTTATCAACAGGAAACACCAGAATGCTTACATGCTCATTATGAGTACCAGCATATGCAATTCCCAACCCCATTATAGCACCAATTCTTGTAGATGTATCTTCTTTATCTAAGAAATCAGCAAGAAGAGCCAGTGCCTGAAAAAAGAAACAAGAGAGACAAAGATTCAATTCATTGGTTATAAATTATAAGAACCCAAAGGATCACAATCAACTTTTATACTGGAATTAATCCATGACAAAATTTATAAAAACTCACAGGATCACAATCATTTTTGATACTAGAATTCACAATTCCGACACCTAATAGTGCACCGGCAATTATATAGTTGTCATTGTTATGAAAATACTTGTCAAGCTGAGCAAGTCCAGAATCGACATCCCAAAGTAAAATCATGCCCTGTTAAGGTATCATCGATCAGAATTTGCACAGAGGTTGAGTTCATAATAGACCATAAATAGTAAAAGAAGAGCATACCAGACTTGCTGCTGCACTTGTTTTCCCATTATCTTTATTCTTGAAAAGCCAATTTCCCGAACTACCAGTGGGAGAGTCTGCTGGACGTGTCATTAATTTATCCTGTTGCAAATATAAGCAGCAATGTCAACATAACCCATAACATCGAAGCATTTGCATGCAAACATCAGAATATTTACCTGACCAAAACCTGCATTAACAAATGCATTAACAAATGTAGCAGCCAAATTTTGTCTGGCAGAATCAACACTAGCACTAGCACTAGCCCGGCCATCAAGCAAGTGTGCCTAACAAAAATCAAGCAAGCAAATCATGAAAATACCAAAGCAAATGCAAATAGAGTCAACTTATATTTACATGTAATATAACATAAAACCTCAGAAGAACATAGACTAGAATCTAATTCCAGAACCTTATACATCACCAAAATTCCAAACCTTGTAGATATCTTCAGGAGATTTGGGTTCCATGACCTCAATATCACGAGCAAGTGTAAGATAACCCTCACTTAACTTGGTGTTGTTGATGATATCCTGTAACACTTCTCTTTCCCCATCATCTGCAGCAATATCTTCATCAAGCACAAAAGTGGTACCCTGACGAAATGATAAATAGTTAACACCCAAGAAAAAAGTATCACGAATACCCACAAAACTAACATAATGCACATTTATAAACTTACATGTCGAGCAAGTATGTAAGAAAATTGCTTCTTTTGCAGCACATCATTACAAGATGTATAAACCTTCTTCACATACTGCCACCATGAACTTTGAGTATTTAGAAATTTTACCATGATTATGCTTTATGGATAAGTGACGCAATGCATTTATATATGGTAAAAGCCACAAAAGCATGAGATTGCTCAAAGCAATGAATTCAGACAATAAGCAAACCTGCAATTTATCGATGTATAGTGCAATCTGAAGTGCGCTTGCATATTCTCCAAATTTGAGGTATATTGAGTGTGCAATATCCAGAACTAACAAATCATCTGGTCCGGGAAGGTATCTGCAATAAATTGCAACGTAAAATACACATCATCTATTATCCATCCACAGAATGTGGAACATAGTACTTTACCCTTTGAATAAAACACCTTTATTTCACCAATCAAAGAGAAGAATAAGCAAAGGCTTTTGAGAACCGAGTACAAGAAGTATTCACAAGCTTAATTCCCCAGAACAGTAAATAGGGCACCGCTGAACAGTAAGGCAATGGCGATATCTCCTATTCCAAACCAAAATCAATTGCAAGACTATTACAGCTAAAATTTCATCATTGATTTTATTCGATCATTAAAGACATTTTAGTACTTTTTAGGAAATTCATCATTAAATTGTTTTTACATAAATCAAGTTCCATTTTTTATTTAGCTGGCTTTCCTCTTAAAGATTGATGGCTCCATGTGTTCTAAAATATTTTGGATTCCTTCTTTGTAACATTTTAGGTGGCACATCCAGAGCGTGGAAAGTTGAGCCTGTTGAAATCCGTTGACAAAAATGTCTCTGTAAAATCATTGCAGTGTAATTCCACTTACTTTGCAGCGCTCGTGAGGTATAGACAGGTTCTCTTGAAATTTGTACTGTCCACACGCTCAATTAAAAGATCAAGGTCTTCAACCTGGAATTTAGTAAAGCAATATTACTAGCTCAGCATGAAGGAAAAACTAAAGGGAAGCAAAAAAGGATCACATAAGAAGATTGAAAGATTGAGGTTGTTTCACCTCCATCAAAAGGTCAACAGCTTCAGGCTCAGCATTGTGCTGCAAAACAATAAAAGAGATGATCATTTACAGGAAATACTAGTTTTCCCCTGAGATGTTGCGGGAATATGTTACATAGCATTTGGAGGTTACAAACAAGCTTGGCATTTCTGCTAACATCATAATTAAATCATGCATCCATGTTAAGCAAAGGGGAACTGATCACAACATTTGGTGTTTGGGCATACCTTCATGTGAAAGGAAACAATTTGTTGTACTAGCTCCCTCAGCTCATCAATTGAGACCTCCTCACTCTGCAGGCAACAGCATAATTGGATTTAACTACTAAACAAAGATGAATCTGAATTGAGAAGAAGTTATTGTATACTAAATATAAATTACTATCCAGCATCATTTCTGAGGTACTAAATCCGTAAATACACATGCCACAGGTCACTACGTAGAAAATACCACGATGCCATTTCATTCCCTTCTCCTTTAGTTTTATTCAGAAAGTGATTCAGAAGCATTTCTAAGGAATGGATTTCTAACCTGTCGTTTTGCATACTCTTGTGCAATTTCACCAGCTAAGTTCCTGATGAAAAACAAGTTAAGACTCTTGACATTAAGCTTAACACACACGCAAATAAGCATACATAATCGAGGGCACGCACACACAGCACTAATTCCACTGTCCAGCATTGAAGAACAGAACTGACAGATATGGAACATTAAATCCATGCAGACAGAAAATTACATAACAATCAACATTGTGTAACATAGGCAACAAAAGTCCTAAAGACCCAGTGGAACACAAAAATCCAAGAACGGAATATCAAAAAGGTAAAGAGAGAAAAAAAAAAAAAGGGCATGAACCAAATGTTGAGGCTTTATTTTTTGAAAAAAGGAAGAAATTATATTCACAAGGAAAGAATGAAACAGCATAAGAAGAATAATAAGACAACATCCTCAAAGACAAATGAGCATCCTAATCCTGTTGAATATTGGCTAAAAGAAGTCCTCTAAAAAATACTATATCTCAAGCATTGTCAAATCCTTGTCCAACAACATTGCAAAATAAAATCAACTAGCAGGCCCATGTAGTGTGGGAAGATAAACAAACTCACACAGTAATGAACAGTAGATATAAGGCTAAAAGTTGAAGTAAACTGAAAGGCAAAGCACAATCGTGTGTCTTGACAACCAGCTAACAAGCCCACCAATCACGGCTTCATCACAATCGCACATCTAGGAAAAGCCATTTCAGATCTATCATATACTACTTATACAAATAATGCTCACCTGACATACTCGTGGCCCCATGAACCAATATCACCTTCTGAACCCAACAATCTGTATTTCAAGCTCTCCTGAAAAAGTCATCAGATGAAAAAAAATATGAAGGGACCAGCACAGCTTCATACAAACAGATTCATAAACAAATACGAACATCCAGAACTGCTCATCAAATATGATATGCATGAGAAAAAAGAAAAAAGGGGGACTAATGAGACAAACATTAATAGAAATAAGAAAAAATGTGTTTGAACAGACTGAAAATGCACAACTAATATACCCAGTACATATTAACAACCAATAATCATCAAGAAAATAGAACAAACTTAGACTTGGGAAATGATAGACACACCCGTTCACCCTCAGCAGCCATGGTCAGTGCCAAAACTGAAAGTATATCTGCCAAGTATTTCTGCAATTTAAAAATCAACTCTCTTAATATAGTTGATATGGTAAGAACAATGTCTAACCACAAAATATGTACCTTAAGATCTGAATCACCCATTTTTTCATAATACGATTTTAAAGTTCCATAATGTGATCGAAGAAACTTCAATGGCTTTGGAACTGAAGTCATGGAGCTTGTTGATGTTCGAATTTCCTGCCTATGAGAAAATATAAAAAATAAAAATGCATAGATTGTCAAATAAAATGCAATAGAGACAGATCCAAGACATTTCTTCCCACAAAATAATATAAACCAGTTGGTTATCAGACTTTTTAACATAGCAAAATAATGACATCATGCAAGAGGAAAAAAATATGTCCAAGCAACACAGCAATTGTCTATACATGGCTATCAAACATAGTCTTAAGCACATTGATTAAAAAGGCATCCAAGCCAGTCCAACCTGATGGTGATCAGCGATTCACAACTAATAGCACACACCTCCCATCCAGACTTCAATACTTCCATTATACATCAATCCAGTTGTAACACGTTTTCTAAATGACCTTTTTCAGGTTAAGTACATATTGAACCGTCAACCCAAAGGAAATCCCAAAATACACTACGAAAACAATTCCATCATTCTAGTCAACTTCCACAAAACTTTTCAAGCTCACACCCAACTTGAAACACAATTGATTACTTAACCAACATATATTCCACTAATCCTAAATCATCATATAACTTTAGCATCATACTCACTTTCGCCAGCTCTCTCAAAAATCAAGCTTCAAACTAATTCTACCATGCATTCAATACTCCTAAATTTGGTACTCCATCTCTCACATCCATTCACGATTCAGGAGCCGCTACAACCTAACCTTTCGAGTACTAAACAACTAACTACTTCAACACTTCAAAAACCTTCCAACACCATTAAAAACATAACAAACACAGTCTAGTTCTGCTAAACTGAAACTTAATAAATGGAAACAAAACTGCATATTAAAATTTTGATTAAATTAGCACCTCATATTCTCAAGAGCAAGCTTTTGAATGCCAGGTTCAGGATCCTGAACTCTCTCTACATACAACTCCAACTGCTGCTTCAACGCCAAGTCCTCCTCTGACTGCAAACCACATAAAGAACCAATCTCTCTCTCAATAATTTAAAGCAAAAACCATAAAGTTCTAAAAAAATGTTAAAAAATCAACAAAAACTCACAAGATCCTCATCTTTTTTCTCATCTTTCTTCTTCGGATCCTTTGCTGGTACTTTCACCTTCGCCTCCTCTTTGCTAGCTCCTCCTTCACCTCCACTGGTGCCGGCGTTGTTCGGGTCTGCCGGAGCCATGAGTTAGTGTTACTATTTTTGTTATTCACTACAAGAAGTGTAAAACTGAAGTGAAATGAAACCCTAGTTGACGTAGAGAGAGAGATTTTGATACTAAAACCCTAATTGAAGAGAGTTTTGATTTCTTTTCTTTTCTTTTGAGCTTGCAGTGTAGAGAGAGTGAGCAGGAAACAGTAGAAGTATCTCAGAGCAACTTATGGAAGAAGAAATGTTAAATACGAGAAATAGATATTCATTTGGTTAAACTATACTTTAGTCCCTATTATTTTAAATAATTTCTCATTCAGCTCCTACTATTAAACTTTACTAAACCTATCCCTATATTTTCCCAAAGAGAAAATTGCTCACCGCAGTTGGTCTTCTTTGTGACTCAAGATTTGTAGCGTCGAATCCCATTAGAGCTTGTATGGATGATGGTTTATCTTGTGTTATAAAAAAAAAATTATTTTGATGGCTCATAAAAGGTAAAAATCCACGAATTATTCAAAATTAAGATTTAAATTAGTAATCTATTTATATCTTAAATTAAATCTCTTACAACTTTTTTTTAATAAGATGTAAAGACTTTTGAAATTATTTTAGATCAACGTATGATCTTTTTTGGTATATATTAATAATTTAGAGAATGCAATTTTTTTTGGATTTTTATCTTATTTTTCTCTTGTTTGTGCCGCTATAGTGAAGGTTAAATTGAAACTTTTTTAAAATTTTAAAATTAATATTAGAAAATTTTAAACTATAAGGGCTCAAGCAAAATATTTTTTTAATGTTTTGAGGAGCTAAAACGGTAAATTTCAAGTCAATTTTGACCCGATCCACTAACCCGACCAACAAAAATTTTTTTCTCTCAAAGACTTGCCTTGGACTTTTAGGGCTAACTTATTATACTTATTATACTTCAATCAAAACTAAATCACCTTTCTACGAGTGAAGAGGGAAAAGAACCCTCACTTTTAGGGCTAACCTTGGGTTTATTGCATGAATGCTCTTACCTTTGCTTATTCACGTTTTTACAAAGAAAAACATTGGCCTAAACCTCTTGGTTGCAACTATGCCATCTTAATGTGTTTGGCACTGTAGATTCCAATCAGACAGAATAGTAAAGCTTAGATTCCAAGCTGTTTTCCTATGCTCTGTTGCAGGCTTTGACCGAAAGGAGAGAATAAAAGACGAAGATCAAGTTTCTAATACATGGATTTGGAACTTGCTGCAAACCTAATTAAAAAGCACTGCAAAAACACAAGGGAAACCAATCTCCAATATATTCTCCCAGACGAGTAAATTATAAATTACTACAATATCATCGTTGTCCATAAAAGGTAACAAGGGAAGAAAAGAAACGGTAAATCTAGCACAAGCATGAAACCCTGCTTTCCATAAATCAAGCAAAGTGGCAACAGTTGCCATGCATTTGGGTAACGTTCTCCCTCTTTCATAGAATTCGAAGCGTGCATTTGTTTTCTGCTAATCTACAAGAGCAAGACATGCAATGTGCATAAAGTTCAAACCTTGCCGAAAATCCCAAGCTTGAAGTAATCAGGCAAGGTCCGCGATTTTAATCGAATAAGCTATATAGAAGTCCCAATGAGCAACTACTGATCTTCTCTGTATTCTGGGTTCTCCTTCAATATGACAAAACCTTCAAGAATGGGCGAAAGAGGAATATACCTGCAAAAGTGGTGATTGTTTGAGTAATTCTATCAGCCAATAATGGAAAAGCAAACAGTAACTTTGAAGAGAGAATCATACTTCTCGGTAGCCAGTTCAGCCCGATCACCAGCAGCCAGAAGAACTGGGGTTGAGTGGGTCTGGAAACCAGTGATGGTCTTGGGTCTTCCTGCTTGACCAACAACATCGACTGCTTGTCCCACCCGAACAGGTACAGATAAAGGCTTGAGATTCTCATCCACTGTCAACAACATTCTTGGCTGTGGCCAAAGAGAAAAACAAATTGGCAGTAAGATGCCAATGATTCACAAGGCAAAAAGGTTGCAAGTAAAATAGGTCGTGTCCAAACATTGAACAAACCTGCATTGCTAAAACAAGGAAGTAGAGGACATAGTGATGTTTCCCCAAAATGATTGCTTTCATATCAAGACATGCATGAAGCATGCTTGTTAGACCAGCAAGTGCAGTTCTGTAGAGAAGAAAATATAATAATTATTAAAAAAAAATTCAGTTAATTCCATCAAAGGGTTCCAGGGAAGCCACTTTTCACTGGAAGAGATCAACTTACGGTGATAGTAAGAAGCGATCAGAATGATATGGATTGAGGGTCAATAAGCCCTTCCCCAAGTGTACCAGACCTTGGGCAATTCGCACCTGCATAGGCAAAGTGGAATCAGTCAACCAATCTTTGATGAAACCCAACAGCACAATGAGAATACTAAAGACACAATAGAAGAAAAATTACGCAGAAAAGAAGGTTGGCATCTTTGTAATAATAGCTGGAAAGATTGCGAAGCATTCCAGCGATACGAGCATTGTTAGTTCCAGCACCTATCAAACCTAAGGAGATAACCGCAGCCTGCAGCATTTGAACAAATAAAGCAACTTTTAGATGATAAGCAACAGAATAACACTTAAACCGTGAACTGAAGCTGGCTTATCTTACCATTGCAACTTCTGAATCTGTATCATGGCTGAGTCTACTTAACGTGTCCATAACATTAACCTGTTACATAAATAGGCAAGCAAAATGAAATAAACATCATCAGCCAACAACACTTGTTTTGCATTCTCAGAAGCAATTCAATAGTAACAATTTAGACCCGTTATCACAAGAAAAACTGTTTCGGAAAAAAAAAACACCACAAGAAATATGTGCTAAATGTTTTGTTTCCCACAATCTATGGACAAATAGACCCAAAGCCAAATGAGCAAGAAGAAAAGGATAAAAGCAACTAATTGTTTATTATCTTGCTTTCATTGTTTTCTCATCAAAATAGATTGATTGCAAGAGTTTCTCCATTTCATAACTGGAAAAAAAAAAAAAAAAAAGTTTGTTGATAGGCACACTTTCAAAAGCCAGTTTAAATCATCATATAGCATACTTGAGCAAAATAGGCACACTTTCAAATCACTTCAAAAAGATTTTTTATACCTTAGGGTTTGATATGCAGAGGAGTCCAAGGGCCAAAGGAACTGCTCTACGGATATTCTGCTCCCCATATTGCAACAGATGTTCCAATGAGCGAATTGCCATTTCAAGGCCCAATTCCTCAGCCATTGCTATCATAGCAATCCCAAGCACAGCTGGTCCCTGGTGAGTTTCACCTTTCTCGAGGTGTTCAGCACAATGTCCAAGAAGGTTTTGAACCTATGAGGAGGAGTTAGTTACCAAAGAAAACTTAATATAACGGTAGCATTAAATGAATTAAATAGAATACCTTAAGAACATTCCCAGTCCCAGCATAGGCACAGGAAAGCAGTGTCATATCACAGTATTTTCTTATTTTCTCATTAAATGTTTTTGACACTTCTGCTGTGGCCTCCACCCTTTCCTGTTGAGCAAAAAAGAAAAAAAAAATCAAAAATCAAAATTACAAGCAAGTTCCAGATTTGTTGGACAACAACATTAGGTGCACAATAAATGAACCCCATGCAAAATGGGGCAACAATACTTTATATAACAATACATGGAGTAGAGAAGTAAAATATTGGTTCCATAATAGCCTCCACAAGTTGCAATTACCTGCTTCCCAAGATATAGAAGACCAAGGCCAAGAGGCAAAAATCGAGTAAGGGGCTCCTGCAATTCTGACTCGCTCCTGTCCATTAATGCAAATATCATGGCCTGTGCAACCTCTTCATTGCAGGAACCCACAAATACCAAGCCCAATGAGATTGCAGCAAATGCTATTACATCAGGTGGAGCTTTTGCATCATTAAGTATCAGGGACAATTTACTGCATATCTGTCAATCACATAAACATATAAGAAATCAAATGACAACACATTTGTCGGCCTCAAATCATATGAAAACACAATGTTTCCCTTTCATAACAACTTCACAAACTCCAGTATACATTTAAATAAACAAATGTTTTAAACATTACTAATTTAGTTTATCAACAGTTGGATCAGTAAACTGAATACTTGATAACTCATAAAATACACAGCCAATATCAGGGAGTTATAATTTCTACAGCACACCAAGACGAAAGGCAAAAATTGTTCATCTACTAAAGATGATAATTGCTATGGGTTACATATTTATCAGAAGGAAAAGAAAGCTCGCCTGCTCATTCTGAGTACCAGCATATGCAATTCCCAGCCCCATTATTGCACCAATTCGGACAGATGAATCTTCTTTATCAACAAAATCATCAAGAAGTGCCAGGGCCTGAGAGAAGAAATCAAGTCAGAGAGAAATAAATAATTTATTTGTTACAAATTATGTTCCTCGGGCACAGCTATTAAAAAACTCACAGGATCACAGTCGTTTCTGATACCACAATTGACAATTCCAACCCCTAGTAGGGCACCAGCAATCGCATAGTTGTCATTACAGTGGAAATACTTGTCAAGTTGAGCGAGCCCAGAGTCAACATCCCACATTAAAATCATTCCCTGTTAGAGGTGACATCCATGAGAACTTCGTAGGCAGGTTCAATTCATAAAAAAATCATATAAAGAACAAAAGCATACCAGGCTTGCTCCAGCGCTGGTCTTCCCATGATCTTTATTCTTGAAAAGCCAATTTGCTGAACCACCACTTGAAGAGTCTGTTGGAGGTGTCATTAACTTATCCTGTTACAAATATAAGTAAAAAATGTCAGCATAACCCACAGCTTCGAGCATTTGCATGCAAAATATATACATATTTACCTGTCCAAAACCTGCATTTACAAAGGCATTAACAAATGTAGCAGCTAAATTCTGTCTGGCTGAATCAACACTAGCACCAGCACTAGCTCGGCCTTCAAGCAAGTGTGCCTAACAAAAAGCAAGCAAACAAATCATGTGATTGGCATATAAAAGACAAATATGATTGAATTATATACTTGTGTAATAATATAAAACCTTCAGAACCGATAGTAAAATCTAATTCCAGCACCATATATACCATCAAAAGTCCAAACCTTATAGATATCTTCAGGTGATTTGGGCTCCATGACCTCAATATCACGAGCAAGGGTAAGATAACCCTCACTTAGTTTGGTGTTGTTGATTATTTCCTCCAATACTTCTCTGTGTACATCATCTGAAGTAATATCATCATCAAGCTCAAAAGCAGTACCCTGAAAAAATAGAAATGCCAGTAAACCACCAAGTACGATCATAGCAATAATTGCCACAAAACTTATGTGATACACATTTATAAACTTACATGTCGAGCAAGGATGTAAGAAAATTGTTTCTTTTGCTGCACATCATCACAAGAAGTATAAACCTGCTTGATATACTGCCATCATACACAAAGTTGTTAGGAATTAAACCACAATTACCTTTTATGCATAATTGACTCAATTTATTTGCATCAGATACAAATCACTCATACACAAGGTTATTCGAATCAGTGAAATCAAACAACAAGCAAACCTGCAAGTTATCGAGGAATAATGCAATCTGAAGTGCACTAGAATACTCTCCAAATTTGAGATATATCTCATATGCTATTTTAAGAACTACCAAATCATCTGGTCCAGGAAGGTATCTGCAAAAATATTACAAATTGAAATGTCAACACCCCACATGATCTTCTATTCACCATAGAGGATGGGTTAGGACATAGTCCTTTAAAAGCCATTTTTTATATATATATATATAAATCTTCCCTTTCTCTTTCACTCAAAGAGAAGAATTGGAAGTGACGACTTCTTAAAAATTGTGTTCCACAAAGAGGCATTCTCTTTTTTAATTCTTCATCACTCAATACGATAACTAGTCTAAAGTTGGGTTATGATATGCAACTATGTGAAATTTTTTTTGTTATATAACAACATAAGCGTATAAAGATTTCTTCGATGAAATCTATTGATCAACAGGTCCTAGTAAATCATGACTGTAATTCACTCACTTTGCTGCACTGGTGAGGTAGAGACAAGTCCTCTTGAAATTTGTTTTATCCACATGCTTACTTAAAATATCAAGGTCTTCAACCTGGATTTAGTCAGAGAAAAATATTCAAACTTAGAGTGAAAAAGAAAATTGATAAAAGAATACTAGGAAGATTGAAGAAATAATATTGTGTTTTACCTCCATTAAAAGGTCCACAGCTTCAGGTTCGGCATTGTGCTGCAAAACAATAAAAATCTTCAGATACAAAAAGCACAGTTGTCGATGTGGGGATACTGTATGGCATTTGGATATTTTCAGAACAAACATGGTACTTCTGGTGTAAAACAAGACTCAATCCTGTGTCCATGTTCCATTTAAGGGAACCAATCTCAAAAGTCGAATTTAAGGCATACCTTCATGTGAAAAGCAACAATCTGTTGTACAAGCTCAATCAGATCATCAATCGAGGCCTCTTCACTCTGTAAGCAGTACAAAAATAAATGGAATTAAGAACAAAGGGAACATATACGAGAGTTCAGAACCAGTTTTTCACAGTTCAATACAAAACACCGCTGAGCATCATGATCCCAGGCACCAATCTATAAACGTAAGTGCCACAGTGGAAGCAATGAACAAACAGAAAAATAGGCATGTATTAATTAAAAATTATACAGAAAATATTGGGCTTTTTGAATGCAATCTCTAGATAGCATAGTGATACTTTAAACTGTAAACGCACTTTTGATGGGTTCTTTAAACTGAGTATACATCAGATAGAAGACCCTTTTCATTGCCTGACAACTCAGCAGATGAGTCATCATCAATCTTCAACAGCATTATTAAAGAATAGATTTCTAACCTGTCGCTTTGTATACTCTTGAGCAATTTCTCCAGCCAAGTTCCTGCCGACAAAAAAATCACGATGATAAGATTGATTCATACATAAATATATGTATGTGAGTGTGAGTGTGAGTGTGTGTGTGTCTTCATAACTATTAAATGTGAACAATCTTCTCTGCCCAGTTACTCCAGTAGGTTGTTAAATCAATTAAAAAAAGAAAGAAAGATTACATCAAATGCTGTGGGCATCGCAAAACAGAAGCAAAATTCATTCAGGACAATCAACAATACTAGTTAATCACAAAAAAGAAAACGGAGTGACTGAGTCCTAAGAACCTGTTGCAACACAAAAATGCATTAGCAAATTTTTAAAGCAGTAGAAGAAGAAGAAAGGCTGGTCAAAATGTCAACCTTTTTTTTTAAGATCAAGGAAGAAATTTTATTAGAAGGGATAAAATGATTAACTGTAATAAGGAGTAAGACATCATCTTAAAAAGTTAGGACATTCTGATTCTTGAAATTCATCGCAACAAAAATGCTTCACAGAGCTTCCAGCTGTGCTCAATGCATTAGCCCAAAAAACCATTCTACATAGCATCGGCCTATTTTATTTTATTTTATTTTCCAAATATTTGCGATAAGAAAAACTTAAACTTGCAAGCCCAGGGCCAAAAACACTATCACTGCAACACATAATCCGAGCCCTCATCACAATAAAAAGCCTGTTCAGCTCTATTTTGTAAACTACTAATATGAAAAATGTTCTCAGGGAGATGATCTCACCTTACATACTCATGGCCCCATGAACCAATATCACCCTCTGAACCCAACAATCTGTATTTTAAGCTTTCCTGAAAGAGTCATCAAATGAAAAACAGATATACATGAAGGAACTACCAGAGCTTCAGATTAACATGCGCAGAATAAATATAAACATTCAGAATCACACACCAAGTATGATATGCATGAGAAAAATGTGTGATAAACAGAACAAACAATTTTTATTTTTGAGAATGATAAACAAAACAAACATTAATAGGAAAGAAGGGGGAAATATGCAGGCATACCCGTTCACCCTCTGCAGACATGGTCAGCGCCAAAACTGAGAGTATATCTGCCAAGTATTTCTGCAATATAAAAAATAATAATTAGTGCCTGAGCTATTATTACTGATATTAAGGGACAACATGCAACTTCACAATATACCTTCAAATCAATGTCGGCCATTTTTTCATAATGTGCTTTTAAGGTTCCATAATGAGGTCGAAGAAACTTCAATGGCTTCGGAACTGAAGTCATTGAGCTTGTTGAGCTTCGAATTTCCTGTCTGCAGGGGGGGAAGAATTTGTCAATAACCATACTCTACCCAAAAATTGTTTCCTGCAAATTGATACAATCTGGTAGTAAAATCATTACACTTTTAACACAACAACAGATGGACCTCGCAAGATGTTCTCAATCTTTTGACAAGCAACACAAGAAGCTAATATTTATTTTCACTCTTGAAAAGACATGATAGAAGAAAAAACATATTCACAGCCATTGTAGCATTTGTGGCTATCAAAACACTGAGTTAATCAATACAATAATTAACAACAAGCGATGAGCAATAATTAGCAACGAAAGCCAAGCCAGTCTGCCCATTCAATTAGTGTAACCAAGAGCACAAACCTTCAAAGCTCCACTTCATAAACATTGGTACGGTTAAGACACATCTGCTAAACATTGGTACGGTTAAGACACATCATGTGTAGCCAAGAGCACACACCCTTCAAAGCTCCAAGTCATAAACATTGGTACGGTTAAGACACATCTGCTAAACGACATCCATGTTGAAGTCTAATGCAAAAAATTAAGCCCTAAATGCTAAGAGAAATCACATAACCTTTAACAAAGGTAATAAATACAACCAGCTACCAGTACAATTCCAATAAGAAAACCAATTGCATTCCTATATATTACCAAATTTCCACATTATCGCAAAATTGATACTTCAACCACGAAGCTCGGAAGCCCCAAAACAAAACAAAAAACCCTAAATGTACATCCTTTAATAACACTCTCCGTTCACATCAGCTCCACAGTTTCGAATTTCTTGAAATTTATTATCAGCAACAAATTATCATCAAAATTAGCAGAAGAGGAGCCCTAAATTTCCAACTTTGAATGAATCAGTCATTACCTCAAGCTCTCAAGAGCAAGCTTTTGAATTCCAGGCTCAGGATCTTGAACTCTTTCCACATACAACTCCAATTGCTGTTTCAATGCCAAGTCCTCCTCTGACTACACAGCAAAAACCCGCATCGAATCAGGAAAAGTACAAAGCTTTCTCTCAATCTCAATAAAATCCTAGAGTGAGAAATTAAAGTGACTGAAACTTACTAAATCGTCGTCTTTCTTCTCCTCCTTCTTTTTCGACGGCGGCGCCTTCAACGGCGCATCATTTTTGGTTGCGCCGCCGCTTCCACTGCCGCTCGCCTTGTTCGGTTCCGGTGCCATAATTGTTTAACTCAATTAATTAATTATTATGAGATTTGCAGAACTGGTGAGCAGAAGGAAGAAGTAAAGAGAGACAATTAGCTTTAGCTTTGATACTGTAAATAAAAGATGTATTTATATTATAGCGACTTAGAGAAGAAGAAATTAAATTTGTGAGTGTTTCCATTTAAGTCCTCATACTTACATAAATATTATATTAGATCCTTAGACAGTTATAAAGCATAGATACTTCAAAATCCTTGGCTATTATATCTAAATACGATGATTTCTCGGTATGAAATACTTTTTAAACACAAATAAATTTAGTAAATATAAAATATTAGCTATAATATTTTACAGTGCTTTGAAAAAATTGTTCTAAACGTATCTGATTTCTTATACAATTTTTATTATAATAATTTCAATCTTCCTAGGTATTGAAAAAGTTTTACTATTTTTTTAATAATATATAAACACTTTAAATTTAAATTTTATAATTTCAAATTAGAATAAATAATTTACTTAATTGAGATATGTAACAAATATTATGAAAATATGGTTTTAATATGCTTCTTGTCAATCAATAATTTCATTTAAAGATATGAATTATAAGAGATGTTATTAGAAATGCTAGAAGTCGTATTTTTTTAACACGTAAACATGAGATCCATTATAAAAATTGTCCATGAGTTCCAACTTTTTGTGAGAGCATTATTTTCCAATTGAATATTTTCCTACTTGGAAAACCTAATTGAAATATAAATTAGTTTGAGCTCCTAACTGATAACTGGTATGTAAATTGAGGACTCATATGACCTAAATTTGGACATGACGAATTCCTCCGATTAGAACTCACCAGCCCAATTGCCAATTGGACTTTAAATTTTGTTTCGTAGAAATTGGGCCAAAGAATGTTACGGGCTTTAAGTTTAAGTTCATATTTGCTGCCCATTTTCGAACTTGTCTAATTTATTACCAAATAAACTTATTCTAATTTATTATTTTTTAATCAAAATTTGTATTTAATTTATTATTTTTTATGTTTTTCATAAATTTTGGAGTTAAAAAACAAGACTCTTATTTTTTAAAATTAATTTTTTCAATTTGTCACTTTTTATGAAAATTCTCATCAAATTAGTTTCTTTATTCTTTTTTATATAATTTTATTTGTTAATAAATATGATTTATTTTTCTTGAATTTGAGAATAATTTTTTTTAAATAATTAATTAATTTAAAAAATAAAATTAACATGTTTTATTTGCTTATTTTTTATATAATCAAAATATATTGAAATCAATTTTGTAGTTGTTTTTTTATTGCTATCTACTAACTTTAATATATTTTTTACAATTTAAGGCTTTTTTAAAAAAATATTTTTGATTTATTATGCACACTTTGACTCGCTAAGTATGGTCATATATATATATATATATATATATATAAGATCATTGGTTTTACTAAAAACCAACTATGCATTTACACATATATTACCAATCATTTACTATTAATTTTTTAATCTTATAAAATTAATTTCATAAATTTTAATTAAAATTTTTTATTTAATTTATTTCTTTTTATGTTTTTTTTTATAAACTTTATAGTTAAAAAAGCATGATTTCTTCTTCCTTATGCATTCATTATGAAATAAAAATTTGTAACAATCTAAATAAAAAATTTAATATCAAATTTAAATAATGTTTCTTAATATTATTTTTCATAAGATTGCCTCAAAAAAATAAAACGACAATGGATATAAAAATTTGTATAAAGATTAACAAATCAATCTTTTTTATTCTTATTTAATATTGACAAGAAAATTAACTTTTTGAAAATTCATATATATATATATATTTCTTAATGAACTAAGATTACCAACAATTTTCTTTTCTTATCTCCAGTCGGTTAGTTTATGTCTTGGAGTGTTTTTTTTTTTTTTTTTTTGCAAATCTAAAACAAATCACCGATTACAAGAAATTCTCTTATAGGAAAAATCCTATTTTCCAGAGATAGAGGTCATTCATTTCCTATTTCATAGCCAATATAATAGCAACCAATCAAATAACATTTCAATTAATCAACTTCTTGTTTATACTAATAAATCAGTCTGGCTGCCAAATGAATTATATGAATGCACTAATCATAATTTAATATTATTAAAAATATTTATTTACCTTCTTTGATTTTCTGTAAGGCTTCGATTTCTCTGATGTTTTCTCTTCAATGCCTGCAAATTGATTAAGGGATCAAACATTATTGTCATACTGATCAATATATACGAGGCTGATTATCACTACCACTGCGTATGTATATCAAAAAACAAGATAATGATCAGGAAAAAAAAAGAAAAAGAAAAAGAAAAGAGATGATGGAGTATAAATAGATCATGGGAATTGAACCTAGCTTGCCAAGCTAGTTTTGGATTCTTTCAACAGTAAGAGAAACATGAACAATTAATAACATAGCAAACTGCTGCCACAATCCGGCCATGTCGGATTGTACTCTCTAAGGTTATCCCTCCTTCTGCAATTATACAATAGTATAAAATAACGTTAAACATTATTAAAAAATATAATAAATATAAATAATAATAATAAATAAATAAAAACTTCAAAGGCTGTGTGACTTTAAGTAATTTTCATTTATTTGTTATTTCAGTGAAAAATTTTTTACCTATAGTAAGAAAAATTGATTAAAAAGACATATTAAAGAGTTGAACATTGATCAACGTAATTGATTCGAACGAATTCAATGATAAATTTGGTGCATTTGTGGTGGTGGAAGGGTTCAATGATCCTGTCAATGGCGTTTGTGCATGGAGATGGACTGAGGCCAACCTTACAGACCGGAAGAATTCAACAACAATTTAATTAGAAAACATTGATTACGTACGACTTGAACATGCATGTTTAGTGCAGCATAGATTGAAGAATTATTATTTTTATTTCCAATTTCAATTAAAAAAAAATCAGGCTGTAATTTGCGTATATTAATTTGGTATTGAGAAAAATCTATTTTAGGTAATTAATTAAGCCATATAATCCACTTAATAATATCTTAATCATATTGATTAAAAAGTCTAAGCAAGCTGCAAACCAATTTCCACCGCGTAAATATAATATAATATAATTTAAGTTAGTCCTGTTAGGAAGCGGGCTTTCCTACGTTTAATTTCTAAGCCATTTTTTTTTTTTTTTTTGCAACTCATTTGCTTCTGCTTTCTACGTAATTTTCTCTCTCACGCCATTGCAGAGATCCACACCATGGCTCTGGCTTTGATCGGACAATCACTTCTCTCTGCTGTGATTCAGGTTTTGGCTGACAGGTTGGCCTCTCCGGAGGTTCTGGGCTTCTTCAAAACCCAAAAACTCAACGATGGTCTTCTCGAGAAGTTGAAAGAAACGCTGAATACTGTCAACGGACTGCTCGACGACGCCGAGGAGAAGCAGATTACAAAGCCTGCTGTGAAGAACTGGCTTAATGATGTTAAACATGCTGTCTACGAAGCTGAAGACTTATTGGAGGAGATCGATTATGAAGTTCGACGATTCAAGGAAGAAGCTGCAGCTCAAACTGTCACCACTCAGGTGAGCACAAGTTTTTCCTGTGATATCATATGATAACACGTTACAGCTAGTTCTCTCTATACTTAGATGTTTCTTTCGAAACAAAATGGATAAACTAATAGCTAAATTCGAAGTTAATTTATAAAGTGTTATGCATTCCTGTGATATCCATATTGGTAAAATCTTACATGAAAACTTGGTAATATATTCTCGGCTAACTCGACAGTACCTTGTATTATACATTGACTTAAATTGGAATCTCAAACTAATTTTTTTTTAATTTGAATATCATAATTATTTTAGTTCAGAGTACGTACTAATCTGCGGTCAACTATCCAACTAATTAGCTTATATATATATATATATATATACAGAGAGAGACCTTTAATCTTGTCTCTCCTAAATTTTATTTATGTTCTATCGTTGTAGGTGAGGAACTTTCTTCCATTTCTTAATCCAGCTAACAAAAGGATGAAAGAAATGGAAGCAGAGTTAGAGAAGTTTTTTGAGAGGCTTGAACGTTTAGTTAAACACAAGGGTGATCTGCGCCACATAGAAGGAACTACTGGAGGGAGACCTTCGCCCGAGAAAACAACTCCTCTGGTTAATGAATCTCATGTTTATGGCAGGGAAGCTGATAAGGAAGCCATAATGGAGTTGTTGACAAAGAACGAAGAAAATGGTCCAAATGTTGTTGCGGTTCCAATCGTTGGAATGGGTGGAATTGGTAAGACCACTCTTGCTCAGCTCATCTACAAGTACAAAAAAGTAGAGGAGTGCTTCCAACTCAAAGCCTGGGTCTGGGCTTCTGAACGGTTTGATGTTACAATAGTAGTGGATGACATTCTTAAAAAGATCAACGCAAACACTAGTGCCACCAAAGAACCAGATGAATCTCTGAAGGATGCATTGAAGGAGAAAACATTTTTGCTTGTGCTAGATGACGTGTGGAACATTGAGTACAACGAATGGGACAAATTACTGCTCCCTCTGCAGTATGCAAAGCAAGTAAAGATTATTGTAACAACTCGGGACGAAGGTGTGGTTAAAGTCATGCGAACTGTTGTTCCTTCTTATCTGTTGAAGGGAATAAGTGATAATGATTGCTGGCGGTTGTTTGCAAGGCATGCATTTAGCGGCATGAATTCCGATGCACCCTCACATTTGCAAGAATTTGGGAGAGAAATAGTGAGAAAGTGCAAAGGTCTACCTCTGGCAGTGAAAACTCTTGGGGGTCTTTTGCGCTCTGAAGGAGATGCCAAGGAATGGGAGAAGATATCGAAGAGTAGTATGTGGGGTTTGTCGAACGAAAACATCCCTCCGGCTCTGCGATTGAGCTATTATTATCTTCCATCCTATCTAAAAAGATGTTTTGCTTATTGCGCAATTTTTCCTAAGGGTTATGAATTTCGAAAAGAGGAATTAATCCCTTTTTGGATGGCAGAGGGTTTTCTAATCCCGTCAAGAGGTGATGAAATGGAAGAAAGAGGTGAAAGATACTTTAATGAACTTGTCTCTAGGTCCTTTTTCCAGCAGTCAAGTAAGTATGATTCATCCCTCTTCAGCATGCATGATCTCATAATCGATTTAGCTGAATACGCGTCTGGAGAATTTTGCTTTAAGTTTGTGGTGCACGGAGAATGGAGCTATGGGACAGAGGGTGAAAATTCATGCATGCTTCTTGGAAGGACTCGTTATTTGTCATTTACTTCGAGACATAATCATGTCTCAAAGGTGTTTGAGCGCATTCATGAAGTCCAACATCTGCGCACCTTTTTGTCTCTATCGAACTGGTTGAAACATCCTTCTATCAATATGGTATTACATGACATATTCACAACTCTAAAACGCTTGCGAATGCTGTCTTTGTCTGTGCGCAATATAGACTTGCTGCCCAATTCAATTTGCAACTTGAAACATTTGCGACATCTAGACCTTTCATTTACATCCATAGAAAGGCTACCTGAAAATGTGAGCACTTTGTATAATTTGCAAACATTAATCTTGGAAGGGTGTCCCAATCTCATAGAGTTGCCAACCAACATGTCCAAATTGGTCAACTTACAACATCTTCATGTACAAAAGACACAACTGAAAGCGATGCCACCAGAAATGGGAGAACTCAAAAAACTTCGGAAGTTGACAGATTTCTTTTTGGGGAAACAGAATGGGTCTAGCATCAAAGAATTGGGAAAGCTCTTTCATTTACGAAGTAGCCTTTCTATTTGGAATCTCCAGAATGTTACTGATGTTCAAGATGCTTTGGATACTAATTTGAAGGGTAAGGAACAGCTTGAGCAGTTGATGTTGAAATGGGGCGGCGAAACGGATGATACACAGCATGAAAGGAACGTACTTGAGAAATTGGAGCCTTCTATAAATTTGAAAAGACTTTACATTATTGGTTTTGGCGGTACAAAGTTTCCAAATTGGGTTGGAAACTCTTCTTTCTCAAATATGGCGTCGTTGACCCTTATTGGATGTAAAAACTGCACCTCCTTACCACCACTTGGGCAGCTGCCATCTCTTGAAAGGCTATGTATTGAAGGATTTATTGAAGTTGTGACTGTTGGTTTGGAGTTCTATGGAAGTGAGCCATGGATAGAGAAGCCGTTTAAATCCCTAAAAAAATTAAGCTTTCTGAAAATGCCGCAATGGAAAGAATGGAATACAGATGTAGCTGGTGCTTTCCCTGTTCTTGAAGATCTTCAAATGTATGCATGTCCAAAGCTTGTGGGTTCGTTTCCAGCGGCTCCCAAGCTTACCCAATTTAATTTAAATAACAGTTTATATACACAGGAATTATATCCTTCTGGGGAGTGGTGTCTTGTGGTTTCAGAAGGTTCCCTGCTGAAGGGCATTAAGCGAGCTAGTGGCGTTTTCTCTTCTATCACTAAGGTTGAATTCCGTGGATGTGGTTCGCTCAAGAGCTGTCAGCTAGACTTTTTGCCCCACTTTTCTAAATTTATAATCCGAGACTGTCTAGAACTTGAATCCCTTCGTATACGTGAGGGACCTCTTCTGTCTCTCCATCAATTGGTAGTCATAGGTTGTCCTAATCTGAAGTCGCTGCCAGAAAACATGCATTCCCTTCTTCCTTCCCTTGAGAAGTTGGTTTTGGGCTTACTTCCACAAGTGGACTCCTTCCCTGAGGAGACACTGCTGCTGCCCTCCACTATTACATCCCTCGAATTCAACTGTCTGAGAAATCTGAAATCTCTGGACTACAAGGAGCTTCAGCAACTCACTTCTCTTCGCAATCTGAAGATATGTCAATGTCCTAAGCTTGAGTTCATCCCAGAAAAGTCGCTGCCATCCTCCATTGAACACCTTGAAATCATGGATTTGAAAGATCTGGACTACAAGGGGCTACAACACCTAACTTCTCTTCGTCAATTGAAGATCTGGAGTTGTTCTAAGCTTGAGAACATCCCCGAAGAGTCGCTACCTTCGTCCCTTGAACACCTTGAAATCTGGAATATGAAAGATCTGAACTACAAGGGGCTTCAACACCTCACCTCTCTTCGCCGATTGAAGATTTGTGGATGTCCGAAGCTTGTGTCTCTGCCGGAAGAGGGGCTGCCTTCCTCCCTTAGATACCTGGAAATCAGGAATCTGGAAAATCTGGAATCTCTGAATTACAAGGGGCTTCAGCACCTCAACTCTCTTCGCCGTTTGCACATCTGGATGTGTCCTAAGCTCAAGTCCATGCCAGAAGAGGGGCTTCCCTCCTCCCTTGAATATCTTAAAATTATCCGTTGTCCTTCGCTGGCAAAAAGTTGTGAAAGGAAGACAGGAAAAGATTGGCCCAAGATTTCTCACATCCCCGGTGTAACCATAAAAATGTTATCTAAGGCTTAGGTATTTACCAATATCTCAGCCTTACATCTGTGGTTTGATAAATTCTTCTTGAGATTCCTCGTATTATTACTTTCTTGCTGTGTGTTTCTGTGTAAGCCACAAATTGATGTTAGTTTCTTCACAATCAGAAACATATACTGGCGAATATGCTTCATGCTGTTTTGCAGTAATGATCTAGTTTGTGCTAAAGAAAATAAATTTTCAGATGCTCATGTTTTCTGTTAAATGATCTATCTCAGGGTTTCATCTACTTTTGCAAGGCTGCAAAAGATGTTCAATCTTCACAAATTTCATGAAGACTGACTCCCTCTAATGAATGGAAAGAAGGATCAAAGCACCCTGAATCAGCTTTCTCGAACGGATAAAAAAAAAGTTATTTGAATAGTAGATTAGATCGAGTAATTCAGAGTAGCTCCTTGCCAACAACAGCTGCAAATTCTACAGAAAAAAGAAAGGTTCTTTGATGCGACGGCCCAGCTCGGATAAGACTGAAAGAACAACTTCCCACCTACTGACTCAGTAAAGGCTTGTGCTATACTCTAATATAATCTACAAGTTAATCCGATAGGTTCTCTAACCTCTTCTTTGTTTTCGAAATGCAAAATTATTTTCCATTGAAAATGCCTTTGGTTTATAGCATTTTTTAGCAGTAATACCTTCTTAGACTTATAATATATCATTCATTAATCATCCTGCTTCAGGTTTCCGTCACCAAATAAAGAGAGAATTGATAATCACCAACGTCATTTGGGCAGAAGAAAAGGTGCTTTGTTAATTTACATATTCATTGCAACAGAGACATTGGCAAATATGCTTCATGCTACTTTGCAATATTCTCACAGACTGTCCTTTGTACTAAAGAGAGAATTGCTTTACATTTCCTTGCCCTTACCAGATTTCTTTTAAGAATATAAAATCTTCATATGCTCCAGTTCTCTTTTGAATAACCAATCTCATCAGGTTTTCATCTACTCCAGCCAGAGCGCAAAAGCTGTTCAACCTGTATTTGTACAGGTAGTTGTATTGCACCAATCTTTATATTCTTATTATTTTCCCTTTCTTAATGCCATGTCCAAACTGATAGATTCTCTACCTCTTCAGTTTCTTAGTGTAGTTTCCTGAGAATTCAAGATGAATACTTTTGCAAATGCAAAATGACTCGAGAAATGATGCATAGCATGCTTGAAAATGGTAGTTTGGAGACAGAGATTGAATTGGCTTCATTCTTCATTCGAAGAAAGTTCAAATCAGTAGAAAAATATGTCCCAGAACTTGGAGTAGAGTTATTCCTTGAAGACAGCAGACTAGCAGAGGTTGATCCACCCTTTAGCAGGCAGCACACTAAAGTGTTCTTGTGTTCATTTTCTTTCTTGATGAGGTTTCAAGTAATTTGGGATTCTGTATTTGAAGAAGAGTTATGAAAGGAGAAGAGAAATGAAAACAAGAATAATTTGAGACAAACAGCTTCTGTTTTTCCGAAGCAACAAGAAAAGCAGCCATATAATGCTGCTAATAATTGTCCTCCTCTGTAAATTGTATTTCCTTCCAAATATTATTGCAACTCTGGCTTAAGAAAGAAGAGAAGCTGAAACTGTTTGAAATGTCGCTGGTTTTTCCCAGAAGCTAAGTCCATTTTTGTTCTGTAAGTTGTATTTCCCCAAAGCAATTGTTAATGATCATCTTTCATCACTTTATGAAGTGCATTTCAAGAATAAGACCAACTTCCCTATCTGAAAGTATATGTGCCCAGTATTTCGAGTAAATTATAAATTAGTCCCTCTAGTTTAAAGAAATGAATTAATTAGCCTCTCTTGTTTAAAAAACTGTTATTTAATCATTTGGCTAGTGTTGACCTTGATTTAATTAATATTATTTTTATTTCACAAATGTCTTATTTTCTTATTAATCTTTTCATTTTTTTATATTTTCATTTTTTATCGCTTAAAATAAAAAATGAAAATAAATTGAAAAACAACAAAAATGATTAAATTTCAAATAGATTTTTAAAAATGGGAACTAAATAATTTATTTTCAAGACAAGAGGGACTAATTAATTCATTTCTCAAAACTAAAGAAACTGATTTATAATTTGCTCCTAATATTTTTGCATTAAATAAATAAATTAAGTGACCCTTTCAGGTTGAAGCCTATATTTTCTAGCATCACAAACTAACCCCTCAATCCAATCCGATGATAAATTAATCCCATAAATTTACTAATTTCTTTATTAAAAAAAATAAATATTTACTTTCTAAATATATCCAACACATTTTTGTGCTGATATTAATTAAATTTAGTGTCTATGCTGAAACTCATATATTAATTAATTTCAATCGTAATTTCACAATGTATATGTGTGTGTGTGGTAAATTATATATATATATATATATATATATAAAATTTACTATAGTCAATCATGAAGGTAGTCCAGCGCATTTTCCTTGATCCTGCAAAACAAAACAGAAACTATTTACTTTATGCTTTTATTAATGGCTGAGGTCAAAAGGTTCCCAGCAAAAAAGTCTAAAGAGGCAGCGGCTTTTAAAAGCAACTCTTTCCCCTTTATATCAATCTCTTTCTTCGTTTTCGTTAATTATTTTTCTTGTGGGTTTTTTGATTCCCATCAGAACTACAATATGTGTTCTTTATACATGTCATAAAATGTATTTTAATCTATTTATAATTAGTTTTGTAATTTTGAAAAAATCAGTAAGAATGGATAATTTTGCAATTCTAATTCTAATATGTTGTATCAATTTCAAATTTTGGAAGGAGCTAGTTCTCTGTACTTTGAATTTTCTTTTCAACAAAAAATTGGGTGAAAAATTATCTCAGCCAAAAGGTAAATTATAGTACTTTTTATGTATTCCTATGATATCTATATCAAATGTTTTGGATTTCGATCCTCTCATGTTTGTAAGGGAACATGACTGATCATATATTCTACCTATAATCTCGTCTCTTCTAAAATTTATATCATGTTCCGCCATTGCAGATGTGGAATTTCCTTCCATTTTTCAATCCAGATAACGAAAGGATGAAAGAAATGGAAGCAGAGTTAGAGAAGATTTTTGAGAGGCTTGAACGTTTAGTTAAACACAAGGGTGATCTGCGCCACATAGAAGGTACTACTGGAAGGAGACCTTCGCCCGAGAAAACAACTCCTCTGGTTAATGAATCTCATGTTTATGGTAGGGAAGCTGATAGGGAAGCCATAATGAGGTTGTTGATACGGAATAAAGAAATTGGCCAAAATGTTGTTGTGATTCCTATCGTGGGATTGGGTGGAATCGGTAAAACCACTCTTGCTCAGCTCGTCTACAACAACAGCAGAGTAGAGGAGTGCTTCCAACTCAAAGCTTGGGTCTGGGCTTCTGAACAGTTTGATGTTACTAGAGTAATGGATGATATTCTAAAGAAGATCAACGCAAGCACTAGTGGCACCAAAGAACCAGATGAATCTCTAAAGGATGCATTGAAGGAGAAAACATTTTTGCTTGTTCTGGATGATGTGTGGAACATTGAGTACAATGAATGGGTCAAATTACTGCTCCCTCTGCAGTATGCAAAGCTAGCAAAGATTCTTGTAACAACTCGGGATAAAGATGTGGCGAAAGTCATGCAAACTGTTATCCCTCCTTGTCAGTTGAAGGGATTAGAGTATGAAGATTGCTGGCAGTTGTTTACAAGGCATGCATTCAGTGGCATGAATTCCGATGCACTTTCAGACTTGGAAAATTTTGGCAGAAAAATAGTGAAAAAATGCATAGGTCTACCACTGGCGGTGAAAACTATTGGTGGTCTTCTGCACTCTGAAGGAGATGCCAAGGAATGGGAGAAGATATCGAAGAGTAGTATGTGGGGTTTGTCGAGCGAAAACATCCCTCCAGCTCTAAAACTGAGCTATTATTATCTCCCATCCAATCTGAAAAGATGTTTTGCTTACTGTGCAATGTTTCCTAAGGGTTATGAATTTAAAAAGAAGGAATTAATCTCTTTGTGGATGGCAGAGGGTTTTCTAATCCCGTCAAGAGGTGGTGAGATGGAAGAAATAGGTGAGAAATACTTTAATGACCTTGTCTCTAGGTCATTTTTTCAGCAATCAAGTAAGTCTTCTTCACTCTTCAGCATGCATGATCTCATAACCGATTTAGCAGAGTACGTGTCTGGGGAATTTTGTTATAAGTTTGAGGGGAATGAAGGATCGGGCTTTGGGTTAGAGGATGAAAATTCATGCAGGCCTCCTAAAAGGACTCGTTATTTTTCATTCACTTCAAGACATGATCTGCAAAACACATTTGAGCACATTCATGAAATCCAACATCTACGCATCTTTTTGGATCTATCGAAATGGTCAAAAAAACCTTCTATTGATATAGCATTGCATGACATATGCACAACTCTAAAGCGCTTGCGAATGCTATCTTTGTCTTTCCACAAAATAAGTGTGCTGCCCGATTCAATTTGTAACTTGAAACATTTGCGACACCTAGACCTTTCATATACATCAATAGAAAGACTACCTGAAATTGTATGCTCTTTGTACAATTTGCAAACATTAATATTGAAAGGGTGTCACGAGCTCATAGAGTTGCCAACCAACATGTCCAAATTGGTCAACTTACAACAGCTTCATATTCAAATGACGAAACTGAAAGAGATGCCATCAGAAATGGGAAAACTCAGAAAACTTCAGAAGTTGACAGATTTCTTTTTAGGAAAACAAAGCGGGTCTAGCATCAAAGAGTTGGGAAAGCTCTTACATCTACGAAAAAGGCTTTCTATACGTAATCTCCAAAATGTTGTAGATGTTCAAGATGCTTTGGATGCCAATTTAAAAGGTAAGAAGCAGATTGAGAAGTTGATGTTGGAATGGAATGGCGAGACGTATGACACGCAGCATGAGAGGGACGTACTTGAGAAATTGGAGCCTTCTGTAAATGTGGAAAGACTTGACATTATTGGTTATGGGGGTACAAAGTTTCCAAATTGGGTTGGAAACTCTTCTTTCTCAAATATGATGTCGTTGACGTCTTAGTGGATGTAAAAACTGCACCTCCTTACCACCACTTGGGCAGCTGCCATCTCTTGAAGGGCTCTATATTGCAGGATTTGATGAAGTTGTGGCTGTTGGTTTGGAGTTCTATGGAAGTGATCCTTTGACGGAGAAGCCGTTTAAATCCCTCAAAACATTAAATTTTCAGCTGATGCCAGAATGGAAAGAATGGAATACAGGTGTAGCTGGTGCTTTTCCTCTTCTTGAAGATCTTCAAATGCTTTCATGTCCAAAGCTTGAGCGTTCGTTCCCAGCACCTCCCAAGCTCATCCAATTTAATTTAAACTTCCTTTTATTTACAACTCGTCACCCAGATTCTTGTTGGAATCTTACAGTTGGTAAAGGCTCCCTGTTAAAGAGCATTAAGCGAGCTAGCTGTCTTTTCTCTTCTGTCACTCAAGTTATATTTAAATGTCGTTCACTCAAGAGCTGTCAGCTAGACTTTTTGCCCCACCTTTCTATGTTTAGAATCTATGGCTGTAAAAATCTTGAATCCCTTTGCATAAGCGAGGGACCTCTTCTCTCTCTCCAATATTTGGCAGTCAGAGATTGTCCTAATCTGAAGTCGCTGCCAGAAAACATGCATTCCCTCCTCCCTTCCCTTCAGCAATTGAAATTGAGGCGTCTTCCACAACTTGATTCAGTTCCAAATGGGCGTTTGCCTTCCAAGTTAAAATCCCTTTTGATCCATGATTCTATCAAACTCAACGCATTAAGTCCATCACTGCAATCTCTCCTTTCTCTTTCAAGCTTCAGTTTTTGTGGGGACGATGACGTGGAGTCCTTCCCTGGGGAGACACTGCTGCTGCCCTCCGCTCTTACATTTCTTAGAATCAACCGTTTGAGAAAGCTGAAATATCTGGACTACAAGGGGCTTCAGCACCTCACCTCTCTTCGCGATGTGATGATCTGTGAATGTCCTGAGCTTGAGCTCATCCCAGAAGAGTCGCTGCCATCCTCCACTGAAGACCTAATCTTGGGTTTAAAAGATCTGGACTACAAAGGCTTAAAGCACCTAACCTCTCTTCGCCAATTGAAGATCTGGAGTCGTGCTAGGCTTGAGCCCATCCCAGAAGAGTTGCTACCCTCCCCCTTAAACACCTTGAAATCTGGAATCTGAAAGATCAGGACTACAATGGGCTTCAGCACCTCACCTCTCTTCGCAGTCTAAAGATCGATCTATGTTCTGACCTTGAGTTCATCCCAGAAGAGTCGCTGTCATCCTCCATTGAAAGTTTGGATTTGAAAGATCTGGACTACAAGGTGCTGCCCATCCCAGAAGAGTCGTTACCCTCCTCCCTTGAACTCCTTGAAATCCGGAATCTGAAATCTCTGAACTCCAAGGGGCTTCAACACCTCACCTCTCTTCGCGAATTGAAGATTTGCGGATGTCCGATGCTTGAGTCTATGACAGAAGAGGGGCTGCCTTCTTCCCTTGAAAGCCTTGAAATCACGAATCTGAAAAATCTGAAATCTCTGCAGGGGCTTCAGCACCTCAACTCTATTTGCAATTTGGACATCTGGAATTGTCAGAAGCTTGAGTCCATGCCAGAAGAGGGACTGCCCTCCTCCCTTACATGTCTTAGAATTTTCGATTGTCCTTCGCTGGTAAAAAGGTGTGAAAGGATGACAGGGGAAGATTGGCCCAAGATTTCTCACATCCCCTATATACTTATGTCCAAACCATAAGAAAATGAACCATTCCGGAGGATAAGAAATTGAGCAACAACAATCTTATGTCAATTCCCCAACATGCTTAGGTATTCCGATTTTTCAGCCTTGCATCTGTGGTTTTCTGAATTCTTTTTGAGATTTATTTTATTATTACTAATGGCTAGTTGTAGAACATTTTATTTCTCGATCTTATTGTCACATAATTATTTTGTTAATGTTTTTGCTAAATCCTAATATGCCTCATGTTGATTTGCAGTAATGACTCTAATTTGTGCTAAAGAACTAACTATTTTGCGTTCTTACCATTACTGGATTCCTTTAAAAATATAAATTTTTGGATGCTCATGTTTGCTGTTGAATGATTTATCTCAGGGTTTCATCTATTTCTCCAAGGTTGTCGAAGCTGTTCAACCTTAACAAAACATAAAGAAACAACAGCCAAATCTACAATTTTGTCTGATAGGTTCTCTAACCTCTTCTTTGTTTTCTAAATGCAAAATTATTTTCCATTGCAAATGCTTTTGTTTTATAGCATTTTTCAGCTGTAATACCTTCTTAGACTTATAATCAGATCATTCATTAATCATATCCTGCTACAGGTTCCCTGTCATCAAATAAAGAAGTATAATTGACATTCACCTCTCATATTCTTCTTTCTTAATGCCATGTCATTTCAGCAGAAGAAAAGGTGCTTGGTTAATTTACATTTCATTGCAACAGAAACATATTGGCAAATATGATCCATTCTAGCTCTCATATTGGATTTCTTTTAAGGATATAAAAATTTGGCATGCTTATGATCTCTCTTGAACAACCCTTCTCATCAGGTTTTCATCTACTTCAGCCAGGGTGTAAAAGCTGTTCAACCTTTACTGAAATTATTGGAGCCAAAACCTGTGCAGGTAGTCATATTGCAACTATCTTTATATTCTTATTATTTCTCCTTTCTTAGTGCCATGTCAAATTTGATAGGTTTTCTACCTCTTCTGTTTCTTAACGTAGTTTCCTGAGAATTCAAGACATATGGTTTTGCAAATGCAAAATGACTAGAGAAATGATGCATACCATGCTTGAATGGTAGTTCGTAGTCAGAGATTGAATTGGCTTCATGGTTCATTCAAAGGAAGTTCATTGTCATTTCTCTAGAACTTGGACTCTTGGACTATATGTCGTGATGACAGCAGAGTTATTCCTTGATGACAGCAGAGGTGGAACAACTCTTCAGAATTGAGATGGCAGGTCTTCACTGCACGCCCATTACTATGTTTTTAAGTTAAGGTTTGCAACAATTTTTCCAACTAAAATCGGCATAATTGGATCCCATTGTGAAGCACCGTATGGGTTCTTGTGAATCAGCCAATGCTATCACAAGGTATTGTTTGTTTCTTTATATAATGAAAGCATTACACAAAGGTCATAATTGTTTTTGTGTTCATTTTCTTTCATGGTGAGGTTTTGAATAAATTGAGATTCTGTGCTCAAAGCAGAGTTATAAAGGAGATCAGGAATGAAAACAAGAATAATTGTGATCTTGCTACCAATTTACATCACTTACAGCTTGATAGTTCACTAGAATTTTATGAAAAGAAAAAGGTTGATCGGAATAAGCAGCTGCCTAATGATTTTTCATGATGGTTCTATGTTCAGGATTAACCCAAGAGATAGCCTATGCCTCATGGTGAAAATGACGTCACACACAAAGTGAAGAAAGGATGAAACTTAGAAAGATACAACTGCTGGCCAAAGATGCAGCAGATCGGAAACCAGGATATCCAAATATGCTATATTCGGTCCCCAAATACTCTTTAGGTATTTACTAATTTCTCAGTCTTGCAATTTCTTCTGGGATTCCATTTGCTAGTTGTTGAGCTTTGCATTTTCAGAAAAAACATAGTTTGTCACATAATTATATAAATACATATATATTGGGTGCTTTCATCACATAATTATGTTGTATTGTTAATCTATTTGATTTTCTTATCATAAATTATTCGTCAGAAAAATAGGATTTTGTTTCCAAGTTTCTTCAGTATGCATTGAAGGTCGATCAAGTTTCCTTTGAACCCAATGCACATATGAAACCAGGAGAACTGGAATATTGATCCAGGTAAATCATATTGGTTATTACTTTTTTTTAAGGTTAATCATGTGTCAAAAGAAGTTTTCTGAATTTATTAAGGGCTTTGAATGATCAATGAGCTTGTTTAATAGCAGTATTGAGCTGCAACACCCTTTATAGACTTCTATTCAGATCATTCCATAATCACGCTGCTGCAGCTTCCATTACTTCTTCTCTTTTGTTGGTCATAATGAAGTATAATCAACATTCGCCAACATCATTTCAGCAGCAGAAAAGGTGCATAATTTATATTCATCGCTTCAAATTTTAGGCAATTTGCTTCATTTAATGTGAAACTGAGACAGGGGAAGATTGGCTCAAGATTTCTCACATCCCCTATATAACCTTAAGAATGTTCTGATGCTTAGGTATCAACCAATTTCTCAGCCTTGCATCTATGGTATCATAAATTGTTTTTCAATTGTCCTTAGCTGGAAAAAAAAGTGTTTTCGAGCACTGTATTTTAACAAAAAACAAGTTTAATATTTTCATATAATTATGTTGTTAATTTTTTTGCTATAAACAAGGTCTCTGTTTGTTTATGGTGAAGCTTCACTATGTCAATAGTATTATTTTTAGAGTGCTGCCACAGATTCCCATCACATTTTCTCGTCTGTTGCAAGTGGTCAAACTTACTTGATTAGTTGGGATATGAACTTCTATTAGACGTGCTTTCTCTTTCAATTGGCCTCCACCTGGGCCTCCCCAGCTAGCCATGGAGCTTGTCAATATGGGAAAAAGCTTAATATGTAACCTGGTTGCTATCAAGAGAGTAAGGTGTTCCATTTTATCTTATCCTGATCAAGCATCACTTGAAACTGCCTCTCTATTTTTACTTGAGCACCACCACTCATTTGCTTTCGATTTCTATAATTATATATGCTGAATAGAAATTTTATAGGATGTCCATTATGATTTGGTATTTTCATGCTGTGTTTGTGTAAGCCACAAGTGATTTTTGTTTCTTCACAATCAGAAACATACACTGACGAATGTGCTTCATGTTGATTTGCAGTAATGACTCTAATTTGTGCTAAAGAGTGAACTATTTTGTATTCTTACAATTACTGAATTCCTTTAAGAATACAAAATTTTCAGATGCTCATGTTTGCTGTTGAATGATTTATCTCAGGGTTTCATCTACTTCTGCAAGGCTGCCGAAGCTGTTCAACCTTAACAAAACATAAAGAAACAACAGCCAAATCTACAAGTTAATCTGATAGGTTCTCTAACCTCTTCTTTGTTTTGGTAAATGCAAAATTATTTTCCAATCGAAAATGCCTTTGTTTTATAGCATTTTTGAGCTGTAATACCTTCTTAGATTTATAATCCGCTCATTCATTAATCATCCTGCTGCAGGTTCAACCTGTACTGAATATACTGGAGCCAAAACTTGTACAGGTAGTCATATACACCTATCTTTATAATCTTATTATTTCCCCTTTCTTACTGTCAAGTCAACTTTCATAGGTTCTGTCCCTTCACTGTTTCTTAACGTAGTTTCCTGAGAGTTCAAGGCGAATAGTTTCACAAATGCAAAATGACTCAAGAAATGATTCATACCACACTTGAATGTTAGTTCGGAGAGACAGCTTGAATTGGCTTCATGGTTCATTCAAAGGAAGTTCAAAATCAGTAGAAAAATATATTCCACGTCTTGGAGTAGAGTTATTCCTTGAAGACAGCAGAGGTTGATTGAGATGGCAGATCATCACTGTACAGCCCATTGCTACACTTTGGTTCAGTGCAGGTTTGCAACAATTTTTCCAACAAAGATGGGCACAAGTGAATCCCATTGTCAAGCACCGTATGAGTTACAGTGAATCCGCAAATTCTATAACAAGGTATTGTTTGTTTCTTTATATAATGAAAGCATCGCAGAAAGGTCGTAATTATTCTTGTGTTCATTTTCATCTTGATGAGGTTTCAAATAACTTGAAATTCTGTAGTCAAAGCAGAGTGATAAAAGGAGAACAGAAATGAATACAAGGATAATTGTGATCTTACTAAAAATTTACATCACTTACAACTTGTTAGTTCATTTGAATTTTATGAAAAGAAAAATGTTGATCAGAATAAGCAGGTGCCTAATGGTTTTTCGTGATGGTTCTATGTTCAGGATTAGCTCAAGAGATAGCCTGTCTCATGGTTAAAATGATGTGAAACACGGTGAAGAAAAAAGGGTGAAACTTAGAAGAGACAACTGCCGGCCAAAGATGCAGCAGATAAAAAATCAGGATATCCAAATATGCTATAGTCAGTCTCCTGTCACAGCAACGAATTCAGAGCTACGACATAGTCGGATGTTGCTTGCCTCTGTTGTTATATTTCGAACTCTGTTTGCCAACATTTTTTCTGTCACAACCATAACAGACAGAAATATGATGCTGCTAATAATTGTCCTCAGGCTGTAAATTGTATTTCCTTCCAAACATTATTGCAACTCTCGCTTAAGACGAGAAGCTGCAAATGATTGAAATATGGCTGGTTTTTCCATTAGCTAAGTCCATTTTTGTTCGGTAAGTTGTATTTCCCCAAAGCCATTGCTAATGGTCATCTTTCATCACTTGATAAGGTGCTTTCAAGAATTAAGGCCAATTTCCTACTTTTGTTCATTTTGCCATAGCCCCATGCACTTGCTTGTCTACTAATGTTTTGGTCTTTTGATATACTAATTGCTGACAGAAATCAATCCAATTCAACCCGTTTTGAATTGCAAACCTAAAAAATAGTCAAAACCCAAAACCATAAATCAATATGGTAAGGATGTTTTCATTTCTGGAGGCTCTACGTTCTACGCTTCAGTTTGGTTTTTAATGCAAGGCTTATTGCCTTAGTGAACTCTACACCTCTTTTGGGCCTCAAGCTGTTTTTATCTTGTGTCGGCTAAGCCCTGGAATGAAATCCTTAACAATGAATACTCCTCTACATCTTAAGCTCGATTAAGTTTTTCGGTCAAAAGCCCTCGTCACAATACTAAAATCCAGGCCTCCTGCAATCTCCAAAACCACCACCGAGTTAGAGCATATCCCATTGACAAAACACCCCTCCACCACTTCAAGATCATTAAGAACAGAGGACCAACACTGCTGTGTTTCCGTGTAAGCCACAAATTGATGTTCAGTGTCTTCACAAACAGAAACATATATGATTTACTGGTAAATATGCTCCATGTTTCCTTGCATTGAGCGTTGATATCAAGGACTCTAATCTGTGCTACAGATTAAACTGTTTTTTGTATTTCCAATGCTCATGCTTGCTGTTGAATTATTTATCTCAGGGTCTCATCTACTTCTGCCAGGCTGCGAAAGCTGTTCAATCTCTACTGAAAATATTGGAGCCCAAAATTTGTCCAGGTAATTGTATTGTGGCCCTTTTTAACTCGTATTATTCCCTTTTCTCGATGCCTTGTCAAACGGTAGGAGTCATATTGCAGAAGCACAAACAGTACCATTTATAATCTCCAACCAACTACTGATTCGGGGCTCCAAGAGGTGGAGTTGGAAACTGATTGCTTGTTGCTTGTTCAAGTGAGTCAAAAGCCTTTCAAAGTTGATTTTGATTCTCGATCACTTTTAGAAGACATTGAAGATATGGCATCAGGTTTCAGAGATTTTGTTACTTGCGAAGAGACAAGGAAACCAAGTGGCATATGACCCAACTCATTTAACCAGATTCAGTTGAAACAGTTTCAATGGAGGATGTTCCTTCCTTTAATTTACATTTGAAGGAATCACATTGCATATGCGAAGATACTTCTACTAAGGGGACCCTTTTTTATGTCCACCTGAAGATAATTAATCCTATTTAATCCACTTGACTATGTTCTAATCACGCATTAAAAAAGGACGTAACCAGACTGCTAATTAATGTCCACTTGAAGATAATTAATCTCATCGATCTAATCCTCTTGACAAGTTTCTAATCTCATAATAACAAGAAAATACCTAACCAGACTGCTAATGAATGTCCACTTGAAGATAACTAATCCCATCTAATCCTCTTGTTCATATCACACGTTACAAAAAGACCTATAACCAGACTGCTAATTAAGATATTAGTGACTTGAACACCCCAAGTCAATGTTTTTAATTTACTTTAATCCTTCTATGAATTTCTATGTTGTTCCCTTAAAGTCTCATTTTCTTCCTTCATAATTCTCAGCAGTTCACTTGCTTCTGCTTTCTACTAGTTTTCTCTCTCACACTCGCATTCACACCACTTTTTAAGAGGTTTCAGATTTGTATTTCTTTTACTTGTAATGTTATTTAATGGTTTCGGTGTTATCTTTCTATCAAATTTTTTAATCATATTGATTAAAAAGTCTGAGCAACTGTAAACCAATTTCCACGACATAAACATAATATTATTTAATCCTGTTAGGAAGCCTTCCACCAAATTTTCTTTGCAACTCATTTGCTTCTGCTTTCTACTAAATTTTCTCTCCCACAGTACTCTCATCCCTTTGCAAACATCCACACCATGGCTCTGGCTTTGATCGGAGAATCACTTCTCACTGCTGTCATTGAGGTTTTGGTCGACAAGTTGGCTTCTCCGGAGGTTCTGAACTTCTTCAAAGCCCAGAAACTCAATGATGGTCTTCTTGAGAAGTTGAAAGAAACGCTGAATACTGTCAACGGACTGCTCGAAGATGCGGAGGAGAAGCAGATTACCAAGCCTTCTGTGAAGAACTGGCTTAATGACGTTAAACATGCTGTCTATGAAGCTGAGGACATACTGGAGGAGATTGATTATGAACATCAACGATACAAGGACGAAGCTGCCTCTCAACCTGCCACATGTTTAGGTTTAACTCAGGTAAGCTTAAGTTTTTAAAATAGTTGTTTTGAATATCCCTTCAAATTTTAAACTTCAATATACATTTTCTTCGCTTTGAATGAGTTTACGCATTATTTTTCTAGTCAAATGAGTTTTAATTAAGCGCTTTGTGGGTTTTTATACTCCATCCTTTCAGTCCTATCGCATGTGTTCTTTATACATGTCATGAAATGTATTCTAATCTATTTATAATTAATTTTGTAATTTTGAAAAAATTAGTAAGAATTAATGAATAATTTTGCAATTCTAGTTCTCGCACTTTGAATTTTCTTTTCAACAAAAATTGGATAAAGTATGATTTGGTCTAAAAGTTAAATTATAGTGTTTTTATGTATTCGTATGATCATATCCATATATATCGAAAGTTTTGGATTCAGATTTAATTTATAATATTGTATGAGATATCCATATTCGGTAAAATCTTACATGAATACTTGCTTATATATTCTCGTAAGTAGTGCCTTTAATCTTGGCTCTTCTTAAAAATTATTTCATGTTCCGCCATTGCAGGTGAGGAACTTCCTTCCATTTCTTAATCCAGCTAACAAAAGGATGAAAGAAATGGAAGCAGAGTTGGAGAAGATTTTTGAGAGGCTTGAACGTGTAGTTAAACACAAGGGTGATCTGCGCCACATAGAAGGTACTACTGGAGGGAGACCATTGCCCGAGAAAACAACTCCTCTGGTTAATGAATCTCATGTTTATGGTAGGGAAGATGATAAGGAAGCCATAATGAAGTTGTTGATACGGAATGAAGAAATTGGCCAAAATGTTGTTGTGATTCCCATCGTGGGATTGGGTGGAATCGGTAAAACCACTCTTGCTCAGCTCGTCTACAACGACAGCAGAGTAGAGAAGTGCTTCCAACTCAAAGCTTGGGTATGGGCTTCTGTACAGTTTGATGTTACCAGAGTAACGGATGTTATTCTAAAGAAGATCAAAGCAAGCACCAGTGGCACCAAAGAAGCAGATGAATCTCTAAAGGATGCATTGAAGGAGAAAACATTTTTGCTTGTTCTGGATGATGTGTGGAACATTGAGTGCAATGAATGGGTCAAATTACTGCTCCCTCTGCAGTATGCAAAGCTAGCAAAGATTCTTGTAACAACTCGGGATAAAGATGTGGCGAAAGTCATGCAAACTGTTATCCCTCCTTGTCAGTTGAAGGGATTAGAGTATGAAGATTGCTGGCAGTTGTTTACAAGGCATGCATTCAGTGGCATGAATTCCGATGCACTTTCAGACTTGGAAAATTTTGGCAGAAAAATAGTGAAAAAATGCAAAGGTCTACCACTGGCGGTGAAAACTATTGGTGGTCTTCTGCACTCTGAAGGAGATGCCAAGGAATGGGAGAAGATATCGAAGAGTAGTATGTGGGGTTTGTCGAGCGAAAACATCCCTCCAGCTCTAAAACTGAGCTATTATTATCTCCCATCCAATCTGAAAAGATGTTTTGCTTACTGTGCAATGTTTCCTAAGGGTTATGAATTTAAAAAGAAGGAATTAATCTCTTTATGGATGGCAGAGGGTTTTCTAATCCCGTGAAGAGGTGATGAGATGGAAGAAATTGGTGAGAAATACTTTAATGGCCTTGTCTCTAGGTCATTTTTTCAGCAATCAAGTAAGTCTTCTTCACTCTTCAGCATGCATGATCTCATAACCAACTTAGCTGAGTGCGTGGCTGGGGAATTTTGTTATAAGTTTGAGGGTAATGGAGAATCGGGCTTTGGGTTAGAGGACGAAAATTCATGCAGGCCTCCTAAAGGGACTCGTTATTTTTCATTCACAAGTTATGATCTGCTAAACACATTTGAGCACTTTCATGAAATCCAACATCTGCGCGTCTTGTTGGATCTATCGGAATGGTTAGAACAACCTTCTATTGATATAGCATTGCATGACATATGCACAACTCTAAAGCGCTTGCGAATGCTATCTTTGTCTACCCACAATATATGTGTGTTGCCCAATTCAATTTGTAACTTGAAACATTTGCGACACCTAGACCTTTCATATGCATCAATAGAAAGACTACCTGAAAACGTATGCACTTTGTACAATTTGCAGACATTACTATTGGAAGGGTGTGACGAGCTCATAGAGTTGCCAACCAACATGTCCAAATTGGTCAACTTACAACAGCTTGATATTCAAAGGACGAAACTGAAAGAGATGCCATCAGAAATGGGAAAACTCAGAAAACTTCGGAAGTTGACAGATTTCTTTTTAGGAAAACAAAGCGGGTCTAGCATCAAAGAGTTGGGAAAGCTCTTACATCTACGAGAAAAGCTTTCTATTCATAATCTCCAAAATGTTGTAGATGTTCAAGATGCTTTGGATGCCAATTTAAAAGGTAAGAAGTAGATTGAGAAGATGAAGTTGGAATGGAATGGCGAGACGTATGACACGCAGCATGAGAGGGACGTACTTGAGAAATTGGAGCCTTCTGTAAATGTGGAAAGACTTGACATTATTGGTTATGGCGGTACAAAGTTTCCAAATTGGGTTGGAAACTCTTCTTTCTCAAATATGGTGTCCTTGCGTCTTAGTGGATGTAAAAACTGCACCTCCTTACCACCACTTGGGCAGCTGCCATCTCTTGAAGAGCTCTGTATTGAAGGATTTGATGAAGTTGTAGCTGTTGGTTTGGAGTTCTATGGAAGTGATCCTTTGACAGAGAAGCCGTTTAAATCCCTCAAAAAATTAAGCTTTGAGCAGATGCCAGAATGGAAAGAATGGAATACAGGTGTAGCTGGTGCTTTTCCTCTTCTTGAAGATCTTCAAATGCTTTCATGTCCAAAGCTTGAGCGTTCGTTCCCAGCACCTCCCAAGCTCATCCAATTTAATTTAAACTTCCTTTTATTTACAACTCGTCACCCAGATTCTTGTTGGAATCTTACAGTTGGTAAAGGCTCCCTGTTAAAGAGCATTAAGCGAGCTAGCTGTCTTTTCTCTTCTGTCACTCAAGTTATATTTAAATGTCGTTCACTCAAGAGCTGTCAGCTAGACTTTTTGCCCCACCTTTCTATGTTTAGAATCTATGGCTGTAAAAATCTTGAATCCCTTTGCATAAGCGAGGGACCTCTTCTCTCTCTCCAATATTTGGCAGTCAGAGATTGTCCTAATCTGAAGTCGCTGCCAGAAAACATGCATTCCCTCCTCCCTTCCCTTCAGCAATTGAAATTGAGGCGTCTTCCACAACTTGATTCAGTTCCAAATGGGCGTTTGCCTTCCAAGTTAAAATCCCTTTTGATCCATGATTCTATCAAACTCAACGCATTAAGTCCATCACTGCAATCTCTCCTTTCTCTTTCAAGCTTCAGTTTTTGTGGGGACGATGACGTGGAGTCCTTCCCTGGGGAGACACTGCTGCTGCCCTCCGCTCTTACATTTCTTAGAATCAACCGTTTGAGAAAGCTGAAATATCTGGACTACAAGGGGCTTCAGCACCTCACCTCTCTTCGCGATGTGATGATCTGTGAATGTCCTGAGCTTGAGCTCATCCCAGAAGAGTCGCTGCCATCCTCCACTGAAGACCTAATCTTGGGTTTAAAAGATCTGGACTACAAAGGCTTAAAGCACCTAACCTCTCTTCGCCAATTGAAGATCTGGAGTCGTGCTAGGCTTGAGCCCATCCCAGAAGAGTTGCTACCCTCCCCCTTAAACACCTTGAAATCTGGAATCTGAAAGATCAGGACTACAATGGGCTTCAGCACCTCACCTCTCTTCGCAGTCTAAAGATCGATCTATGTTCTGACCTTGAGTTCATCCCAGAAGAGTCGCTGTCATCCTCCATTGAAAGTTTGGATTTGAAAGATCTGGACTACAAGGTGCTGCCCATCCCAGAAGAGTCGTTACCCTCCTCCCTTGAACTCCTTGAAATCCGGAATCTGAAATCTCTGAACTCCAAGGGGCTTCAACACCTCACCTCTCTTCGCGAATTGAAGATTTGCGGATGTCCGATGCTTGAGTCTATGACAGAAGAGGGGCTGCCTTCTTCCCTTGAAAGCCTTGAAATCACGAATCTGAAAAATCTGAAATCTCTGCAGGGGCTTCAGCACCTCAACTCTATTTGCAATTTGGACATCTGGAATTGTCAGAAGCTTGAGTCCATGCCAGAAGAGGGACTGCCCTCCTCCCTTACATGTCTTAGAATTTTCGATTGTCCTTCGCTGGTAAAAAGGTGTGAAAGGATGACAGGGGAAGATTGGCCCAAGATTTCTCACATCCCCTATATACTTATGTCCAAACCATAAGAAAATGAACCATTCCGGAGGATAAGAAATTGAGCAACAACAATCTTATGTCAATTCCCCAACATGCTTAGGTATTCCGATTTTTCAGCCTTGCATCTGTGGTTTTCTGAATTCTTTTTGAGATTTATTTTATTATTACTAATGGCTAGTTGTAGAACATTTTATTTCTCGATCTTATTGTCACATAATTATTTTGTTAATGTTTTTGCTAAATCCTAATATGCCTCATGTTGATTTGCAGTAATGACTCTAATTTGTGCTAAAGAACTAACTATTTTGCGTTCTTACCATTACTGGATTCCTTTAAAAATATAAATTTTTGGATGCTCATGTTTGCTGTTGAATGATTTATCTCAGGGTTTCATCTATTTCTCCAAGGTTGTCGAAGCTGTTCAACCTTAACAAAACATAAAGAAACAACAGCCAAATCTACAATTTTGTCTGATAGGTTCTCTAACCTCTTCTTTGTTTTCTAAATGCAAAATTATTTTCCATTGCAAATGCTTTTGTTTTATAGCATTTTTCAGCTGTAATACCTTCTTAGACTTATAATCAGATCATTCATTAATCATATCCTGCTGCAGGTTCCCTGTCATCAAATAAAGAAGTATAATTGACATTCACCAACGTCATTTCAGCAGAAGAAAAGGTGCTTGGTTAATTTACATTTCATTGCAACAGAAACATATTGGCAAATATGATCCATTCTAGCTCTCATATTGGATTTCTTTTAAGGATATAAAAATTTGGCATGCTTATGATCTCTCTTGAACAACCCTTCTCATCAGGTTTTCATCTACTTCAGCCAGGGTGTAAAAGCTGTTCAACCTTTACTGAAATTATTGGAGCCAAAACCTGTGCAGGTAGTCATATTGCAACTATCTTTATATTCTTATTATTTCTCCTTTCTTAGTGCCATGTCAAATTTGATAGGTTTTCTACCTCTTCTGTTTCTTAACGTAGTTTCCTGAGAATTCAAGACATATGGTTTTGCAAATGCAAAATGACTAGAGAAATGATGCATACCATGCTTGAATGGTAGTTCCGTAGTCAGAGATTGAATTGGCTTCATGGTTCATTCAAAGGAAGTTCATTGTCATTTCTCTAGAACTTGGACTCTTGGACTATATGTCGTGATGACAGCAGAGTTATTCCTTGATGACAGCAGAGGTGGAACAACTCTTCAGAATTGAGATGGCAGATCTTCACTGCACAGCCCATTACTATGTTTTTAAGTTAAGGTTTGCAACAATTTTTCCAACTAAAATCGGCATAATTGGATCCCATTGTGAAGCACCGTATGGGTTCTTGTGAATCAGCCAATGCTATCACAAGGTATTGTTTGTTTCTTTAGATAATGAAAGCATCACACAAAGGTCATAATTATTTTTGTATTCATTTTCTTTCATGATGAGGTTTTGAATAATTTGAGATTCCGTGCTCAAAGCAGAGTTATTAAGGAGATCAGGAATGAAAACAAGAATAATTGTGATCTTGCTACCAATTTACATCACTTACAGCTTGATAGTTCACTAGAATTTTATGAAAAGAAAAAGGTTGATCAGAATAAGCAGCTGCCTAATGATTTTTCGTGATGGTTCTATGTTCAGGATTAATCCAAGAGATAGCCTATGCCTCATGGTGAAAATGACGTCACACACAAAGTGAAGAAAGGATGAAACTTAGAAAGATACAACTGCTGGCCAAAGATGCAGCAGATCGGAAACCAGGATATCCAAATATGCTATATTCGGTCCCTAAATACTCTTTAGGTATTTACTAATTTCTCAGTCTTGCAATTTCTTCTTGGGATTCCATTTGCTAGTTGTGGAGCTTTGCATTTTCAGAAAAAACATAGTTTGTCACATAATTATATAAATACATATGTATTGGGTGCTTTCATCACATAATTATGTTGTATTGTTAATCTATTTGATTTTCTTATCATAAATTATTCGTCAGACAAACAGGATTTTGTTTCCAAGTTTCTTCTGTATGCATTGAAGGCCGATCAAGTTTCCTTTGAACCCAATGCACATATGAGACCAGGAGAACTGGAATATTGATCCAGGTAAATCATATTGGTTATTACTTTTTTTTAAGGTTAATCATGTGTCAAAAGAAGTTTTCTGAATTTATTAAGGGCTTTGAATGATCAATGAGCTTGTTTAATAGCAGTAACACCCTTTATAGACTTATATTCAGATCATTCCATAATCACGCTGCTGCAGCTTCCATTACTTCTTCTCTTTTGTTGGTCATAATGAAGTATAATCGACATTCGCCAACATCATTTCAGCAGCAGAAAAGGTGCACAATTTATATTCATCGCTTCAAATTTTAGGCAATTTGCTTCATTTAATGTGAAACGGAGACAGGGAAAGATTGGCTCAAGATTTCTCACATCCTCTATACAACCTTAAGAATGTTCTGATGCTTCTGCATCTATGGTATCATAAATTGTTTTTCAATTGTCCTTAGCTGGAAAAAAAAGTGTTGTCGAGCACTGTATTTTAACAAAAAACAAGTTTAATATTTTCATATAATTATGTTGTTAATTTTTTTGCTATAAACAAGGTCTCTGTTTGTTTATGGTGAAGCTTCACTATGTCAATAGTATTATTTTTAGAGTGCTGCCACAGATTCCCATCACATTTTCTCGTCTGTTGCAAGTGGTCAAACTTACTTGATTAGTTGGGATATGAACTTCTATTAGACATGCTTTCTCTTTCAATTGGCCTCCACCTGGGCCTCCCCAGCTAGCCATGGAGCTTGTCAATATGGGAAAAAGCTTAATATGTAACCTGGTTGCTATCAAGAGAGTAAGGTGTTCCATTTTATCTTATCCTGACCAAGCATCACTTGAAACTGTCTCTCTATTTTTACTTGAGCACCACCACTCATTTGCTTTCGATTTCTATAATTATATATGCTGAATAGAAATTTTATAGGATGTCCATTATGATTTGGTATTTTCATGCTGTGTGTTTGTGTAAGCCACAAAGTGATGTTTGTTTCTTCACAATCAGAAACATACACTGACGAATGTGCTTCATGTTGATTTGCAGTAATGACTCTAATTTGTGCTAAAGAGTGAACTATTTTGTATTCTTACAATTACTGAATTCCTTTAAGAATACAAAATTTTCAGATGCTCATGTTTGCTGTTGAATGATTTATCTCAGGGTTTCATCTACTTCTGCAAGGCTGCCGAAGCTGTTCAACCTTAACAAAACATAAAGAAACAACAGCCAAATCTACAAGTTAATCTGATAGGTTCTCTAACCTCTTCTTTGCTTTTCGTAAATGCAAAATTATTTTCCAATCGAAAATGCCTTTGTTTTTTAGCATTTTTGAGCTGCAATCCCTTCTTAGATTTATTTTCAGCTCATTCATTAATCATCCTGCTGCAGGTTCAACCTGTACTGAAAAGACTGGAGCCAAAACTTGTACAGGTAGTCATATACACCTATCTCTATATTCTTATTATTTCCCCTTTCTTACTGTCAAGTCACTTTCACAGGTTCTGTCCCTCCACTGTTTTCATTAACGTAGTTTCCTGAGAGTTCAAGGCGAATAGTTTCGCAAATGCAAAATGACTCGAGAAATGATGCATATCACGCTTGAATGGTATTTCGGAGACATAGATTGAATTGGCTTCATGGTTCATTCAAAGAAAGTTCAAAATCAGTAGAAAAATATATTCCAAGTCTTGGAGTAAAGTTATTCCTTGAAGACAGCAGAGGCTGATTGAGATGGCAGATCATCACTGTACAGCCCATTACTACATTTTGGTTCAGTTCAGGTTTGCAACAATTTTTCCAACACAGATCGGCACAAGTGAATCCCATTGTCAGGCACCGTATGAGTTATAGTGAATCCGCAAATTCTATAACAAGGTACTGTTTGTTTCTTTATATAATGAAAGCGTCGCACAAAGGTCATAATCATTCTTGTGTTCATTTTCTTCTTGATGAGGTTTCAAATAACTTGAAATTCTGTAGGCAAAGCAGAGTGATAAAAGGATAACAGAAATGAATACAAGAATAACTGTGATCTTGCTACAAATTTACATCACTTACAACTTGTTAGTTTACTAGAATTTTATGAAAAGAAAAATGTTGATCAGAATAAGTAGCTGCCTAATGATTTTTCGTGATGGTTCTATGTTCAGGATTAACTCAAGAGATAGCCTATGCCTCCTGGTGAAAATGATGTCAACATGGCGAAGAAAAAAGGGTGAAACTTAGAAAGAGACAACTGCGGGCCAAAGATGCAGCAGCAGATCAGAAACCAGGATATCCAAATATGTTATAGTCAGCCCCCTGTCACAGCAACAAATTCAGAGCTACGACAGAGGTGGATGTTGCTTGCCTGTGTTGTTATATTTGGAACTCTGTTGCCAATATTTTGCAACATTTTTTCTGCCAC